AAATACTTATAAACTCTTACCTTACTCGAAAATAGTTCCAGCATATTTTAAAAATGTAACTACGTCTATAAAAGACCAATATAAGTTTTCTATTAAAATTTCAACTCAGCGAATATTTTTAAGTGAATTACAACAAAAATACAAACTTGAAAAAAATAAAAACATTATGTCCGTAAACTTATCCGTCCTTATTTCTACGCCTTTTTCCGCTTTTGTTAAATTATTAGGAAAACTTCATAAAAAATTAAAAAACGAATATCTTAAGTATCAACTAGATATAGAATATAACGAAAAAGGTAACTTGTCATTATATGATTAAAGTAAGATTTCCGGGCTGAAAAGTTTGTTGAAAAAAAGACGTTTTGAAATCAAATTTAAACGAAAATCGCAAAAAAAAATTACGGCACTTCAAATTATGTATTACCGAACTGCGCTCGGAATCGTCTTTCGTCAAACAATGGTTTATCGTTGCTTACGGATATAAATGAAATAAGTGTATCCTACCTTCCCGACTTCTCACCTACAACAGTGGCTGCTCCCATCCCCAGTATCAGCTCTTTTTAGGTAATAGACTTTATTGTAATTTGTATTTGATAATGGACAGTAGAAATCGAAAACAAGTCAAACGCAATTGACAAAAGGATTTTGAATCTATTGTTTCATATTCAAATGGTCATTGAACTCATAGGGGTACATTAAAAACTGGGTTTATCCGACTAGATTCTTATTAGAATTTCGCGTTTGAATGCCAATCGATTTTTCGAGTCAACCGTTTTATTATTTTCGTCGAGCTTGCAGTCATCTAATCGGCCTTTACACAGAGAAAACATGTTTTATTTTGCGCGTTGGACATAGGTATTATATTATTTTGCGGTACATTATACATGTTCTTTAAATTTAATTAATTATGGCGATGGCTAAACTAGTTAATCAGAGTCTTGACATGTAACTCGAGTGCCGCATCGTACCCTTAACTATACACACGGCCACTCTACCAACTGTCCAAACTTAGAATATGAGGCCGTTCAAATTCAGCAGAAATAGTGTGAGAAGTCAGGAACCAGACAACTCAGTGGTAGAGCATTTGCTCGACAAGCGAGAAGTTCAGGTCCATCCCTGGTCCGGCAGCCTGATGTTTAGTATTATTTTCCGGACGAAAACGACTATGTTAGGTATATTAATTTTCTGATTGTTTATAAATGTTATAAATTATAAGGAATTACTGCCGGATATCGAGATAGAACAACCGTCCTCGTCAAACCAAATCCACCAACCCCCTCTCCATGTATGTTGGATTATTTTAAAGTGTAACTATGTTGCATTTGTTATTGATAACAATGTATAATACCTAAAAAAAAATTAAAATACTTTAAATTATTTAAATGTATTATACTTTCTTATGAAGCGAGTGTTACGAGTTATTTTTCTTGGTAGAAAACGTCGTCAGTGTTTTTATAAAATAATGAAATTGTGAAATTGTACGTTTTTTTTATGTTTTTTCTCACTTAAGTGCTTTTATTTAAAATTATGGCGTCGAAAATCAAAAAATGACCTTCTTCAAAGTACAATCTAGATAACTTGGGCTTTCATAAAAGTTGCTACACGTAAAAATTAGAGCAAGTTTACTAAGAAAAAACGTGTTCACAGACTAGAACAAAGAAAAAAATAAACATCTTAGTAAAATGAATAGTTCCCTTGCTATGCTCGAAACCTTAAAAATAAAACAAAACATTTAGTATATTTGATTATTTTGAATAAGTCTATACATATATTATGTAATGACACAATATTACAAATTAAATATTTTTGTAAAATGATCGAAAATTGTCATGATACTTTTATTATATTATTAATAGGTACACGATTTTTTTTACTTTGTAAAAATCAATTACGTTTTAATATTTTTGGAGGCTTCAAAAACTCAAAGACCTGGGGCAAGTGCCCTTAATGCCCCCCTCAAATCTAGTATTGTGTATATATATACTCGTATATTATAAAAATTAATGTTATAGGTATCGCATAATATAGTTTGTATTTATACATTATAGAAAATTACTATATTTTTTGTTTTCATAATAATGTTATTTTGTATCAGAGTACTTTGTGGTATAATGTATAAGATGATTTTTTTTTTTATTCATCTTCCGCACACCAAGTGTAAGGGTAGAAACAGGGGTAGGAACTGTAAGATAAAGTATAGAATAATTATCTGATCGGTCCCTAGGGGAGTTCGTTTTTAGTGCGAATCCTTGTACATCGTTCTTCATCATCATCATCACCATTGTGCACAAATCCTGTACACATTTTGTCGAAGTACAATTATATATAATTACTCTATTTATATATATATTATTTATACAGATACGCTTTTTAAAGCGACAGATCAAATAAAAATAAAAATTTTATTTTATCATCTTTCATGAAATAATTACAAAATTTGAATTATAATACCTGCTGCAGTAGAATTATGTTTATTTTCATTTGAATACCTTTTTTTAACTCATAGAATATAAGTACTATATTTATAGGCGAAAATAATGTACATGGTTTTATTGTATAATCTATACTAAATATGTATAACAAACAAAAACATTTATTTGTTACAATATTTGTACTTATTTTAGGACTAATAATGAATGTTCTTTCAAAATTATAACAAATTATAGTGTTTAGGTTGAACTTGGATTTAAAATACAAATAATACAATTTAAAGAGGAGAATATGCTAGACTTATATAATAAGCTACATGCACCTTTTTTCTAAAAAAATTTCATACAAAAAAGTTTCAACCATGTTATATTTTGCATTTTTTAAACAGCTAATAATTTTTTAAATGTTGTTACTTGTGATCGTTAACTTCAATTTCAATCTAAACGCTACAATTTATGTTCTATGTAACTTAATTTTGATATGTCGTGCGTTAGTAAGACAGAAATAACGTGGGTATTAAGTATTTACGTTCTATACTCTTATCCGAGAAATTGTAGACACATTCACGTCCCACGTATTTATAATTTATTCTAACTTCGTGTCATAGTGAACTCAGTATCTCAAATTGTGAGAACATTAAAGTGTTGTTGCACACAACTTTTATCAAATGAGCGCGATCGACATACTTATAATAAATTATAGTTAGTTAACCTTTACCCATTTAATACTATTTATAATTTACTATTTTAGTATATCTATAAGTGGAGTGCGTGGTTTTTAATCGTGATAATTATTAATTATTATAATTATTATTGATTGTAACGTTTGGTTGTATTAAATTTCATGCGTAAAAAGGTGTTCGTCATAATGATTTGGAGCGTTCCGATTCAGTTCTGGCAATTTTAAAAATTTCAACGGTAATCATTATCAAACTCGTCATGTACATAGGCCATACAATACTATAGTAATATTGTATTCTACATCATTTTCAAACACTTATTAGAGCCCTTCGTGGGCGGCCTTTGTATTATAATAATATTTTTGATTCGGAAGGGTTCGGGTTTCGTCAATTATAATGCACAGACAGAGTGTTGTAATAAGGCTCCGACGGCCCGGGGGGCTTCAAAATGTCGGCCAAAACAAGGCCGAAATATCGGGCCCGGGGTTTTCACCTTACCGCGCCGGGCCAGACAACTGAATAAATATCGTGCAGAACGTTACACTATATTACCTGCCCGCATGAACTGCGCGTATAAACTCATATCGTCGCTACCACACATCGCAGTTTCGAGGTTTTTCGCGCGTCATTCAATCATCCCGTTATATAGTGCACCGCCACAGTATAACAAATAGGTATGTATAATAATATTACGTGCGTATACTTATACTGTATATAATGTTACACGGGCGTAGCATGCGTGTTCGCTCCGGCAGCAAAAATAATAATAATAAAAATATACCGCGCGCGTAACGACGATAAAAATATAATAAATAAATAAGTAAACGGAGGAATAACGCGCGCCGCGGACAGGACGGAAAGAATAAAAACCACCCTCGTATACCTTTAAACAATATTATTATATACGTACGCATAAACGCGTGGCACTTGACGTTATGCTCTAATCAATATTTCATTAGCTCGTCCGTATAATATAATGTATAGTGGGTACGTATATAACATTATATATACCGTGTAGTAAAATATGTATATAATATAATATAGTATATATATATATATATATATACATGTTAAATTATATTATATACCTATATCTGGTATTTCGGCGGAAATGGAAAAACAAATTCATATACGAAAAACGGCGAACGCTTATTGCAGCGCGCGCTCCCCCACTATACGTGTATACCCGCTGCGGGCCGCAACACTCCGCACAGCTCTTCGCCGTGATTTTATTCTTTTTTATATATATATATATATACATATATATATATATATATATATATATACAGAGGTGCACATTCTTTCCCCGCTTTTCCCCGTCGCCGTTCCGCGCGTTCTCGCTCGCCGTGTTTTTCACGTAGGTATTATACGCGTGTATATATATATATATATTATTATTATTATATACCTTTATACCGTTTAGGATTCATTCATTTTCAATTCGCGTATACCCACCGCTATATTACTATTGTATACCTACGCGCTATAGCTGCTGCAGGTATACCCTGCACACTCGAGTGCCGTCGCGGATAGGTCTCGTCGCGGCCGCGCGAGCGAAGGGACCGGCGCTGCGGCGGCGGCGGCGGCGGCGGAGCGGGGGGGAGGGGGAACGGCGCGCGATGGGACGGTGCAGGTATACGTATATTGTAAACGTATAAATATACGACGACGGCGCGGCGAGGGCGGCGGCGGACGGGCGCTTCCGGGTCCGCAACGTCCGCCCACGTCGGCCGCCGGTTGGTCCAATCGAAACGGCGGCCGGATGCTGTTTTCGCGCGGCCGCGCCGGCACGTCGCGCGCGTGCACCACCACCGACGACCAGCCATCGGCGGCCACCGCCGGCGCCGCCGCCACTGCTGCCACCGGCGCGAGCGACCAAGTCGCGCCGCCACTGTCGTCGACCGCGCGCGCGTTTACCGAAACACAATACACGCGCGCGCGCCCGCGCACACGTCGTCGTATACTCACACGATAATATTATTGTACCGTCTGTCCGCGGTATACATCGCGTGCCTTTACCGCGGTAATCGGTCCGTTATTATAAACAGCATAAATCTTTATCGTTTTCGGAACGCCGACAGTGCCGTATAACGGTTATCTAGAGAATATATCTGTATAGCTGTGCGCGCCCGAGTTTTCATTTTATTACTAAAACAGAAAAAAAATATATATATATAGTATATAATTTAATATTATTATTATTTATGTAATTATGTGTGTGCATTCGCGTCGTTTTCGGCATTTTATCCCCGACCGATCGAATACGGCACGTGAATAATATGTAAATATATTTTATGTACATCGTTCCGGCGACACGACCATACTATCTCGGTATACCGTCAACGTGCCCCGGCCGGGGGAGTTGTGCTCATAATCGAAAATTGCACACCCACTTCCGAAATAGCCGATACTATCGAATACCGCGATTTTAACGGTGAGACTTTACTTTTTTTACCCCTAGTTTTTCCGCTTTCTTTCAATTTTTACGATCGCCTAAATCTCAACAGATCTACCATAATTCTTTCGTCGATACCGTTCAGGTCGGGATCCAGGCCGAACATGCTCAACAACATCAGTTTACTCGGCTCGAACATTGTCGGTGGTAAGTGCGTTTATATTATTCTATTATGTTTTATTTATAAGCATGTACATATTCTTATTGTATAATATAAGTAATAAAACTATAATATCAGTTAACCGAGGCCTGATTAACCATTAAGCTGAAAAGGCTACAGTCTAAGACGCCAATTGGCCAATGTTAAATGCGAAATAGGGGGAGGGGAACGCAATAAAACAAATTGATTTCTTCTTAAAAACGTATATCTCTATAATATATCAGTGACCATAGACGTAGCCGGATCTTTTTTTCGGGGGGTATGCAAGAAAAGAGCTCTATATAAAGAGAGCTTATAAATAAAAGGCCATCGCCAAATCAATCACAGCCTACTGCTGGTAAATTCATTAATCAGGTCCCGCAGTTAACAAATTTATATATAATAATATTCGATAAATGATTCGTCGTGTACCTATAGATGTGATTATAGTATACATAATATACATACAATACGATCAACCGTTAGGTGTGGAGATCGGGATTTATGCAAACAGTGTCACCTCCTTAAATTTGAACATTTAAAATACATTTAAATATTTAGTTTTAAATGCTCGTGGGTACTACTAGACTACTCATTTCGTGTGTTGTCATGTCTTATTTTTTTTTTTAATCTGATCGTTTGAGTCGTCTGATATCTTGCGAGTTATCGAGGAGTTGTATAGCAGTTGTATTAAGCTTCAGTCTTCTTGCATGTTTGCGGGCAAACCGGGTAATTTCATCCTGTATAGATGTTTTTTCAAATGGCGGTGGATGATATCGTTCTTATCATACCGTTATGCTGTGAAAATGGTACGAAAAGCGATACTCTAGCATCGTTGTATTATTTCGATATTAGACTTACTGGCACAACCCCACAGTTGAATACCATAAATCCAAATGGGTTTAACAATCGATATATACAAGAGCCGTTTGCTGATTAGGTATAGCTCGGAGTGTCATCCAACTAGCTAGTAGCTAGCTAGCTTTGTGCATTTTTTGTTTGGTTCGCAACTTTTTCTAGTGTACATGATGTTTCCTGTTAAATCGTGAGTCGAGATGCATTCCCAGATATTTTCTGAATCATTTTGCGAGTATATCTATTGATTTAGCGTGACTGGGATGTATATAGTTTTTACGTAGGGTGTAGTTAACGTGCATCGACTTGTTTCCATTCATTTTTATTTCCCATCGTTTCGTCTAATCGTAAACGGTGTTGATTGTAGGGTGTCAGTCACAGCTTGTTGGTCCTTCCTTGTTTATAGTATAACTGTGTCATCGGCAAACATAGCTATCATTGTGTTCTCATAAGTTGGAATATCAGCTGTAAAGAGAGTATAGGTATAAAATAGGTCCAAAAACACTACCATGAGGTATTCCAGCTGATAATATACTCTTCAAATTAGATATTGCTTCTTCGTATCTTACGCGAAAATGTCTCTCGGTCAGATATGATTTGAGGAATGCGCACCACGTGTGCGGGAGCTACTCACGTAGTTTTAGTACTTTGGAATAAGTAAATTTGTAACCAAACCCCTCCATCAATTTTTGTAAGCTCTTTGAAAGTGGTCGAATCAGATAAAAAATTGAGAATGGACTTTAGGTATATCTGGTGCATATACAAGTATATTTGCTTCACGGTTAGATAACCGTGAGTTAGATTTAGTTTAGATACCAAGCAGATAAAACCGGTAAAACCTCTCACGGATCTGCTTCCTCAGAGAAAAAGTGTGTTGTACGAAAAATGACATAAAATAGATTATGTGTAATATATAATATACGTAGTCGCAGAGAGTAAGTTAAATATAAGTATATAAGTATATATTAGGTATCTCAATTAATGTTATTTATTTTTAAAAACATACAATTATAAACAATCATTTGTACAGTTATTCTACAACATATTTCATTTAAATTAATATACTTTTATTATAATATTAATATATTACAAGGTGTTGCATGATGTTGCCCGTGACAAATTATAAACACGCGTAAATAATAAAAAGAGTAGTTTTTCTCCGTGAAAAACCAATGGAAACCAGAAATGAACGTGAACAAAAGGCTAATACTGCTGATTAGTGTGTCACTATTGTAGAGAGGAAGTTGGAAGAAAGGATATATTTAAGGGAGTCATTTAATTTATATCTATACGCAATGATAAACTATTGCTAACAAAAAACGATTCTAAGCAGAGTATTGTTAGTCGTATTGTTTACTTTGTAGCCAAGATAACTCAGAAATCAATAAAAACTGAATATCAAGGAAAACCAAAAATGACTTCATCATTACACCAATACTAGATTAAAAATTCTATAAAGTTTTTGATTGGAGCAAGACTTTTGGTAGAAAAGTAAGTTTTCAAACACAAAAAAAAACCCATATATCATAGTAAAATCAATACATTCCTCGTTTTTTTTAGAATCTAAAAATTTAATTTTCATATTTTATGAATGCATTTCCTTTGAAATTTCTAAAAATCTATTTTGATGACATGCATCTACATATTAAATAAATTATAAAGATCCTATTTTTTTCTCAGAGATCCAAACCTCTGTGATAAAACGTTAAGTTTTTATAAACACGATCATTATCTTGAGTTAGTGAATTATAATACCTATATTCATTATTCATATTCTCTCTATTTCTTGGATCGTTTGTGCGACAACTAATATTCTGTCGTTTTGATGAAATTATTATAGTTAATGATGTTTTTATATAGAATTGCATAGTTTCGTCCTAATATTATTTTAGATGTAGCGAAGAAACTATTAGTTTTCCTACGATGTGGGTTTTTTTCGCGGAAAACACTTCTGTTAGTAAAAATTATCTGGATTCGTTTTATTTCAAATCTTTAAAGGATACGGATATTTCTCCTGATGGTTATATTTTTTTTTAATTAAAAGTAATTAAAAGGAAATAGACTTCAAATCATTTTTTTTATTTGACACTTTTTGGACTAACATAGATATTCTGATGATTTGTGATTATTTATATTTATTTAGGTATATTATACAGGTGTTTTTTTCTCTACACCTAATCAATTATTATTAACTGTCATTTTTATTTTTAGTTTATTTGTATATAATTATTTTTCCTCAATAAATATTATCATTTTTTAAATTATTGTTAGTTAACATGCAGGAAATGTTATATCATTGTCGTATTATCTTTTGTAGAAGAGGCGTATTCAAATTGCGTCCAAAATTTATATTTTATCGGAGTTTATCTAGTTATTATTTTTTTCACGAAAGGTCCGTCTCGCGGTGCAGAATATATTTTTTGCTTGCGTTTGAAAAACGAAAAATAATCAAAGAGGAAAACGGGGAAGTGCGATATCTGCTTTGTATCTACTTTATGCATTTAAATATTGCATTGATTCCTGTTTTATTTCAATCTAGCTGATAATAAATATCACTGCCAGCGGAGTTTTCTATCCACGAAAAGCTATTGAATAAGCAATTGTGATCATACCTATATATTTAGCCATGGACATTACATTGCCTCCGGTTGATTATATTAGAAAACTCGGGTTTTGATAGGACGGTCGGTTAAATTAAATTTGCAACGCCAAATTACCCCCGTACCACTACGCACCGCGAACACGCGCCACACATAATCATCGCGCATAACCCACCGGGCGGTGCCATCGTATTCCGTACACCCGTTCAGTCTTCGGTCCAACCACAAATATTATCGACGTCTCATCGTCCACCGTGGACACATTTAACCAGATTTTAATTTTTGAACACTTTATTTTAACGAATTCATTTGTTTTTTGTTCACGTGTACCGCAGGCCACAAGGACTTCGATGGTCTCAAGCACAGATCGCTACATCAGTTGCAGACAGGCAGCGGTGGTGGACACGGCATCGGAGGTGACCATGGACTCGGTGGTGGTCACGGTAATAGCCACTTGCAAGGCAACGGTCCGTCACCACCGCAGCTTTCCTCGGTTGGTGGTGCAGGTGGTGGTGGTGGTGGCGGTAGCGGACCGTTCCGGTTGTCGTGCGGCGGTTTCGATCTGTCCACTGCGACCGGTCACGGGTTGGCCGCCGCTGCGGCTGTCGCTGCTGCCAGCGGTGGAGTTGGAGGTCCAAACGTCGATGACGTCGGCAAGCCGAACAAGCAAAAGAGACACCGGACCCGGTTCACGCCAGCGCAACTCAATGAACTGGAACGGTGCTTCAGTAAGACCCATTATCCGGACATTTTCATGCGCGAGGAAATCGCTATGCGAATCGGTCTCACCGAATCCCGAGTACAGGTAATAAATAATTAACCATCGTTAGTATTTTGGATGGTTAGAAATATTTCTGTAGAAGTATTTGCGAGCCTTGAGAGCTAACGCGCGATATAGCGAAATTGTGCACGAAAAACAAACGAAAGGGTTATTAAAACTTATACATTTTGTAGATGATAAAATTTTGAAGAAAATCACGTCGTCGGTGGTTTATAATACTAAATTGAACTTGTGTCGAAGATACAAAAAAATGGTATTTAAAATAATTGTAACTTTTTTAATAATTATAATTATACAAAAAAACGCTGATGAGTTTGTTTTCAATATATTTTATATTTATTTCATCTAAAGGTTTTACAACAGACGTTTTATCTCTATAATCGATTTTAAATGCATTTTCGTTTGTTTTATGTGAACACAATTTTGCACACATAGGTATATATAAATATTAATCGACGAATGTATGAAATATGTATAATTATTATTATTATTATTACCATAATGTTATAAACTCATGCATATTGATTATTAATTTTAAAAAAATTATGGCACTACCCAACAATTAAGTAGCAGGAATTGTGGCCGCAATCTTTGAATTATACATAGATCTGCGCCACTGAAGCGTATAAGATCGGTATATTACTGCCGCCATCTTGCAATACGTACCTACTAGCTAGTACCACCTAAATATAATTAAAATCTTGAAAAATATTAGTATAAATTCTCCTAGAAACGTTTAGTCACCAAAAAATCCTATTTAAATCGATTTCATATATGCTGTGAAACCTCTCTTCACGGACACTTTTAAATAACAGACACCTACAACAGGTAGACATTTATTTGGAATCTGGGACATTTTCACTACTTATATATAGGAAAACTTCTAAATACGGGACACTTATATGGCCAGTTTAACTTTTATTTTTTATTTTTAATTAAGAACAATTGTGGAATGTCTAGATAAAAGTATACACCCAAACTTCATAGATTTTATTTTATTACATTTTCACGAAATTAAACTTATTTTATCATTCCAGTCTTTGAAATGTTATCGCATCGAAGAAAATATTTTTTTAGTCTATGTTATGTGAAGTTGTCCTATTGGTATTTAGTTGTGTTTATGATTCTAATATACAAACATATATTGTAGTACGTAATGTTGAGTAAAAGAAAACAATTAACTTTAAAGAGTGGCATAGCCAGAATTCTAATGTTGGGAGGGCAACCTTCAATAAATACTTGAATATTAAAAAACTCTCTAGCAATATATTTTAAAAGTTTAGAAGAGGTGAAAATTTGATTATAAATAAAACTTATCAGTTATCAATTATTTGTGCCATTGACAACAAAAAAAAATCTATTTTTTTCAACTAATGCCAAAAAACAAATTACAATAATTTTTTCACACAAATAGTAAAAAAAATTGCTATTTTGAAGAAGAGATTAGGGGTGACAGTTGTCCTTCTTGCCCATCTATAAATATGGTACTGACTAAAAAAATAAGTTGACAATCTTGAATTTCGAATATGTGGACCACTTTGTGATCAGAAAACAAATCGTGGATATCATAGTAAATAAAGACACTCGTTAAAAAATTTAGGTTGAAAATGGAGAAAAGATATGCGAATAGACAAAGCTAAAGAAAACATAAATGTCTCTCGTCGACAATGAACTGTTAAACTTTGAATATTTCGAGAATAAAATTTATCAGTTGAATAAATGTTATACATAGTTATTAATCGACTAACGAAATTCACTTTATTTTAGATTCAGAGTGTAGCGAGGGATCTATTGATTTTACTATGATGGGTGTTTTGTTTTGTATTAAGATAAAATTTTCATTCAGAAAAGGTGTTACACTTGATACATCTGAGCAAAATTTCTGGCAGAAAAGTTACTCCCAGACCCGCTCCGAATTTATAATTGAGTGTAATGTAGTATTTGATGTTTATAAATTTTAATATTAAATTTTGACGAAAATCTTAAATATTCAAAATATTACCTTTAAAACATATATAAATAACTTCAAATTGGCTTTCGTTAGCACTTAGCAATGGTTTATCGTTGCTTACAGTTATAAATTAAATAACTTTAAAAATATCTTACCTTCCCAACTTTCCATCTACAACAGTAGCACGCCAGTCCTCAGTATCGGCTTTTTGTTCCCACCTTTGGATACCGGACACCTCCAAATAGCGAACAAAATTTTAAACTTGATTTAAAAACTAAAAATGAATCCAATACACTAAATAATAATTTACAATATATTTTTTTTACTATATTGCTTATAGTATCACTTAATTTCTATATAGATTATAGACATAAAATTTGTATTCATAATATATTTATATCATTCAATATGTAATTTAATTATTTTTTGCCGAAGATTCGAAAACACCAATTTTTAACACATATATTATAATATTAATTAATTAGTAAATAGAAATTCAAAACATTAAATAATATAATCATGACAAAATATAGTATGAGCATCATGTGTACGTTTTCACTTCTGGCCTATGTCGCAGTTCTCCACTTAACTATTGGCAATGTTAATGTTAGCCAATAAGAACTGGAGAAATACTACGGTGTTATTACCGATAATAGTTAAAGCAAAGAAATATTTGAGCACGGTGTGCGTAACAAAAAATTGCGACCATATACTAACCTAACTATATTTTATCACGAATATAAGATGGAAATTAATTAATTTCTATTATAAAATGCAAATCATCGAGAATTGGGTTTTTATTGTTATTAAATATACATTATATTATCGTGTTTTAGGATTTGTCAATAATTATTATAGTATAATGTATGTGAAATCAATTCGGTACTAAAACGCCCCGGGACTGACAAGTTATTATTATGTTATATTATTGTTCTAACGGACACGTTTTTGGGCGAAATATTATAATGTTCGACTATTTGTCGTAGAACAGTGCCCGGGCACCAGTAATAATTTTTATTTAGACGGTTGTCCGCGGGACGCACGGCGTGCACGTGTCACGCCCGGTCGCTTTTGTCGACGGCAACTGAAGTGTCTGTTTTTGAACGGCCGGGACGAATAAAACCTGCAAACTATTCGATTGTAATAAAACAATATAATACGCGCTTATACGTTTTATATAAGACGAAACGTTTACCGCGCGAGCCGCGAATTATCATTATAGTATACAACGGCGTTTACCGACGGCTACCGTTCAGGCGGCGACCGACCGTGTGAGAGAGGCGTGTGCGCCAGGCCCGTCCCCCGTTGTCACCTTTGTCGCAGACGGCCGCCGCGCCACCCGTCTTCGTTACGGCGGCGGCTTCCCGACGCCTCCCTCCGGCAACGGAATAAAAATAAAATAACACCCATCGGCCACCTCCGGTGCCACGCGCGCCGCCGCTTTTTGTTTTAAGGGGCACCCACTCCCCCGACCGTCCGACCGGGCGTACACGACTCCACGCTCCACGCGCCGCCGCGGCGACTCGGCACACCTAATAAACAGTGATCTTACCAAATCCTAGCGACTGTTTATCAAACTCGCAGATTGCTTCTCCCTCCCCCCCCCCTCCGTCTCACTATATTCTTGCCCCATCCACTACCGAGATATTGCCGAGAAACATATTATTATGTTTTTTTTTTTTTTCGGTCCCCGCTATATATGGTTATATTATTTGAACCCATGCCGTTTTTCGGAAAACTCAAGAAAACGATTTTTAATCAAATAAACTCGAATTCGCGCGTGGCATTTAAATTGTAACTTTTTTTTTTTTACAATTTAATGCTATATAATGCAATACAAAGCAAGTATTTCTTTACCTATAAACAATATGTGAGACTCGTATATTATTGCTCGTAAATAACAATATTTGGTCGTAGATACAACGTACTGAAGAGAGAATCAGGGAATTCATCGGTCAGCCCGAGGTCACCGATTTCAATTATTATATATATATATATTATATACGTACTATACATTATACATGTGTAATAATAATTATTAATTATAACCATCTAGAATATTATATACGAGTAGTGTTGCAAATTTGAAATTTTTTTATATATATAGTAGCATAATATTTAAATTAAAATTTCAAACAATTCTTTGTAAATTTTAATACATATTCCACATAACGAATACTAATTATCGTGATTAGGGTAAGGAAGTTTATGCACTAAAAAATGAAAAAAATATGTATGACAAACTGGCAAAATATGAATCAAAAAAAGTAATATAATTATATATACTGCAGATAAGTGTCATTTTTTAAACAAAGTAACTTTTAAATTTTAACTTAACTTAAGTTAATATTTTCCTGAAAATGTTTAATTTAACAAATTTACTCAAATTAATTATTACCTATACTAATGTTAACTTTAACTTAGCATAGTTTTTTTTGGATTTCTTAAACTAATTTAAACAAATTGGTCAACTTTACTAGCTTTGGTAAACATTAACCACCTCACATATGACGATTGTGGCTTCAAATGTCAACTTATGACAACTTAATGACTAAAAGCTTTTTTCTTAATACCCTATACAGGTAAATAAATACTAACTTTGTGAAATATGAAACGCGAGAGTAAATATACGAGACCTGCAGAAGGTATATCTAAATTTGAGCAGATTGAACTTGTAATATTTTAGAGTTTTATATCGTTAAAAATGCTATAATAATTATTAATTTTCATTCGACTATATTTAACCTATATTAAATGTTACTATTTTTATTAGACCATTATTAAATTTAATTCGGCGGGTATCAAAAAACGTATTAATCATCCTGTGTATAATACAAAATATGCCATGTATCTTACAGTATAATAATATTATAAAATTATTCGAAATCATTCCTGTAAAATGTAAATCTACTAAATAATATTTATATGCTATTTATTCATATGCTTAACAACCGTTTTATTAAATTTGATATAATATATTTATATGATAATAGTGATGCAAACGTACGTTTATTACGAAAGTGGGTGTAGTCACTGTGGTATTTTTCGATAGGTAACAATAGCTGAATTGACTTGGCGAACTCCTCCCCAGTCAACCCCAAAAATCAAATAAAACAATTTCCGATAAAATATTTGATGAATAATAATAATTATGTTAAACAAATTGTGTTAGGCTAACGACATTCACCCTCTTTATACGAATTGCGTGTAGTATAATTTAATTATTGTTTTAATAGGCATATTATATAATTGTATTTGTATTCTATACACATAATGCAACTAGCATCTTCAGTTTAAGTTTAATCAATTATAAAAATAAACCATATTAAACTTGTAGGAATTAACAACTATCTACGCACATTAATATTCAATTGCTGTTCTAGTTAAATATACTAGAAATTTATAGTATACTTACTTAAATGAACACTAAAATGTCGAGTGTAGGTTGAAACTTGCGCTAGTGGCGTATTTGAGTCTTTAACTTGGGGGGAGGAGGGAAAATTGTATTGATTTGTAACTATAAATCAATTACAATTGTTTTAAACGAATCTTATCATTAATTAGAACTTAAAACGCTTGTAAAAAAATTATAACTTTAGGCTCAGATATTTTTTTTTTTGATTATAAAGTAAAACTTATGATGAACCTTGTATGAAATATTTGATCTTTTTTAAGAAGCTAAATACTATATAATTTCAATTAACTATAAATCAATTAAACAGCTTTAGAATATTTCCGAATTGAATTAGATTTAAAGGGTACTATATAAGTCTTCATAGGAAATTTCAAGTTACTAGGAATACTTTTACTGAATTACAACAAAAAAACAAAATCAACAGAATCTATTGTTCTATAAATATTTCCGTTTTTTGACTTTTAATATCAAGTTTCTCACATTATAAAACAAAATAAGAATTAAATCAAAAAGGAATTTGTCTAATGTACCTACTAAAAAAATTGTCTACGCAAAAACTCTTATTACTTATTAGAGTAAGATTTCTATTATAGTTATAAAAAATGTAATTATTATTATTATTTTTATTTGTTTTATTAATTTGTTTTTTGTAAAAAAATCTCTTGGGAGGGATTGTCTTTATCGCCCCCCTCCTCAAATGTGTTACTGGGATACTCGCATAAAGATACTTATCTACGTAATTTATACCTATAGAAATTTGTATAGGCAGTCTACGTAGTTTCCATCCAATTGGATGAATTCTTTCACTTTTCATGTTGCAAGAAATAAAATATTTTTAACGTGTATTTATATAATAATGCTTCATTTTTTTAAGATTTAGCATTTGTTCTGGGCAATAAAATTCCAAACTCAATACATAGTTAAGAAAAAGTAAGGCATTTTCGTAATATGTACAGGTAATTCTCGTCAATTATTTTGATATTTCTTTACACGTTTATTACTAACAGTCATGTATCTCAGCACTCATAAACTGTACGACAATCTGCAGTAGTACCAGATGTAACATTAGGTATGTTTTAGCATTATAAACCGTTTATACGTGATTATATTTGAGGTTATTTATATTATTCATATTGATATTATTATTAGTTATTCATTTATTATATACCTACGCCTACCATAAATATATTGTATACCTTCAAATACGAGTATATTTCGTGTTAGAGTTAGGTACATACCTTTTGATAAGAATGAGTTCCTAAAAAGAAAAAAGTTGATGAAGGATATTATATATATTGATAACAATGTTAATAGTGTTATTAACATCGTCATCAACTTTGATATTGTTATCATAGTCATGATAAGACCTAAATGACACCTGAAAAATTGAAATATATTAATTAATTCGAAATGTTTATTTTTGTTTGAAAGGTTTGAAGATTTGAAAGATAGCTTGTCGAAGAGTGGATCATAAAATACATTTCTTATGAATTTTACGTGAACTACTCTATGAGGCTAGAACCCAATAAACGTTTTACTATTTACTTGAATTCCTACAGTAAATTGTATCAAAATGTTGCCAACACCTTTTTTTTGATATAACCAACGATATTTAAAGTATTCTCCATTGTAACTACAACTAGTATAAACACTATATAATTTTCGCATTTGTTAAATTAAAAATCATTATATTCATCGATTCATCATATCATTCATAAATGTATGTATTATTCCAAAAAGTAACCGAATATCAGTAAACTCTTTTTCCAATTCGAAATAGATGGTTATAAAATCCACTTAACTGTTTACTATATGAATGAATTCGCAAAAACGTTGTTTGTAATCAATTAACTCACTATTGAAACACCAAAACTAGCCTATTTTGATTTAACTTCGCGGGTTAACGGCATTAGGTATGTAGGTACTAGAAGCTTGCACGGGCCAACAATTTTTGGCCCGGCCAAGTCCGGTATTTTATTGGCGTGCATGGAAAATCCCGGGCAGGTTTAAAAATATTTTTCAAAGCCGGGATTTTTCGCTAACGTATAAATGCCCACCCCGGCCTGGATTTTTCTGATCATTTTTTAATAATTGTACTACACCAGTCGTATTCTTGTTGGACTACAGATAGTATTAGGTTATAAATAAAAATCTAAGAAATGCCCAATATGTATATGTAAAAAAAAAGCTCTGCCCGTAATAGATCTAAAATTTAAAAGCCCGGTCTGGCCCACTTGTTTCTGTACAAAAAGTCCAATCTAGTCCGGCCAGTAATATATTTATATTTGAAACCCGGCCCGGCCCATGTATATTTGTAAACAAAAATCCAGTTCGGCCCGGATTTAAATGTAAAGAGCCCGGGCCGGTCCAGGCCAGGTCCAGCCCTTAAAGGTCTTTAGTTAGTAGGTTAGGTTAGGTACGTTATAAACGTTTAAAGAAATACCACGAGAATTGCCATTAATGCCATTAGTATACCTTACTTTATCCTATATTACTTATTATTTAATAATTTATCATATACATAATAATATAATGTAGAGGAATAAATTATAACTATCCAGGAATCGAGATTTATCCACACACAGATGCAGGGAATGAAGTAATTAAATATTACTAAAATACCAATTCAATAGTAATCATGCTATAGTATATATGACAGCGATTTGTATTAAATAGAGGAAACAGACCTGCACTTTGATTTCTTTCGTGTGTAATAATAGTTATTTATTTGTCTTCTAAACTTTTAATCGTGTACGCGCTTTATATTATACTCGTCCGTGATCTTAATGATGATATAATAACTTCTATACACCGATCAATAATATCCCAATTTCGAAAACCATCCGAGTATATACGATTGCAGTGAAAGTGAATTCAATGTCGTTTTCACGTTCAAATATACAAATCGTATACGATTTCAAAAATAAATCCCCGCGTCAACAGTTTACTCTACCGTTTCCATTACCTTGTATATAAATATATATATATACACATACACATATATATACATATAAACAGAAGGAGGGAAATTTTAAAGTACACACATATATTACAATATAGAGTATAGACAATATTCCGCGTGTACACTGACGGTCGTTTCGATTTATATCCGTTTTAACAAAACTGCTGACATAATATACTATAAAGCACGATATTTTTCATTTATTTATTTCTTATATGGTATTAGATTTATTTTATATCGTCGATTAACCAGCAAAACCGTGTAAGTCACAAATATTGACTATTTTTTAATTCTGAGCGAAGCAAGAAATGTATTGGTTTTACTACATGTATTTTTTTTTTTTTTTTATCTATAAATGTCTTCTATTAAAAATCTTGTTTCAATCAAAAACCTTATCGGAACTTTCTTGCAGAATTTTTTATCTAGTTGGTTTACAGCGGATATTATTTTTCGAGTTTTTTTTGCCATTTTTTTGTATTTCCAATCAAATTTGTCAAAATTGAACTACGAAGTAGTAACGGGTAGTCGACGATAGATAAGTTATTAGTACATATAATGTACCTACAGTTCACGTATCGACAAAAATTTATTGATTTATAGAATTAATTACTAATCACTTATTTATTCTAATTTAATTATAAAGTGCACAAGTCTTATATTTGAAACAATTTTAAAAAAAGACAATATTAAAAGTAAAATGTTTTTAAAATACGCGAATGAGGATTTTTATGATTTTCATTAATATCTAAAATTTAAACGCTTATACAAAACTGACTGCATTAGGCTAAACTTATTTCTTTTATCACAAATAACACCATATGCTGAATCTCATAAAATTTTCAAGTTGGCCAAAATAATTTTATCTAAATAAAATCAAACATTAGTTAACTAAAAATACTCAAAAATATCGAATAACTATAAATAGCTCAAGAATTGCTAGAATATTACAACGTCTAAAAAATACTAAACTAGACTTGTATGTGAAAATTACAGGTCTTCGGATTATTTTTTAACAAAAAACAAAAACGAAAATGATGATTTCATGGTTAATGCCAAAAACATTTTCTTTTTTTCAATTATTAAGAAAACTACATGAAAATTAATTACCAATAAGACAAAATTTGTTTTCAGAAAATATCCTATACTAAATCATAAAAACAACAAAAAAGTTCTACGACGTTGATTAGAGATAGAATTTTGGTAGAAAAGCTGTTCATCGATTCTCACCAAAAATAAAAATAATACATCTAAGCACATCATAATAAAACCAATATATTCATTGTCGCAATGCAATTTCAACTTACTTTTAACTTACTAGTTACCTAGTTTATACTGTAACTAAAGTACTTAACCAGATGTACTTTTCCACAAATATTGAGTAACTTAACCAGTTATTTAAAAAAAATTTAAAAGCTATTCCAATTTCTTTTTAAATAAACTATTCATTGTGATGTACACAATTTGCCAAATTTGTAAACACTCACTACAAAATATAATAATACAATTTAAAATTGACGCTAGGAGTCTCATAAATGAAAAGAATAAATATGGTATAAAATTAGTATTGTATTATTGGTATACTGATATTGCGTTCTGTGCATTTGTACTATTTCTCATTCATAAATCATAATTGATATGGTATAATATTTTAATGGTTTTAAATTATACATCGGATAAAAATTTTGGATTTTTGAACTCTCCCGTTTAACAAATATTTGTTGGAAATTAATTTAAGAAAATAATGCCGTCAAGATTTAAAATATTTTATTAATTGTATTTAATATTTTATTTTATTTTTCATATACATAATACATTTATACAAATCGTGTACCTATACATAGGTTCAACTAGACTACCAACTTTGGGGGTGCTAAAATTATGGATATATCAAAAACCCACAGGGACTATGCCCCCACAATCTCCTTTAAACGATTCTTACAATAAGCAACTACAGATTTCATTTAAAATGTTGTATATAGAAATTTATCATAGTTATTTTAACATTTTTTTTCTGATTGTCTATAGGAAATTTTGTTCTGCTCATTAATTTATGAATTATATGAATAAAATGTTATTACTATGAAAAACTTATTAAGATTTTTCGAAGGTCATAATCTTAATTAATAGTGCTAAAGTCCCCCTAGCAACACCCTTCCATAGTTGCGCCTATGCATGTATATAATTTGTAATGTTTTTTGTATATTTTAACTTTTTTCTAACTGTGTCCTTACTTTTTTTAGTTAAAAATTATCACGAACTTGCCCAGACATGCATTTTTGCTCGATCAAATAAATTATACTTATATAATACTACATAAATACTAAAAAGGCTAGACAGTTTCGAATAGCTATTATAAATAGCTCAAAAATCGCCAGAACATTATATAGGTACACAAATCTGTATTGCGAAATTTTCTTCTTTTTCACTACGTTTTTTGGAGGTTTTCCAATTTCTAAGAAAACTACGAGAAAATCAAAAAATAATATCCTTAATTTACCAACTAAACAACATTTTCTTCTATAAACCAAACTTAACGTTGAAGATCAGAGTAAGATTTCTGATAAAAAATTGTCCGCAGAAACAGCAAAAAAACTTAGTAGGGTTAATCTAATACATTTCTCACTACACTCAGATTCTAAAATAAATAATAATTGCATATACTTGTATATTATAATTAAAATGCATATACTATATGTATGATACAAATTTTGAATTACAATATTATATTATGTATATACATACATGATAATTATTTTGTGCAATACTAATTATAATATATTTTTATATGAAATTAAATATCTATTACCTACCCTGTGTTTTACCAATTAATTATAATTTATTATATATTTGTGTAGGTAGATCATTCGGTGATGGAAAATATAATATATTTATATTATATTTCCCTATTAATTGTTGATATTTTATCTCTTGTTATACTGCAACAGTGTCAACGCACATAAATACATAATTAATTAATAATTTAAATTTTATATTGTCAAAATAATGTCATCCGATGTGAATATCATCAGGTTCTTTATATCTCGTCCATCGAATAACTACCCTGACTCCCCGTATCCCTCGGGGAAAACATATATTCATTTTCGTTCTGATATTATATTCTCTAATGGAAAAGTGTTACTGTGTTAGTGACAACGGATCACTGACACAAAGCATCACGCCCTATACCGTATAAAATGCATCATATGGCGCGTCCTTTTCATTTGACTTTGATTGATTTTACAAAATGTATTTATATAATATAATAGGGTTTCATTATTGATAGACACTATTACAGGCAGGTGCCTATATAAATATAATGTACAAAAAATATATTATGCCATCTATAAAAAAAATATGATTTGAAAAAGAAGTATACGGTTAAAATTAATAAAATGTTGATTATAATTAATATAATATGATGATGGTATTGTACAGTAATAGCAATCATGATGAATTTCGAAATATAAATAAAATTGGAAAATCTACCTTTATAATATATTATGCAGAATGTGTTTATGTACATTGACTCTTAACATAATACAGCTATACGATTAAATTTTTATTTTTAATTGATGAATATACGTGGGTATTAAAAAAAAAAAAAAAACCGCTAGATATGATTTGCATATATTAATACAGTAGTAATAATATAACCCGTTCGCATACCTAGTGAATTAATGAAAAATTAATTAATTATTGTAAACACTTTAAATTGTGTGTGCTTACAACAGATGGATGGATGGATGGTTCGACGGAAATATAAAACAAGGTCGGGCTAGGTTATTAAATATGGGAGTGACGCAAATCTCAGGGGTTATAGGTTACAATAACTGGGTTTAATTCCCCAGATTTTTTTTTAGTGGATGGGTGATAATCGTTGTGGTTCACCATTGGTGATATATTTTCGTCTGTTATAGCCACAGAAATGTCAGATACTATTCGTCATTTTTCAATTTGAGCAAGATCTTTGGTAGAAAATTTGTTCACAAAGAAAAATACACAAATCGCACACTTCATAATAAAACCGGTATATTCCTTACTCGTTACGCTCAGCCTCAGCATCTACAAAAAAAAAAAAAAAAAAAAAAAAACAGCTATAGTAGTATGGTATTATATTGCAGTAGGTAGTATTCGTATAATAACGATGCGAGGATACGGTCTGGGTGGCGACGGTATATATAGTCGAGACGGGTGGCTGAAAAAAAAAAACATTTATTTACCAATATGTATCATCTATATAATAATAAAGGCGAACGAGCGTGGGGGGAAAAGTTTTTACTTTTTAAAAGCAAATACTTGTCCTGCGCGTGCTGCTGTGCGCCAAAGAAAAACTAAAGAACGACGAACGACGCGGCGTCCATACGATGGCGTTGCGGTGGTGTGACGTCATACACGCACACAAAAACGCGCGCGCGTAGCGGCTATATATATATATATATATACAATAAATATAGTGCGGGGCTGACGACGATGAGGGCCGCGAGCTGAGTTATAACGTCCCCGGAGAGGAGATCAACACTAGTTATCCATTGTGGTCGACGTCGGCGGTTGTACGGTCTTTCCTCCGCCGACGCCGCCACCACTATAATAATACTATCACCGCCGCCGCTGCCGCCGTTGACGGTAAATTATAAATACGCCATTAAACCCTGTCGCGGCGTCGCCGTCCTCGGTGGCATCCCTCGCGCGCGCCATACCGGCACATGATAATATTATACGTCTCCGTGCCGCCGTTGTCGTTTGTTGCCGGCGCGCAAATCCCGCGGGTGTGATGCGTGCGCCGGTACCGACTGCTGCTGTTGCTACTGTTGTTGTTGCTGCTGCTGCTGCTGCTGCTGCTGCTGTAGTTGTTGCTGTTGCTGCTGGTGTTAGTTGCTACTATTCTGCTATAACACAATATCTACTATACCTATTAGTGATATTTTTGCCATTTCTGCTGCCATAACCGTATAGATATATCTATAGCTGTAACTTTATTACTACCGGGTGTACTAATGCTATATTATAATATTATCATACACACATGTGTGTGTGTGTGACAGAAGTCGCTGTATGGGCACCGCCCACATATCGCTTTTCGCGCGTTTTTCTATCGTGTTCGCGACCACTGCTATACGATAACGCGGTAGTCGTATTTAGCCCGTCCCATGATTCTGCATCAAAATATATTATTTTTCAAGTTCACCCATGTGTTTTTCACGGAAATCTAACAAAATGTCCGGGGATAGAAATATATTATTCCCGATAAATGGGAAAAACGGGAAAATGGACGAAATGTAATATTATTATTTTTTGTTTTGATTCAGTTAAAAATATTTGCAGACTTGAGCTTTGGACAGAAAACTATTTGCCAAGCAGAAATACTAGAACATGAGGTTCATCACAAAGTCGTACTTTGTGGTCAAAAAGAAAAATTTACTGTAATGTAGAATTTTTTTTATAAGAATTTTAATATCAAAGTTTGAAAGCACACTATTCACATAGCTCCATTCAGAATCAATTTTCGTTAGCAATGGTTAATCGTTGGGTACAGATATACATTAAATTTCCCCTCTATACTTTTCCAACTTTTCACTTAAAATAGTGTCCCCCCACCGTGGGAAGTATGTCCGTCTTTTGTAATTTTATTTTTCTTTATTTGGACATTTTTTTCTCAGACTTTTTTACCTCTGGACATTTTTTCCTAGGACATTTTTATTCGGACATTATTACATAGATCCATTTTTCATTACCATCGGTTCAGGGCTGGCTTTAAGGAAGGTCTAAAGAGCCTTGGCTCTAGATTCCCCACAAAATTCGACTTATGTGGAGCCCCCACAGGTTAGTAACCATCACAAATTTGTTTACTTATGAGTTGAAATAGATTATGATAATGTTGAGATAGCTTTGTCACTGAATGGTAGTATAATAGCTATGAAATATAACATATTATATTTTTTAATCAAAAAATTACATGATATCAAATTGTATTATTCATTTCGTGAAAATATGACCGAGAAATGTTTAAGCATTTCACTAAGTGGAACAAATTATTTCTATTTTATGAACTACATATTTATGTATACATAATAGCATTGATTAAATATACATGGACAGTCCAAGTCAATGGACAATATGGGAACATTAATATTAGTAGCTTAAGAATGTTAATGAATAGTGGGCACAGTAATTCCACAGTAGTATCCACTCAATAATTAAAATCGAAATCAGGTAGACAATGAAAATATACACGGGCGGTAAGGGGTACGCCGGCAAAAGGCCTTAATTGTCAATCAAACCGCGATAAGAAGTGCCTATTTCAAGAATAGATATTAATATTGAATATTATTATTGTTTCTGAATCTGACTATTCGTTGTATTAGTTTACATTTTGAGTGAAGACAGCTCCTTTCACATTAAACGGTTTTGATCATACCTACAGCAAAAAACTGGACGGTAAAAATCCGATCGGGAAAATTAAATTGGTTTGCACGAAATTTATCTAATCATTTAAAAAAATCTTGCAAATATATTTTTAAAGTTTTTGGTTTCATTTTAGATTCTGAGCGATGAATGTATATTGATTTTACACTGTGTTTTTTTTTCTCTTGTGTCTGGCACCACCTTTCGGGGCAGTTAAAATACTTCGATTTTCTTCATCAGCATCTTTTCTGGTAGGGAAGTAGATCTAGTTAGTACTTTGAGGGGTCAAAAGTGAAAATTCCCAATAGTTTTTAAAAGCGTTAAGAAAAACCAACAAAAAATTAAGACAAATCTGTGATTATTACGCAAAATCGGCTTTAGACTAAATCGATTTTGGTTTTTGGTGTAACTCTAAAAAAATTACCGTAGATACATGTATACATGTTACATTGTTACATGATACATGTTTTCATTGAAAGTTTAAATTAGCAATTTCTATATACCATACAATTTTTAAAATATGTTGACTCTTTCTGAGCTCTTTATAGGCATATAAAAATGTCTACTTTTATTTGTTTTTTTTTTTTTAATTATTGTCGATAAAAAATTATTTGTTCGGTCAAAATAATTGGAAATTTAATACAAGGTTACTCAGAAGTTGTTGTTAATGGAAATTAAAAAAATGTTAAGTTTAAATCCACATACATTTATAATGAGCCTAGCGTCTACAATAAGAATCACAAAGTTCGTCAAAATCATGAAAATTTGGAAAGTATTTTAAGTTAGAAATACATACATTTTTTTTATTTGTATCTAAGAGCCGAAAATTTAAAACAAGATTCTTCATACATTTTACAACCTTTAAAAAATAATGAAAAAATATACCGGAAAGTTGAACTAATGTTTTATGAGTGTTTGAGGTTTAAATTTTTTTGACATTAAATATTCATCGGATTTCTCAAGGAATGATTTTATTATTTATTTGTAATTCAAAAATAAATAACCATAGATGCTTGAAATTTGACAATTTTTTCAACATTTGAACTTAACATTTTTATTTAAAAAAAATGGGCATTTTTATCGTAAATATGTTTAATGATTAAAATAAAAGTGTCATCGTTGGGTGGCTTCTTAATTCAAAATATAATAACGTTGTTGCAAATTTCAATTTCAATTTTGCAATAAATATGATAACATTAATAACAGTTAGGTGATAGTTATTTGGTCTTGGTAAAACAAAACACTTTCATGAAATTACAAATTACTAACAGTGCAACCTATTAGCATGGCCCCACACTACTAAATTTCTGGCTCCCATTTCATTTTATAAAGCGTTAACGAATTTTCCTATCAGTTGGACTATCTATGTATATTTAATCAATGATAATAGTATACAGAATGGTTCTTTTATCATGAACCAATAATTTTTTTGGAGGATTTTATGTGAATTTGATTCTTGAATTTTTTTTTTAATCGTTATGCAATCATTTAAGATTTATTTTAACACCATTTTTAATTGTTTACGCCTACTTCTTATACCTGAAATGAATATCAAATTATAATTTTTAAATAGTAACCCCCTCTTTGAACCACAAATTTAAATAGAGAATATTTTTCTAAACATTTTAATACACAGAACATTATAATATCAGATTAACCATTTATGAGTTATAAGTTATAACTGTAATATAACTTATAACAGTTTAAAACTAATACTGGAAGAGTAGGGAAGAGTTATTATTTATTATTTATCATTTAAAAATATATATGCAACTACTCTTCGTTACTCCTCCTGTCTAAACTTTGAACTGTTGTAACTCATAAACAGTAAATCTGATACAAGTGTTAATGTATTATGCATATTAAATCGTCTAGAAAAATATTATTTATTTGAACCTGTGTTTAAAAAGTGAAGGGATTTTTGTTTTAAAATCAAAAATTCATACTTATTTAAGATACATGGTGTAGGAATAAAAATGTAAAAATAGTTTTTAAATAAACTCTAAATCAATCTCCAATGGTTAAAAAAAAAAACAAATCAAATTTATTTAAAATTTTTACAGAAAATTGCAAGTTCAAGATAAATGAATTACCCTGTATATTAATATATGATATATCTATTAAACATTTTTAACTAGTTTAGCTATAAATTATACAATTATTAACGTGTTTTCTTATTACTATATTACTATATTTAGTTAATATATTTTAAAATTATTCAATAAATTAAATATATTATTTTGTAAATGAACCCTGGGATCCATTTTTACAACAAAAAAAAAAAAAAAAAATAGAAAAGTTAGGTTTGACTCAAAGTATTTTGATATAACTTATGAAATTTACTTTTTTACCTACTTATTTATATTTATAAAAAAACGTATACTCCGACATTGAATAAAAATAAAAAATTGTATATTTTAACTTTAACTACTTTATGCCACACCCAGTGAATATGTACTTATTCCAGTATACCGACATCATTATACTTCCATTTCTCTTCGAATATGTATAAGCTGTCAGTAAAAATAACAAAAATAAAATGTATACTTAAGTATGGCATTGATTGTGATCTCTACAATTTATATAGATCTACTAATATTATACGTTTTTTATAATATTACTTAATACAATTGGCCATGTATACATATTGTATTTATAATACACGTGTATTCAAAAAATTATGTAGATATATTTATCATACATTATTTATTTATTAATTTAATTACGACCCAAAATCAAAATGAAAAGTACAACTTATTTACTTTATATGATTGATAGAGTTTATAAGTATAACAATAATATACGAATCGGATATTATGATAAAAAATGTCTACAAAAATTGAGTTCTTTAATAGTTTATTAAATTAATTATTAATAGTTTAAGGAAAAGATGGTATTAACCAGGTATATTAATACATCTAACGTCAAAAACCATAAGTGTTAATTAGCATGTTATCTACACACAAAAAATATAAAAGTACATATTATATACCTAAATAATAAGTACATAATAGGTATAATTCTCTAAAATATTGAACGTTTTTTTTAGATTCTGAAAGTATAGCGAGGAGTGTATTGAATTTACAATGCTTTTGCTGTATGCTTTTTTTGTATTATTACTATTATTTTTTTTTTGTGTTTGTTTCTCTACTTTTCTACCACAAAATCGTCTTCCGATTATCCACTTCAGAATTAGTTTCTGATATCAAAAGTAGTTTAAATAAACTTCACTCAGAGTTTTTGAATCGATAAATCATTTTAGACAAATATAAATTAAATTAAATGAAGTTTATATTATTTATCTAGTGAATACACAATACACATGTATAATATATATTATTATAATTTATATAAGGAACATCAAAAATAAAAATTCAATATTTATTTAATTAATATTATTCTGTAAAGCGTAAATATATTACTTATAAATTAAAATAGAACGATGAACCAGTTGTCTATTTAATACAAACACTAACTCATTACCTACTAACATTTCAGTAGGTAACTTTACAATCCCACAAGAACGCAAAATGAGTTTTTGTACTGTGTGGAAAACCGGAAGAGAGATCATTTATTAACTTGGGCTTCCATTAAAATCTATCTGTCACCCCCTCCACGGGATGCCGACGGTAGTCTACACGCAGTTAATGCGCAAACCTTGTCCGGGAACCTCAGGCTATATTGATTCGGCGGGGTCTACGGGGCGGATTTAGCGCACTCGCTGTGTTCTGGGACTTGCGCAAAACCCGGAAATATAAAAACAAATGGGAAACGCTTAAACTTGGCCACGCCAAACATTTTATTTATTTTTATTCGTCTTTTCTGCCTCTTTTTAAAACATTTTTTTTTTTATCCTGAATCGGAAATGTCGTTTTTCAATCGTCCATATTATAATAACGCCTCTGTTTATTGAAATGTAGGATTACGACACAGATATTCAACTTTTGATCACTCCTTTAAAACCCAGTTAAGACCGTGGCTTTAAACTGAGAAACTTTAACAGGATACCAAGTTTACAGATATATTTGTGCTTTGAATATTAATGAGATTATAACTGAATGGTCTAAATAAAATTGTGTTTACAAATAACAATACAAATTATTAATTATGTTGTAGTAGGTATCGCCATTTAACAAATCTCAATAAATATTTGAATTTAAAATAACAACTTGTATATAGTAATTAATTTTGTAATAATTTACCTTTATACATCTATACTTATACGTACTCTTACGAATTTAAAAGAATGAGTTAGACATAATTTACGTCGTGGGTAAGCTACCCATGTTAGATGAAAATTCAGGAAAGTATAAGGTATTAGGCAATTTAGTTTATTAATAAAAGCAACGATAAAACCATTACCATGATAAAAAAGAAAGATTTTGATAGGAGTAACCAAATAATGGTAATTTGAAAACCAGATCTAAAATAGACAATTATTGTTAAATAAATCCAGTTTTTAATTGTATAACTTGTTTGAAATTTAAAAATTTTATTTATTTGTTTTAATATTAAATTACTAAATCAGTATTCCTAATAATTATTGTTGCATTTTGATCATTTCTGATATGTTGCTATTGAACCTTCCAATCTGTCGATCAATGTTCAACATTTTAGATCTCTGTTGCTATTTATTTTTGTCAAGTTGTTCACTATTTTAAAAAATACCTCAGTTTAACACAATAATAGCCTACTTATAACTAAAATTAGTAAACTAAAACAGATTTAAATATTTAAACTTTTTAGTCAATAATTTTAGCTTATATTTTATTATATTCTATATAGGTAGATGTGAAATAACTAAAAATATTATAACAATAACTACCTATTACTTATTAATTCGTCATAATGAAATCTTAATAAAATTATTAAAAATCATTTATTAATTTAAATCATATAAACTAAAAGATTATAATAACTATTATTTACTACCTTATTTACTCACAAAATTGCCGATTTGCGTTAGTAAAATAAATAAAACAAATAAATAAACATTATGATTATAATTACTAATACATAAGTCAATGCTGTAGTGCAATGGGGACACATATCCCTCAGATATAATTCGTTATATTACTTATTACAGTTATTTTAATGTATTTTATCAATCTAAAAATAATAGGTAAAAATAAAAAATTATAAATGCTCCCTCCTCGAGTTTTGTGGCTACTGACATAAGTGTCAACTATCTTATCAAAAAGTAATACTCATAAAAATCAAGATTATTATTATTATATAACAAAATAATTTATATTTTATAATTATTCATATCTTTAAATGCTCGTGACAAGTTTTAAAATATGGTTTACTAACATATTATTTAACTTATGTGAAATCGTGTATTTATGGGAAGGTCTAGGGGTACTGGATACCTTATATTAAATACCTTCCAAAAAATGCCCAGCCACGAAACTGTTATAATCTGTTAACTCTTCGCAGAAAAAGTTGAAAATACGCCACTATCTATGGCTTATATAAACAGATCTGTTGATATTTAACTGAAGACACTGTGCATAGATACTGTATAAGTTGAGATCATATTATAGATTTAACGAATTGCTAAATCTATTATAGTATCATCAGTTATCATGTTATCCACTGTAGTATATAATGTATTTGAATAAATATACTGTAGTATTTGTATGTTGTATATATTTTTGGATTTAATGTACGAAACATAATTAATTAAATTACTGTACTGCGTTATTGTAATTAAATCATATGTTACTATAATTAAATCAATTATACTGCATAATCGTATACTTACGAGAACTATAGGTATCAAACAATTTATAGGGATTTTAACATGACGAAAAGGGTTTTAAATTATAATATATCATGAACTATATATCACTTACATGAGTGGTATATAAATAAGTAGCTGACTTTTGCCAGCTTCTTATTTATGTTTCCCCGGAGCATGCGTTGATCAGACCATCATTGATCTCCAAATAAAGAATAATGATCTATCTAGCGATTTAAAGTTTTTTAAATATTAACGCACATGCAAACTATATTTTTAAATAATTTTCTTAGAATAAATCCTAATAAAAAAAATCAGTTTCGTAGTTCCCATTTTCTAGGTTAGTTACGGGGGTACATCCCCTCTCTCCAAATCGTTTTAAAAATTAGTTTTGTTGAATTTTATCATCCTTAAAAAAGTAGGAATTACAAAAAATGACAAGTGCAATAGTGCCCCCTCTCCGAAATTGTTTTCTGGCTACGACAATGTAAAAAACCTATTTTAAAATTTATTGCATACTGTATACAAAATAAAAATAAAATTAAAATGTTAATAATTTTACAAATTTGATTTGTCTATTTATTGTACGAAACCATACATTTATGATACATTTAAAAAACAAATAAAATAAATTAAAAAATGATCTTTTAATTGAATCAGCTAAACCAGTGGTTCTCAACCTTTTATTTTATTCGTGTAACCTTTATTTACGATAATCCGACACTGCATCGCCTTACTATTAAAACATGTATAATGCATTAAATTTCTAAGTTTTAAACTTTTTTTGCTTCCATGAGGATTTTGTGTCACCTTAACAGAAGTCCATATGACCCTAGTTGAGAACCACTGAGCTAAACAATCCCTACTTATTTTTACCAGAAACCATCACAAAAATACACTACATAGTAAATCTATCATAATAGAATCTAAAATAAATTTATATGTAAGTAAAACGTTTCATTTTTCTTAAATTATTAACCCCTCAGGTTATGTTGAATTCAACTATTTTAAGGAACATTAAATTTTGTTTTAACTCTTATAGTCCTTCTTTTATTTTTCCAATTCGAGAATTATATATATATAATAAAACATTACAATAATTTGTAAAAATTGTATAATATGTCCACTATAACTTGTATAATATTTACCTAATGAAATTTAAAAATGTTTATAGTTACGATTTTTACTTTCAAATGTAGCTCTATAATAAATCAGCCAATAATAACAATATGCGTTGTATTACCATCATCATAACAGTAGTATTAAACCCCTTGTTCCGGTCATCATCCCTTTACATATTTATGATACCGCATATGGGTTTTTTATTTCGGACGGATGTTGATTTATGACTGGCTATATTATGTGCACGCTGGGTTAACGCAGCGTTAATTAGATAGTTAGATCCGCGAGGTCAATGTTAGGTTGGGGTCGCCCCCAAATCGACTAAACCCTTTACATATTTTTTTGTCCAAACCAAATGAGGTTTAAAATTTAATAAAAAATCAAATCCAATCAAAAATCAGCTGGCACATAATATGAGTCATAAACACCTGACAGATAGATAATGATTACCATTATAATAATAAACAAATGAAAGCGATGCAAACGATGCTTGCAACCTGATAGTTATATTAATTTTATTTTTCAATGATAATTGAGAATCCACAACTTTGTGGTTGATTGGGAGGGGGGTTAAGTGTTACTTATTTCACGGGTCATTCCCGACCATTGCCTCTCTTTTTTCTCCTTGGGGAAATTCCCTTTTTATAACAATATGTATATTGTATATATATATTATATAATATATATTTTGACCCTCGTACAAATCCCGAAATAATTTTGAGTATTATTTGGCTACTAAGCCATCCAATGGCATCCAGAGAGGGTTCAATTTTGCTATTTTTGTATTTTTTTTTTTTTTTTTACTGTTATATGTATTTGTGTGAAAACAGAAACCAGGCTATAAATCTATTGGTCCGCAAATCCCAATTGCGTACACGTTATGTTATGGTGTTATATGTGTAAAACCACGAAATAGAAGGAATACCGACTAAAGCATTTTGTTAGGATTACCAAAAAAAATCTCTAAGAAAAATACACATCGTCCCCTTCGGTCAGTTTTTACAGTTTTTATTGTGTTGCGCTCCCCACTGTATTTCCCAGTTTTATGATCTTATACGTGTTATTATACTCTACCACGTATATTTTATCGTGGTAAATAACTAAATAGTTATAGATAAGCAAGTACAATATTTTATAGGTTTTACGTATCCTCAAACAAGTACCTACAGCTTAATGTTATTTTTTCTGTTCCACACATTATATAAATTATAAATTGTAAAATAATACAAGTTAGTGGTGATTAATATATTTATATACATATATATATATATATATATATGTGTGTGTGTGTATCAAATATTAGTTATACATATTATATTACAGGCAGTACCCTAAATTACCTACACTAATAAAGTTATTAACTTGAATGCCGTATCTGCTAGGTATTAAATAAGATATTACTGAATTTATATTTTTGATTTTGTACCTTGTATGTCAATAATTATTATCAAGTAGGAATCGGTATAATGTGTATCTTAAGTTATGAGCATAGTAGACACGTATCCAGAATTTTTTTCTGGGAGGAAGGAGGGTAGGCTGATAGCTTTGTTTAATAAATACCATTACAAAGCTCAAGAACCCGTCCTAAGCCGTCCTGAAAAGCCTTCTCATTTCCAACCATCAATACGTCTCAGGAGCAAAGCGTTTAACTATGATGTGATATGTTTTTAATTTTCTTTTTCTGTCTGTGAAAAATTATCAAAAATCTTGCTTCTATCGTCAACATCTAGTGATACCAGAGAGGTGGTTTCTGGTGATAAATTTTGTTTAGTTGCGCATTGAGGCAGTTATTTTTTGATTTTCCAAAAAAAATATTTCTTTAATATTTGGAAAAAAATCTGGTATAACTGTTTCTGTTATTTTCGATTTTGTTTTTTTGTATTAATTCAGTGAAAAATACTCTGGAAATTTCGAACTAACACTTATATTAACACTTTTTAAACGTACCCTGGAACAAGTATGTAAATATTCTATCATTTTTTAATTATTTTTAATAATTTTTAATTTTTAAACTGTCGAGTTTTTTTTTTGTTATATGCACCGGTACCGTATTTAGGTAGGCTTGCCTCCAATATAATCGTATTTATACCCCTCCCAAAAATATAATTCAGTTTTAGGTATTTTTGTGACTAAGAGAGGGGGGAGGGCTTGTCGACTCATCCTCAGTAACTTCTGAAATCCTAGCTACTACCCCATGGTTATTTTTGGCTTGATACAGTAATGACTCAAAAAAGGAGGGTAGTTAGGGTAGGTGCCTATTTGGATATGAAAGTAAGTTTCCCCTCTTAAAGGTATTACCTTTTTTTATCAGAGGAAGTACAATTAGATGTCGTGAGTATAGATTTAACAAAATTTAAATATCTAAGTATCTATGAGGAACATAATTGTTCCTCTAAAATAAGTCTAGCCAATTGTAGAGAATTGCTTTATTGAATATTATTGTTTATCTGTCGCGAACTGGAATGCGCATCTGGGCTGCAAAACACTGAAGATGGAAATATACACGCAACTTATATTTTTGATGGCGCTAATGGTTTTTATAATAAATTCAAGTAAAAACATTTAAAAGAAAGACATAAGACGTAGTTGAATATAATACGACAATTGCATTTCATAAGTATTACAGTTCAACATGGTTGGTCGGAGCCTAAGTCTATGTTAAGACTAGATCGTTCTTAACGGTGAACTTATAGTGTTTTTATAGAATGTGTTGAATTGAGATTGTTTTTGTTTATTGATTTTCAATTATACATAATGTGGTACACATAGTTATCGAGGTACAAAAGTATAAGTATTTTGTTATTTACAGATTTATAAGACATTAAATATAGCACATTAATATAACCGTGTTCTGATACACGGATATCATAAAAATTGATCATGATTTATAATTGTATTTTAATATAAACAGTATTATGAGTAATTTGTTATTCAAATGTTTTATCAAATATAAAATATATTGTAATAATTAATACACGGGTGTATCATTACAATATGCTCAAAATTTACTCAAAGATTTTTCATAAAAAGTTGTTCTTATGACAAATTAAAAATGTAGAAAATTATGTATTCATGATTTTTTTTCATAAGCATTAAAGCTCAGATTTGTAATAAAACTCAGGAATATCACCGGTGTTTTACCATTTATTTTCAATCTTTTTTTTTTCTTGTAATCCATTAATAGATAATTGAAGATTGGAAATAAATAATGGACTAAAAATTTGATTTTGAGTTATTCTTGATACAATCTCACCAGTGGCCTCAGTACATAGCTCTCATTTTGTTATGCCTTATACACACTACTATTATGGTCGTGGAACATATTATCACTCTCTATAGGCTGTTGACGATGGTACATAGCTCAGTTTTTCGGGTGTAACTCTTTTTTTTTTTTTTGGTACTTAGTTCGTTATTGATTACCAATCTTAATAATTATTGTAGACACTTGAAATAATCGACGAAAATCTACGTTTGGATATATTAGCTTTTCAAAGATGTGGTATGATTTTAGAATAATTTTTGGTATTACTTGGATAAAAATATTGTAATTTATTTTTATCAGTATATTGAGTTAAAATTTATATTAAAATTCATTAAAAACAAGAACAATTGCAATTTTGTAGCTACAAATTAATAAATAAATGTATAGGTACTCTATATATTTGCTATATCTTTTAACTTCCCACCTATAACAATCTTTCATCCATTGTGTAAAGTATGTTCGGCTTTTTGTAACGGTTTTAAAATTGTATAGTATATACTATATAACATATAAGTAATAAATAATAGTATTATACGTTTCTAACTTGTATAATCATTGGTATGTATCTATATATAAATTGAAATTGATTATAGTACAGCGTTTATAATAGTTGAAACTTTTAAATAAACATTGAGCATTGCAGGATAAACTTTTTCTGTGTTCCTTTATAACTACAGTTTTCGAGTGTTCAAAAGGAGTTCGCAATGATGTTCGGGAAGAATGGACAATTGATACTTTTAATAAGTAATCTATACCGGCTATACCTATAGAAATTAAAGTTTTTTTTTTTTTATTGGAAACAATAAAGTTAAGCTAATAGAAATAGAAATAATGTAGTAAGTAATATATGTATATTATATATGCAATATTGGCACCGATTAAATATGGAAACATTTAACAAATATTAAATACCAATTGTGTGGACAGGTTGCATATAAGTATTAAGTATGTTTTAGAATTTAGAATTTAAAATATAGCTATATATGAATATATGTAATTAGATCAAATATGTAGGTAAACGTCATATATAAATATATAAACACACGAATGCTGTGTTTACACTATAGCTGTAGTGCGTATGTTGTCTAAAATCGACACGTCCATTTTTGCGGTGATACAGTAAAATATCTATCGAAATTGATAACTGATCTTATCTTTTAATATTCAATAAATAATAATAGTCTTTTATCTGCATGGTAATTTAGAGAATTCGTTTTTTGGTTTTCATGCGGTTTTCATAATATCTGGGAAAAACCGGAATAAAATGTTGGAAAAACGGAAAATGTACGAAATGTAGGTATTAGTAAAAAACTATTATTGCCTTTTTTTTCTGTGCACAACTTTTCTACCATTAATTTCGCTCCGATTTAAAATTATAGGACTTTTTCTGAATGGAAATCTGACGGGAAGGTACTTTAAGAAGGTAATTTTTCGATTTTCCCAATAAATGGGGAAAATCGGTACAACATTAAACAAATATTATTAAGAAAATATATAATGCCTATTTAATTAGTTTACTACAATGTGACAAAACATCACTATAAACTGAACTGCCCTCAGAATGCAGCAATGGTTTATCGTTGTTTATACATATGCGTTAAATTACCTATAACAGTGGTTGTACCCGTTTTCATTATCTTAGGATGTCTTTTTTTTTTTACTTTTGTCATGGAGATTGCTATAGATTTGGTATCCAATAATTTTCTTCTGATATTGATATATTGTGAATACTATCGAGTGTACGTTATTAACACCACTTTTTAATTGCTAAATCTAGAAAATTATATATAATAAAGTAAAAACTAAACTATAATTAAAACTAAATATTGAAGTCAAAATGAATGGAAAAATTTTTTTTACAATACAATTTGCAGATAGTGGAATAATACACATTTGTAACACCAACATTTTATTAAAAAATTATTTTCTTGGTTTTTTCTAAAATACATTTTTAAAAAATTCTTATATTTAGTTTTGAAAAATATATCAAGCATAAGAATGATATCCCAAGAACCTAGTAAGTATTACAAATAATAAAAACCTATAAATACTGAAAAGAACAAAAGTTATTGCATATATCACATCTCCGTGGGACACCCTATAATATAGTAGCGGTGTTTTCAAGCAAATTGCACCGGGGAAGGTAATATTAAAATAAAATATTTTTCGAAATCGGTATTGAAAAATAAAGAAATTAGATGTTATGATAGAAAATTCGGAACATCATACGGAGCATGGAGGAGGAGACAATTATCCCTTTATCCCTACCGCCTCTAAGGGATACTTCCAGTGTATAATTGATCTGACTTTTGTATCATGAATTACTGGCTACCTATATTATCATAGAATGCGTATTTTGGAACGATAAAAATGATACCTTTTTTTTGTAACCGGTGAAAATGTAAACAATTTTGTAGGTTAATATATACTATATATAGACCAGCAATATCATAATAATCCATATTATTATTCCCTGTTCGGCACTGGATTTCTATATACATTCAAGCGATAAATTCACAACGAACGAATATCCGTGCGGTAAAAGCATAGTATATATATATATAAAAAAACACGAATATTTACAACCGGTAATAATGGTTTTTTTTTTTTTTTTTATTATTATTATAGGAAGGTATATTATATTATATAGTGACATACGTGACAAAACACGGCATACAGTATGTAGGTATATTATAGAGGCCCGCGTAAAAATAACGAAATAAAAGTCAATAAAAAAAAAGCTTTGATGATTCCGTAATAATATGTCACCCCGTCAGTCGCGATCGTATATATTATATAGGTATACTAAGCACGTTACTGGGCGGGGGAGGGACGTTCGCGCAAGCACCGGCGTATTTTACGAGCCGTGAAAAGACGGGTGTCGACGCGGCGAAGGCGGCAGCGATTGAAGTCTGTGTTGGTCGACGTCGGAGAGCAGTTTATTGGTTTATGAATTTCGTATTTGTGTACGCGCGCGCGCCGCCGCCACCGCCGCACGATAGACGCGGTCCAACAAGTCGCGACCGACGACGACAACGGCGACGGACGAGGCGGAGGAGAATGTTATTATACAGAAACCCGGACGGGCGCTTTCGTTTGTTTGCGTACACATATTAGAATAATAATAATATTACACGTGTGTGTGTGTGTGTGTACGTTTTACGGCCTCTAACGCCGACACGAAACGAAAACGGTATGATTTCACCATTAGCGGATTAATGGACACACACACACGAACACCCCGACCCCGACCCCGGCAGCGGGTACAGACCGATTTATTACACCTCTTCTTCGCCCCGCTCGCCGCGCGCGCGCACCCTAACCCCGGCGGCGGTGCACAACACGACACTATATTATTATACGTGTGCAGTTTGTATACACACCATATAATATATAAATAATATAATATACGTATATTACGTGAACACCCACCCTCGTCGTCATTTCTCCTGTGGTGTGTGTGTGTGTGTGTGTGTGTGTGTGTGTGTGGGTATGTGTGCGTCCGTCCGTCCGTCTGTCCGACTTACGCGCCCTCGCGGGGTTAGAGTAAATTGAACGCTAAATCGCGTACGGTCGCCGTGAGAGAGAAAAGGGCGCGTGATTTTCCACTACCTCGGCAATACCAACGAGTTTGGTTAAACGCATGTGCATACATATATATATGTAATATCGTCGTGCGCATGCCTGTACAAACTCGCGGTTTATAAAAAAAAAAAAAGAGCTGATACTGAACATGGGTGTGTCACTGTTGTTGGTGGAAAGTTGAGAAGCTGTGATACATAAAGTTATTTAATGTATACCTGTTATCTGTAATCAACGAAAAACGATTTGGAGCAAAGTTCGGTTATACGTGTTTTGAAGGCCGCAATATTTATGATTTTCGTCAATATTTAATATTGAAACTCTTCTAAAAAAAAAAAACTATACTTGGGCTAATATTATTAACTAAATTACAACAAATAACAAAACTAAAAATAATAAAAACATTATTTTCATAAATTTCGTTTTAGTATTTTTCAGATATTCTGAAAACTGCTTAGAAAATCAAAAAATGACCCCCCCTTAAAGTACCATTTAGACAATATTCCCTTTCAGAAATGGTGCCACATGTACATATTGAAAAAAGACTCCTAGTAGACATTTTTGTCATAATATAAAAAAATAACAATAATAATAATAAAATAAACATCTTTGTAAAACCAATACATTTCGTTACACTTAGAATCTAATATTGAATGTAGACATGTAGTATAAAATTGCGTGCAAATTTTAGTAACATAAAACAATTGAATAAATAGAATCTGGTCAGTTTTATATGGATAGCTAAAAAATGAATGGTTCACAATATCACGGAAAAATAATTCGTTATAAAGTAGTTTTGCTCTTATATTTTGTATCTATGAGTCCCATTAAAAAAATGCTCCAGAGGCCTTTGTTGTGCCAGACCGACACTAGATAATGTTGTTATCTTTAAATTTGTTAATAAGTAATTTAAGGTTTAGGTTAGGTTAACATTAGTGGTGCACTCTTATAACGCTTGGAAAATCAAAAAAATGATCTCCTTAATGCACCATCTAGCTTCAAAATGCAACTAAGTTCTCTTGTCATTTTTTGATTGAAGCAAGATTTTTGATATAAAAGTTACTCATAGACACACGCAAAACAATAATAATGATAAAATCGCACAAATCATAGCAAAACCTATACGTCTCTCACTCCACTCAGAATCAAAAAAATTAAAAACTGAATTGCGACGAAAGCAAACAAAAAATATAAAAATACTACGATTTAGAAAAATGAAATGTGATAGAAAATATGTGATAAAAAAAACAGTCTTGAACTGATACAGAGGTACGTTATCTTGAATAATAGAATTTACAATAGAAATTTCGGAAGCATCTTTAATGGATGCAATTTAAAAAAAAAATTGTATACACGTGAATAGTTTTCACAGAATACTTGTTTTTTCATACATTTTGTCGATTTTTGAATCATTTATAAGCATTGGACATTTTAGAATTTGTTTTAATTTTTATTAGCTATTATATCTTTATATGAATATAATTATTTGAGCCAACAAAAATAATTAAAATCTTAACACAAAGTTCATAATAAGTTGTACTTATTGGCTGAAAAAAAAAGGGTCTAGCGTAATGCAATATTTTTTTATGGGCATTTTACGATCAATATTTGATGAAAATCGTAAAATTTATGGCATTTCAAAACACTTGGCTAAGTATCGTTCTTTTTATTTGTTTTCATTCAGTTAAAAATAATCATAGAGACATGAAGTTTTCACTAAATTATACTAAGTTATATTAACATTTTTTAAACGTAATTATATTTTTAAAACATTTTGATGTTTTTAAGTAATAGCCATTTTTAATTTTTTTTAGTTTTTATACAAGTAAAATTTGTTTGTCTTTTCAAAAATAATTTAAAATTTAGTACAAGATTCATCATAAGTTGTTCTTATTGGACTATACAAATTTCGAAAATTTCTTTTAAAATCATTTATACCTACATCAAATTTTGATGAAACCCTTAAAAATAAGGTATTATCCAATTGACATAGATAAAATTATTTTGACTCAAAATGTTCAGAAATTTGAGACGCAAAAACATGAACAATTTATTTTTTAGTTACACATTAATAAAATGTTCATTAATTTAAGTTTTTTCAAAACATAATTAACCAACAATGCTCACAATTTTTTTCACAGTTATTTATCATACAGATATAAATTAAATTTCTCTATAATATATATTATATTCTTCCTTCCGAACTTCCTGTCTACAACTGTGGCCTACTCATAAGCAGTATCATTTTGTACGAGGAGCGTAGCGACGTACCTTCAGAACACCCGAAATGTAGTGACTTTTTTTTGTAAGCATATATTTTATTATTAAACATTATTTAAATAATTTATTTAATATACACGTAATGTTTTAAGTTCTTTAATTGAAAGTTTCATGACTAAATAAATATTTTGGAACATTCAACTATTTTATTAACTGCACTGATAACAATCTTTACTATATATGCGTATTATCACGATCGAACTTAACGAATTTATAAATATATTATATGTTTGTGACGACATGCCACTTATTGACTATAATAATATGCATCATTACATTTTAACAATTTATATGTTAAGTTATCTGATATTACACACGTAACATCTAATCGAAAGGAGGGTGTGACTCTGCTGAAATCAGAAGGCATGAATAAATTGGTTTTCATTCAGTAATCCCTGGGTCACCGGGATTACAGGATTATTAGATATAACCCCTCTACTTTTATTACTTTTCACGTACCGAACATACGAATATGGGGGGTTCATGTCTTTTGATAAATTATAGTACAAAATTATAACTCTCCGAAGCCCAAATATTGTGCATTTATTATTTACAAAATAAATTAGTATACCGACAGTAAAAGCACATTATTGCATTTCTATACTATTCCGACTGTGTTTATATATTCAAATTCTGCATTTGAGTTTTTCATTTTAGAATTCGTCGATTACAATCACATTTTATTTAGGCGAACTTTAATCTCAAAAAGTATTTATAATTCAAAATTGTTGTATACAAAATGTATTTTATTTTTGCTAATAAGGTCTGGTTCCAAAATCGAAGAGCAAAATGGAAAAAACGCAAGAAATCAACAAACGTTTTTAGGAGCCCTGGCGCTCTGTTACCATCCCATGGATTACCACCATTTGGGTCTATGTCCGACGGTCTATGCCCCACCTCAATGTTCAGCTCTCCAGACACCAGATGGGGTGTAACCAGCATGGCTACAGGTTTAATATAATTTACCTAATACCAGTGTCTCGTTGTAGAAATAAATTTCAACTGGATTTGCTTTAGTCTTATATAATTGATTTTTATGAATAGCGATATGTGCTTATCTAGTTTAATTTTGGCGTTCAAAAGTAGATACTTATTATATTTATATTGTATACGTGCATACCAAGTATTATTATTATTGATCCATTAGCTATTACCTATACATAATAATACCTGTAAAATCTGGTTAAATGTAAAAGAAATTTGGTCCAACTAGTCTACCATGTCTGTAAAACAAAAATAACGCGAAAAATCACGTAAGGAAATGTCACACATTTATTTAGAATTAAAAAAGTTACACAACCTTTGTGACAAATGTAACTTAATAGTTAATCAATAAACCTTAGTAACGTTAAATGCCAATTCCACCTATTATTTTTAACTTAAAACGAATTATCTAGATGACTTAATTATTTATTTCAGATAAGTAAAAGTTCAAATGACTTACCTGTTTCCCATTTTGGGTTTTTCATCTGGATAGAAGATAAAAATAAAAATTTACCTTTAAAATACAACACTATTTGCTATTCACGGATGTTTCTAAATTGTATTTGTATTTTTTTTAAGTAAACTGATAAAACGCTTATAGCACATTCAATATGTTTTTTTCGATATAATTATTAGTTTATTAACTAGCTGTTTTAGTGCTGATGTGCCGATTTTTATTTGTGTTCATATATGATTCAAATATTATTTCTTTCGATTATCTAAAATATAAAACGTGTTTAGGGCTCAGTCAGCTAACCAGCGGCACTGTTACCATGAGCGGATACAACCATCAGAACTCGTCGCTCAGCTCCATGCCAATCACTACGATGGCTACCAACGCTCAGAATGTGTACCAGGCCCACTATGGTCTTAATTCACTAGGCAAGTAAAAACTAATTAAACTGTTTATTTTATAATTATTAGTAATTAATACAGTTCAATTATTAATAAGTAAATCAAATAAGTTTCTAAAAACTGTTAAAAACGTATTTAACAAATAGTGGATTGTATTAGTAAACATAGATATACCTATTATGTTAAAATTAGGAGAAAATAGCGCGCACAATATGTTACATATTCTTCCTATACTTTATCAATACTTTGCAGCAAAATCTAAACACAAATAAAATTATCATAATTAATTATTTATAAAATTACATTTTTAGTTAAGTATAGGCAACACTCGTATATAAACGTCAATAGGTAAATATATTATACATATATTATTATTTTAGAATTTAGATAATTGATCCCCTTCGAATACCTCATCGGCACCACCCGGTATACACTTTAAATAAATAAATAACTCTTCTATTATGAAAACTAAAATATGATACTATCAAAATTTTTAATTTACATATAAATCTTATATTAGTTAACATAATTTTAAATACGTATTACGTATGTTACGGTATATGGATGGACATCAATAAGTGAATTCAAAATAGATATTTTCTTTCTAACACCAATTTTTAGTCCATCAATCTGATTGTTGTAGTGAAGTGATATGATTTTCATTTAGCGTGAAGTGTATAAGTGTGATCAGTTAGGCCACTCTTCTGATTAACAGTTCTAACATTTTTAAAAATATAAAAATATAAGTGAAAAAAAGACCAGTTCGATCTCATGTAAAAAGAGTGTATTTCAGAATTTCAGTTTTCAGAATTCTCACTTATTTTCACTACAGTGTCGTAACTAGAACATTTTTTTTTTTTTTTGGGAGGGGGGAGTTGATATGAATATTTGTTAAAAATATCAAGACAAAATCATAAATAACATATACTAATCACAAAATTATATTAAAACTATATTTATTACCTACCGAACAATTAATTTTCCTAACGGACACCTCTAAATAGCGGACATTCAAATAGCAACCGTTTTTTGGGGAACGGGGATATTTTCACTACTTGCATACATGAAAGCCTCTAAATATAAATACGGGACAATAAATAACGGACACTTTCACCCTCTAAATAGCGGATAACTCAGAATAACGAACACAATTTCAGTGACCGTGAGTGTCCAGTATTTAGAGATCTGACCGGGAAGGTACTTGAAGGAGATAATTTTTCGATTTTCCCAGGAGTTTTCCTAATAAATGAGAAAAATCGGGAAAAAACCTGAGAAAATCGGTAAAATATTAAACAAATATTATTAAAGAATAAATATAAAGCCTATTTAATTGTTTTACTATAATATGACATAAATATTGTCGACAAAGCATCACTATCAACTGAACTACGCTCAGAATCGTTTTTTGTTTGCAATGGTTTATTATTGCTTACAGATATAGAATAAATTCCCTTCTGTATCTTACCTTCTCAACTTCCCGCCCACAACAGTGGTTGCGCCCATTCACATTACCCTAGGACGACTTTTTTTGTTATTTTAGATATATAGGCCCAGCAATGAAAGTATTAGTTTTAATATGATGTGTATTTTTTTTTTATATCTATAAACAACTTTTCTACTAGAAATCATGCTCCAAATTATAGAGTATAATACTTTTCTGAAAGAAAATTTTGTCTAGTTGGTGCATTTAAGAGGTTAAAAATAATTGTTTATTTTTGTTTTGATTCAATTAAAAATATTTGCAGAGACTTGAAATTTGGACAGAAAACTTATATTTGCCTTTTCTAGACACGGTAAAATTTTCAAAACATCGATGAGCTATTTATAGACATTTTAATTAAACAAATCTTGTACGTAATTTTTATTCGGTAAGTACTTTGTGGATAAACTTATTAAGACTAAATAGCAATATTTGAAAATTTGATAAGAAGTTCATTATAAATCGTATTTAGTGGTCAAACAAAAAAAATTGAGTATAATGAAGAATTTTTTTTATACACATTTTGACAAAAATCGTAAATATTACAATCTTCAAAAACATGTGTAACGGAACTCCGCTCAGAATCGTTTTTCGTTAACAATGATTAATCGTTGTAATATTCCCCTCTATATCCTAGCTTGCCAAATTTTCACTTAAAATAGTGGCCCACCTACCATGCGAAGTATGTCTGTCTTTTTTTTCCTGTCTGTTAACAACTTTTTTACCAAAGATCATTCTTCAACTAAAAAATTATAATAGAAGTTTTACGTAATATTTTAAATCTAGAAGATCAGCATCAGTAGATTGCATTGTATGTGTAAACGACAAAATACTTAATCCACCGCTAGCTGCCATAGACCTATAGTGTCATTTTATAGTTGGAAAATAGCATAATGTCTAACTTCGTATTTGTATACTTTATACACACTATCAATCTAAGAGAATCAATGATTGATTGTTCTAAAATTGTGTAATTTTCTCAAAAATTGAATATTGTTAAATAAAATTTTTTGAGAAAAAAAACAATATGTAACATCTTAAAATAAATACAATTAATTACCACAGAGATTTCTCTTCTTTTTTTTCAAACGAAACTCTCGGTATAATAAATATATTTTAATGTAATAAATTGTTTTTAGACATCCATCTTGATACGCTCTAAGTTTTTTAAATTTTATTTTACTCGGAGGAATACCACATAAAAAATTATGATAAACTCTGAGAGTTCTTTATAATCATCTGTCAATAATGTGGTCAATATTGTATGGTTTTCAAAATCCAGTAAAATATTGTAATCATTTCCTAACATATTAATAATTACTTCATCCGTGATTCCTGTAAATAGTTTTTATGGTTTATTTCAGCCCACTTTCCATGTTTAAACCATTTAAATAAAGGTATATCCTTAGGTTTAAAAATCAATGAAATATAATATACTTTGTAACAACTGCAGACAAAACTTTTTCAGAAATTTGATGTCTACATCTAAAAAATAAAATATCTCGTCCTATATCTTTCATTTGAGTAACACGCAGATGCCACAGTCTTTCAGTATTTGACACGGTTGTGTCAAACACAAATGTTTGTACTTTATCTGTTGACTGTTAATAATCTATTACACCATGGAAGATATTTCCAATTACTCAGTATACAATTCTAGAATACCTAATAATTGTTCCACACTTGGACTTTTTTGTATGGTCGCTAATCTATGAACTAATTTTCCAGATTTTTTATTTTTTAATAATTTGGTATCCCAATAAATGAATATAGACTCAACATTTAAATTGGAAAATGATTCTGTTACTTGCTTATTATTAGATTTTCGATAGATGTTCAGGTTCTGTTTTCTGTGAGAAGTTCCTTATCACATACATACTTATACAGTTAAATCAGTTATTTTTAGAACATATTTTTACTAATACGGTTTAACTTTACAAACAAATGTAAGGATAATTTTTTTTAGGAAATAAATAATTCGTACTACCATAATGATGGTAATCAATTTTTCATAAAATAAAAATTTAAGTATAGGTATACGACAAAATGTGAAATTTAAATTTTTTTATTTATAATTTTGAGTTTATGTCGCTATGTGTTAATTATGTTTGATCAACCTCAAACATTTACAGATACTATTTATAGACATATTAGAACAAATTCCCGGTCGATGCTCTTCAAAATTAATAACTTCAAAAATAAGTGGCACACTAAGAACATCAAAAATGTTCAATTTAAAGGTTTTGGTGTCTCTAATTATTTTTTTTCTGGTTTTTGATAATGGAACGACTTAGGTAATTATTGTATTTATATCATTAAATTCTGAGTTAATGAAATAATCATATAGTACTGAAATAATCAGATAGATAGCTATAGGTAAATAGGTATAGTAAGAATAAACCCGCAACCCGAAATGTGGCCTTTTTGCTCTAAATAAATAAGAATATTTCTTGAAAACATGAATGGGCGCGTCGTTAACAATTTGTCCACATAACGAATCATAGCCTTCTAGCATTAAAACATTAACAAATTCGTACTGTCAATGAAATAACGTCATATAGTTAGAAAATGCTCTCCTGAACAATTTAGAATTTTCGATATATAATCCTCTTGTACTAAAAGTGCAATATGATAAAGTATAAAGTGATATTACACAAAATAATTTACAGTTGCTTTATAAGGAGTAGGTATTGACAGGAATATTTTAACATAAAGGTGTGAAAAAAACTATTTGATGTCTTCTTAAGACTTAGCTATATAAATAATTAGGTACCTAATGTTATGTCATATTTGTTTTGAAAGTATAATTATGACACTGTAATTTCGTATTAGATTGCGTTTAGAAGGAGAGATTATTGTACATTTTTAATCATAAAAATAAAAATTGAAGTAAATGTTTTCTATAATTTAGGTGAATAGAAGTAAAACAAGTATATTGTCGTACATATACTATATTATATCTAATTTAAAATAACTTTCAAGTTTAAGAAACTTAAAATATTGACATTGATAAAATTATTATTTATTATAACTAGGTACAAATAATATGAAGTCGATAATTATAATTATAAATATTGGTGTCCTTTTTTTTTGTTCGTAAACAATTTACATGTATATGTCGTAGAACATATAGAAAATTACTCTTTGCAATGGGGTAGCCCGTTTGCAAACTACTTATTATTTTTCCAAACGGTCTACTGTTTTCAGGCTCATTGCATACAGACTAATAAAAGTTAAATTTTTTAAGAACTATAATAATTATAATGTAGTAATAACTATTTTATTTATTTTATTTTATGGGTAATTTATTACTTTTACAAAAAAAAAAAAGATCAATAGAATTATTATAACATGTAAACTAAATAGTTTGAATAAGTATAGTACTTATTGTATAATATAATATTTATTTTATAAACTGTATTAATGGCAAGTATCAGTGAAGTTTAGATTATTTTAAAGTTTTTGACAATTGTATAACTAGTTTTATTTTACATTACTAATAAAAAAGAAAATATGTAAAATATTTACTTATTGTTACATGTAAATTTTTCGTGTTATATTTTTTATTTATATTTATAAATTAAAATAAAATATATTTATTTATATTTTATTTTTTATTAGTAATAAAAAATAAAACTAGTAATACAAAAGTCAAAAACTTTAAAATAATCTAAACTTTTCTGATACTCGCCATTGATACAGTTTATAAAATACATGTAATACTATAATGTGTAATAATAATTATACATATACTTATTCAGTTTACATGTTATAATATTTCTGTTGATTTTATTATTTTTTAAAGTAATAAATTAAGTACCCTTTAAATAAAATAAGTAAAATAGTTGTTACTATATTATAATTATTGTAGTTCTTAAATGGCCTAACTGCTGTCAGTCTATATGCAATAAGCCTGAAAAACAGTAAGTCTTTTTGAAAAATAATAAGTAGTTCGCAAACGGACTACTCCAATGTAAAGATTCTAATCTTTTCGCAAAAAGATTAATTTTCCATATGACCTACGACATATATATACCTATATATAATTATTTATTAAATTTCTTATTATATTATCAAAAAATTAATACGTAGATAGATTTATAATCACATAAAAACATATCACTACAAACCTAAGTAAACCCTTTAAAATAGTTAAATAGGTAAACTACACACATAGTATTATATACTATTTAGTCAACTTCGGACTTTTAACGTAGTAATAGAATCAATTTTTGTCTTAATTATAGGCGATTCGAACAAATGGCGATTTTCCAAAGAACAATTCAAACCCTTTCCAGCTGACTCTCAGTTATTTTGAAATTCAAGTGATGATCAAGTGTGTTCGTAAGTAGAATCGCACGGAACCATTGTATATATATGACTGAGATCGTTTTTAAAAACTTTAGAATTAGAAAAAAAATAACATCGATTATTTTGTACACATTGTACAAACAATATTTTACAATTTATATATAAATATAAATCCACATTAATATGTATACTGTATATAGGCAATAGGCATTAGCGTTGACGATTAAACATTTATCTATTATATGAATGCACATTTTGCGTACAGTGTCTAATTAGCAATTGCCATTAGTTATAACTTATGATTTAAAATGTGTAGATACCTGTAAAGTAACATTAGTTGCCACTTATGTAAATTAGGTCAGCATTCATTGTGTTTTAACTACCCTCGCGTCACCACTGATACATAATATTATTAAGCACTATTCTGCATTTTATTTTATTATATTTTTATTTATTACCTTACGTTTCAGATCCAGTGTTTTACATGCATGACAACGGCACAAATAATTCAGTGTCTACAAATGCAGACGTGACGGAGCCGATCAACTGATCAATTTTTTTTCTTACAAAATATTATTATTATTATTATTATTATTATTATTATTATTATTATTATTAGTGTTTGGTGATGCGTTCTTAAGATTAAGCATTTTTTTAAACTATCAATTAAAAATAACTCCCGTAGTTTACAATATGTAAGACTATAGCGGCAAAGCCGTATAAAAAATATGTGCCTATATCCTATACTACTATACCTATACCTATAAAATTATAACCACACTCATCAACCGTTTATGTGTTAAATAGAATATAAAAGTTATACTTTACTGTTTTTTACAAAATAATTGTTAATATGCTATCGTAAATACGATGACTATATTATTATATAAGCATGCCTGCCTTTAATCTGTATACGAACTTATGAATTTATTGCATTTATTCCATTTCAATTTTTAATAGAACACGGAATATAGTATTAAGTTAAATAAATAAATAAAACACATTATTTAGTTTTCTATAAATATACAAACCAAAGACAAGTATAAGGAGAATTGATCAATCAAAATGTTTAAACCGTATTAGGTGCCCTTTTTTTTCAATAATTTTCTTTTTACGTTATGATTAATGAGAGATAAAAATGTCAAACGTTTATTGTTGAATATCACCAAATTTATCCGAATACAGAACTATACGGATATCAGTGTACCATTTGCAGTAAATTATTCTATTAAAATTGTTATCAAATAAAACAAAATAAAATTTCTAATCTAAAAAATCAATACCTAATCAATTTCATATCAAACTTTTAAACCTAAATCATTTTTTATGTACAAATATTGTCAAATGATAAAAGTTTGAAAAAATTAATCTAATTATTACAATAATAATACAGCACATATTATAGTCCTCCAACATTAAATTGTCTATCATACATTTACCTATTACAAAGTATACGTTTGTATATATTTAATTTTTTACGCGATGTTCTAAAATATATCTTATATTTTTAATATGTAGGTGTATCTATTAAATCCAAAATAATTTAAACATTTAGATATGTAACATTGCTTTTTATTAAACTCCTAAAGTTTTTGAATAAGGTTTAGTTAACCTATACTTGACAAACTGTAAAATGCTCGTTCAATTCAATGCATAGGTTCAATCTTCATTTAAAACTATTTTTGACATGCGACAGTATACGTATTTCTATATCTACCTACAATACCTATACCTACTTAATTGATGTGCATTTATTTATTTTAAGTTGAGTTTACAATAGGTACTTACTTTGTTATTATGGAACATTTTTAAGTATTTAACGCATAATTTATTTTGACAATATAATCTATACAAATTTAAATGTTACCTATTATCAATGTAATTTGTGTAATATTAAATAGTTTTTAAAGTATTTTGTAAAATGTATTAACAACGTTTCAATGTAATTTTTTTTCCTGACTTCGGGAAACACAAAATATACGTATTGTCTATAATGTCAAGTTCCTATCTACTATGCATGCATAAATTTAGTGTTCTAAAAATATTAGAAACATATATAAAGATGTACACCAATCGTAGAGAAAAACCAAAAACAAAGAGCTGATACTAGGGACTAGCGTGCTATTGATGATTTGTATCCTCTTCCAGAGCATCTCTTTTTAGGTTTTGAAGTATCAATGAGTCTTCAAAAACTCCTTTAAACCAACTTTATTCACGTTTCGAAAACGTGCAGACAATTACGAGCTAAATTACGACTGCGATAAGAGCTCATTCATTCAGACGAAGCCACCAGAGCATCGCCACTATTATCGCGCCACCATAAGATATTAATAAAGTTCATTATAGAAATTGAAAATCGGTCGGCTACATGGAACTCTGCTTGCAGCAAGTATTCAGACAGAAGTGGATGTACCCAAAACTTTCTATTTTTTTTTTCGTTTACGTACAACACGACTGTATAGATATATGCTACACTTGCTAGCTTTTCGACTTCCATGTAGGAACTAAGCTTAATTTTAAATTTAGGTTTACAGTTTACCTATGGTATGTAATAACCTACATCGACATATAAAAGTGCTTCTGGAATAGTGGTGATTTTTTGGTATTAAGACCATAGTGGCTCTAATTATTTTAACGTTTCCCAGGAATAAAAAGTGCGCCAAATATTATTATACAGTGCTTTGTATAGTGTAACTACTAGAATAATATTTAATATCTTGTAACCGTTGTAAATGATTGTTGTGTCGAAACATATACATTTTTTTTTTCAATTAAAAGGAAATATTAGATGATATTAAAGCCGCATACGTTATTTTCGCTATATACTAAGAAAATACGCAAATAGTTTAAAAAATACTGTGGACAAAACTTAAGTATCTATGCTGAGTTAAATTAATTTTGCTACGTTTTTTTAAAATCGCGTTAAGTGTCTGATATACTTTTCTTTTATATATTATCTAATTCGCAAACTCATTCAAAACGCAATTTAGATAGGTAAGTATATAAACAAAAAGACAATGTATAGACGTATAGTTAACCTAAACTATATTAATTTATAATTCATTTATCAATATTTAAACAAATAAGTATTCGCATTTTAGCATTTAAGGTACCTATTTCTAGAACGCGATTTGAGACCCCTAAAAAACGAAATAAGAAAAAAAAACAACGTGTGGTTGTTTAAATTCATTGCACAATACGCGTTTTTTTGCTCAATGAATGAACGCGATGTTTGAGCATGATGCGTAATATATCAAAAAAAAAAAAAAAACACTAATAATTGTATTGAAGATTATATAGGTACCGTATAAAACGAACGAATGTTGTTGTATGTATCTAATTATATTTTAACCTAATCTAATCTACACACACACACACGCGTACACATAAACACACAATGTCAAGCTCAATCATATAAGCACATTTAAAAAATTATTAAATGCATAATAATTGATTCAGTTATAATAATTATTTAATCGGAGTTCAAATTTCATAATACAAACTGTATAAAACGTATGATACATATAGTACTGATGTCACTCTTAGTATACAAATTTGACAGTTTACACGGCACATACAATTTATACTTCTAAAAATGGCGAGATCTTCGGTTGCGCTTTCAATAATCTTCACAATTTCAGGTAATCATAGTTTATTGTATTCTTTTTTTTCAATAAAACTTTTGTTACTCTCATCAAATATAATACTGAAAAATGATGTTTATTTTTACTTGCCTACTTTACAATTTATAAAATTGTATATATTGGCAATCCATAAGAATTTTTAATTATGAATTTAACTATCATTTGTTTTTTTTTCCAACAAATTGTTATTATCACACATTTGAAATTGAAACACATACTAGTAAAAATACAAGTAAATTATGACTAAGTAAAAATTATGGTGAACCTCGTTTCAAATTGTATAGCTTTTATGTGAACCAATCAAATTGTATCCAAAGTCCACATAACAACAAACAAGTTTTCGAACATTTTAAACAGTTAAAATAGCTCAAAAATGGCCAAAATATTTTGAAAATTGTATTATTTAGTAAAAATTTCAGATCTCAACGATTATTTTTCACCGAATCACAACGATAAAGCATTGCTTACGAAAAAACGATTCTGAGCGGAGTTTAGTTGATAGTGATGCTTTGTCAATAATATATATGTCATACTATAGTAAAATAATTAAAAATCTTTATATATTTTTTTTATAATATTTGTTTAATTTCGTACTGATTTTCCCAGTTTTCCTACGTTTTTCCGGGTTTTTCTCATTTGCTGAGAAAACTCTTGGAGAAATCTAAAAATCACCTAACTTTAGGGAGGTAATTTTTCAACCTTCCCAGTCAAATTTCCTTTCAGAAGAATTGCATTATTATAAAATCAGAGCCGAAATGCAAGTAAAAAAGGTGTTCACAGGAAAAAAGAAGGCCGTAATATATTTTAACTAATACTTACATTTATTATAGTTTCCTGATTTTCCTCCGTTTGAGATTCGGAGTGTAGCGAAGAAAGTATTGGTTTTACTAAGACGTTTATTTTTTTTTTTATACTGTGTACAAAAATTCTAACAGAAATCTTGCTCAGACATATACGCGTGGCACTATTTCTGAAAGGGAATGTTGTCTAGATGGTACTTTTGAGAAGTAATTTTCTGATTTTCAAAGTGGTTTTCATAATATCTGGGAAATACCAGGATAAAACGTAAGAAAATCGGGAAATGTACGAAAATAATACTTTTATTATTTTTCAATATTGTTATTTATAATTCAAGTAAAAATATTCGTTGAAACTTGAAATCTATCAGCAATTTTGCGCCGATTTACAATGATAGCACTTTTTCTAAAAGAAAATCTGACTAGGGAGATGCTTTGAAAAGGTCATTTTTCGATTTTTCCAAGAGTTTTTCCGGCAAATGTAAAAAGCGGGAAAATTGGTACAATATTAAACAATTATTATTTAAGAAAATGTATGATGCCTATTTAATTAGTTTACCATAATACGACATATATATTGTTGAGAAAACATCGAGAAATTTACGAAAATAATGGTTTTATTATTTTCAATTTTCTTATTTGTTGAAATTCAGTTATAATTATTGTAGAGATCCAAAATTTTTTCTTACGTTTTTTCTAGATATTATGAAAACTGCTCGGAAAATCAAAAAATGACTTCCCAAAAGTAACATCTAGACCAGGGTGGTCCAATCTTTTGTAGTTGGCGGGCCAATTTACACTTTCATAAAAACACTGGGGGCCACGAAAAAAAAAATTAAAAATAGTGATATTATTATTAATATTTCATTTTATATAAAGCATATTATAGATTAATATTAACAACAAATTGAATAGTATAAACAGTATAAACTATAAAATGTAAAATTCAAACGATCATGTTACGATTTTATTATAATATTATTGTGATTTAATTATAGGAGGCTAAAAAAAAGGCTTTGAGAGCCACATGCGGCCCACAGATCGCCGGTTGTACCACCCTAATCTAGACAATATTTCCTTTCTGAAATGGTGCCGTATATATCAGATCAAGATTTCTGGTAGAATTTTTGTACACGATGTAAAAAAAAAATCATCATCATCATCATCATAGTATAACCAATACATTCCGATTCATCCGTTTTTTTCTCTAATCATTTCTACTATAATCAAAAGTACAAAAAAGAGAATGATATACATGCACCAATTAATATTAAACGAAATTCTGGTCAAAACATCATAGGAAAATGTGTTATTAATAAAAGTACAAAAATATAAATTTAAAAGCATAAGCCTTAGACTACTTGCCCACAACCTGACTACAAGAAGCAGGCCTTTGTCTTCTAGGATATTAAACTATATGCTAGTACGCCCCTGCAGTGATAAAATCAGTATCTTAAAATAGAAGGCATGGAAAAATGAGAGCATTTTAACTAACCAAAAAAGTGATTTTCTGAGAATAAATAACGCATCTTAGTAAAACTTATAATTTCTTCACTACACTAAAATGTTAAAACTGTATGAAAGGTATGAGGGTTCTCACACAATATTTGCCTAACAAATTATTAATTTAATTTTAAGTTTTTTTTCAAGTTAGTCAAATTTTAGAACACAAAAAAATTCATAAATAAAATACCCATATAGAACAACCACTTAATTTTTCTACTAAACATACAAAATAAAATAATTAAAGATATTTTCATAAATTTGTCTATAATAATATTACTATAATTTATAAGGTACATACTACATATATAAACATGTATTTTGAACTCTTTAATTATAAAATCATCATAATTGACTAGTTAGTTTATGTTAAGTTTAATCAATTCCAACAATTTACATTTTATTATAATTTGTGTTTTATAATATTCTTTGTTGATATCAGTTATAGTTGTAAACTGCCAAAATACAATTTTCCCCATGAATTCACAATTATGTACAGATTTAAGAGGATCATGTTCTAAAGACAAAGATTGTTGTACCCACTTCTGTGCAAAAACATTTTTTTTGTTTAATGGAATTTGCAGTGATCCAAAAACCCTAGTAAAAACTAAACGATTTGAAACAAACGGTAATTATATTAAAAAATTATAAATTACTTTTGAATACAAAAAATATGAAAATTGCATTTAAATTTGTTTCCCTATATGTATAGCTATTTATTATGGATCGTGTGCATATAACAACAATACTAGTATAATAGAATCCAATGAGTTATTTAAACACTTCGGAGTAAGTGTAGCACATAAGACATTAGCCCCATATACAAAAGTCATGGTGGAATATGAGAATAAAAATATAATTGCTACCATCAATAACCGAATTCCAGAGAATAGTCAAACACTTTTGCAATTATCAGATATAGCGGCAAAAGCATTGGGAATTCGTAATGGAGGAAATGTGGATTGCAATTTTATTGTGGAAAATAAATTTTTCATGTCTAGATTAATATATGGCATAATGGCTTACATAGATTTTTAAATGTAAGAAGTGTACTTGCATTGTGGATTTCAAATACTGGGATATATGATTTAAAAAATATATAAATTTATAACCTACCTAAAAAATGTATAAAAATGTATTTTTTTTTTTTTTCTATAAATTTAAATTTATATTAAGTATATTAAGTTTAAATATGGAAAATAAATATTTCACTGGAAATGAATCTGTTAAGGTGATACATATATTAAAATATTTTATCCTCAAATTAATATTATGTAAATTGCATGTATTATTTGTGTTTAATGTGTAGATATTATCAATATTAATAATAATATTAAATTCATTATAAATTCAAGAATTATTTTTATTTTTTACTATAAATATTTTAATTAAAATTCTTACTTGAAAATAGTGAAATACTAAATACTTGAATGAATACAGTATTGAAATAGCTTCTTTTTTATTTTTATTTTGGGTGAAACTGGTATAAAAAAAAAAAAAGACACACATCATATAGGTAGTAAACCAGTACACTCCTCTCTGCACCCAGAGTCTAAAATCAAATTTTATATACATATAATATATATTTTATATTTATTTACTAACTACCGTAATGGTCTGCCAGTCTTATGAAAAATATTTTAGATTCTGAATGAAGCGTAGAAACTTATGGTTTTACAATGATGTTTATTTTTTTTTGTTCCGTGGACAACTTTTCTACCAGCAATTTTGTTCTAATTTATGTTTCTAAAAGGAAATCTGGGGAGGTACTTAAAAGAGGTCGTTTTACGATTTTCTCCAAAGTTTTCTCAACAAATGTGACTAACCGAAAAAAAACGTAGGGAAAACGGGATACATTTTAATTTTGGAATTGAAATAATTGGAATTTTACTATAATATGACATATATATTTTTGACAAAGCAGCACTATCAACTGAACTCCGCTCAGAGTCGTTTTTTCGTTAGCAATGGTTTATCGTTGCTCATAGGTGTACATTAAATTACTTATTACAGTGGCTGCACCTGACCCCATTATCCTAGGACGTTTTTTTCAAATTATATTTTAATACAAATATAAATACATCTATTCAGAAAGTTTTAAGAAACAAAATGTCTATAAATAGCTAAAAAAACAACTCAAATGTTTTGAAAATTTTATCACGTCTAGAAAAAGTGAGTATACATTTTCTTTCAAAGTTTAAAATCTTTACGAATATTTTAATCTGAATTACAACGAAAAAACAAAATTGAAAATGATAAAAACATTATTTTCATAAAATTTCCCCTTATGTCTACGTTTTTTTTTCGGTTATACAATTACAGCTATATTTATTTTAAGTCATAAAATCATGTTTCCCATATACGGGACAGACTAACATATATAGGTAATTGACAAACTAACGATTTTCACTAGATATATTGTACTTTACCCCTATGTGGGATTAATAATAGTAATAATTATTAAATAGGTATACTAAATACCTAGGGAATACATTTTTTATATTTAGTAGAAAATTTGTATAAATTTTCTGGGAGTGGGTTGTTAAATAACTTACCATACATATAATTATAGGCGTCGGCGCCACTGGTTATGTTCAATTATTAATAAAACTACTGATAAAATAAAAAAATGAATAACTTACTCACAAATTAGATTAAAAATGCAATACAAAAAGTTTCTTGTCGTTATCTATTTATGGTAGAAAACCAAAGTCGTATAAATTTAAAATAATGAAATTGTTGTGCAGTAATTTGAAAACAATTGTAAATTTCGTCTTTTATAGTTTTTCCCAATTATTATGAAAAATACTTTTGACATCGAAAAACTACTTTGTCAGTCGCGTTATAAAGGAAAAAATTAATCTCTTATTATTTTTCGATTGAAGTTATATTTCTAATAGAAAACTTAGGTATAACAGAACGAAAACAATGGAAACTAACATTTCGTATTTTAAATTCAAAATGACAATTTTTGTAAATCTAAGCATTTTGAAGTTTTTTTTCTAACTTCTAAGGGAAGTTTAAGAAACTTTTTTGAAAGTATCATCAAATTAAGCAAGCAAACACACATTTTAAAAACAAAATCTCAAAAAATTGCTTAGAAACTAAACTACATTTAAGTATATTACCTACAGTTAGGTATACTTTTAATAGATAGGTATCATGAATGTAGACACATATAAAAATCTAATATGAATACGAAACCATTGGGTGTAAACAAGTGTATAAATAAAAATTAAATAGTAAAATAATTTAAATATAATTGTTATAAATATAAATTAAGTATAAATAATTATCAAAAATATTCTAAAATATTACAATTAATAAAAAAAAAAGCATGAATCATAAAATAATTTTATTATACTTTTTAGACAATATAAAATTGGGTACATAAATATAAATTTAATTTGTTAGTAAATAAAAAAATATTAGAATCAATAATATAATATAATAACTGTGCCATCCAAAAATCAGCAAAACAATGAAGTTTTTGATAAGCTGTTGAATACTAAAATATCTAGATTGCATTGAATAATAGAATATGATATTTTGAAACACCATGAGAACAATTGATAAAATTTAAGGATGGATCCGATGGAAAATTCACTGACAACACTGAATTTTGGAACAAGATTCAACAAACAAAAATTATCAAAATGTTAAGTTTTGGAATGAGTATTATCGTTTTGATTGGACAGTGCTGAATTTTGGAAGAAAACCTAATGCAATCTACATATTTCAATATATGAGTAAAATATATTTCATAACTATTTGCATGTTTCAAATTTTGAGCAGAGTGAGATAGTATTACAGAATAAATTTGTGACAGAAAAATTAAATTGTAAATAGATAATAGACTAAACACAAAAGACATTATAGAGATTATATTTTTATTTTCTCAGTAAAAAAAAATAAAATCCTATGAAATATTCTCAAAACAGGATAAAAATATTATTGTTAAGCTCTACTCAAAATTGATTTTATGAGATTATGTTTGCATTTAGATTTAAAATTAAAATTTATAACAGTGTGTTCCAACAGGTTTATAAATTAACCTGTAAACTATGAAAAGTTGGGACCATAATGATTGTATTATGTTGAGGTAAATAATAAAAAATATAATATAAAATACATAAATAATAAACAAAAAAAAAAATATATATATATATATAAGCAATTATAGCACCAAATTTAAAAAAAAAAAGTTGATTTTAAGCTTTTATATTTTAAATAATTTAAATTGTTCATTGAATTTTTAAATTCTCTATCTCCGGTGTAGTTGTTTGAGAGGCTCTTCTTTTAGGCACAATACCATTTATTTTCATATAATCCATAAATTGTTTAGGCACTTCAGCCAATACATCTTTTGCTAACTGTAAATGGGCTATATTAGGGTCAAGATTATGATAGCTATTGAATGCAACAAATTGCACAATGTCCCTTGCTGCATAGATTCCATTATATTTCAATCCTCCTTTATCAGCATCCAACTCCTCCATTGCATCAAATTCTGCATTCCCAATTCCCACAATAATAATAGAAATTGGTAATGAAGATGACAAAATAATTGCCTAAAAAGATAAATAGATGAAAAATATGTATTATTTTATAAATTAATATTTTTGTTTGGTTGTTTCCTACTAAACATACTTACCAGTTTTTTCAACTTAACTAAATCTAATTGTATTTATTTGAGGTTTACTCAAGATCAATAAGTACTTAATTTCTCTCAAGTACTAGTGCAACATATCTCAAACTATGGGTTGCGGCCTACTGGTGAGTCCCTAGTTAATTTTTGGTGAGTCGTGAAAGTTGTTTTGAAGTATATAGACTTCAAGGAATTTATGTTTTTAGATTCTGAGTGGAGCAAAGAATGTATTATTTTTTTTTATTATTATTATTTGTTTTATCCGTGAACAACTTTTCAATCTGCAATTTTACTGAAATTTTCAAGTGTAGCATTTTTTATGTAAAGAAATCTGATTGGGGTGATACTTTACAGAGGTCATTTTTTGATTTTCCCGAATGTTTTCATTAACTACTTTTTGTAAAGTGAAACCATGTGGGTCGTGATAAATTTTTGGGAGAAAATTTGGGTCGTAGTTCTAAAAAGATTAAGAACCACTGTACTGATACATTAAAAAAAAAAAAAAAAATGAATTATGTATTATATAAATATAAAGTTAAATTGAGTTTTCTACACAACTAGTTCAGTTTATAACAAATAGGTTAATCAACCTTTTAATTAAGTTTTGAATCTTCTTTTTATTTTGTTAATTTCTTTATATAAATTTATTTATTTGTTTTCTTATAAACTTACATAACTATTATACAGATTGTCCAACCATATTCAACAGATTTATATATGTCTGTCAATATTCAATATTTTTAAATTTTTTTATCAATTTTCTCTCAGGGGGCTATGTATGTAAGAAAAATTAAATTTGTATAATAATCCTTTAATGATTAAAAAAAAAATTAACTTTTGAACTTTAATTCAATAATTTTATTACAATACCATTCTAAAAATTATTATCTAACACATAAAAGTATGATGAATAGTTTTTTTTAAAAATGAAAACAAAATTAAATATTAACAGAGATATACACTGCCAGCCAAAAGTTTGGAAACACATACTTTGCATTGGAGAATACATATTGTTTGCTTATAATAATACAGAGTCAAGTCCACTCAAGTATCTCATGAAAAAATTGTAATACACAAGTGATAAGAACCATAGAATTTTCATTAGTCAGTTTGTTTTCATAATATTATCAAAAAATGAATGGCAATTGTGACAAACTCGTAGTGATGTGAGATATGGTGATTATCAAGCATATAAAAATATTATGGAATATCCAACACTTAAACATAAATTTAATTGATTTTAATTGTCAGTGATATTTAATCACTGACTGACGAGTAGTCGGTGTATGTGTTTATTCAGTACTGAGTTTCATCTATCACGTTTCAAAGACGGCAGAAAAGCAAGTTTCTACTTTATTTACATGGGAAACCATAAAGAAATTCCTATTGATAAAAACGGTAGTTATTTTAGCATTATATAATGAAGGTGTCTTTTACCAAAAAATTGCCAAAACTATGAAAATTTCATTGAAAGGTGTGTATTCGACAATAAATTCATTTAAAGACACTGACAGTTATCACGACCGTTCTCGGACCAGATGTCTGAAATTTGAAAAGTAACCTATTTTCAAGAAGATAAATATATAGTGTTTACCTGTAAACGGTAAATTGTAGATGGTTAACAGCTACTGAAATTCATGCCAATATTAAAAGAACCTTTGAAAAGCCAATATCACTAACAACTGTGAAAAAATAGACTAAAGGCAGCCAGACTTAAAAGACGTATTGCAGTAAAAAACCGTTGCTACATAAGAAAATAAAAAAAAAAGACTTCAATAGGTTGAAAAGCTTGAAAACTGGATGATAGATCAATGGAAAAATGTAATCTGGAGTAACGAATCAAAGTATGAAATATTTGGCTCTAGACGTAGAATTTATGTAAGAAGAAGTGCATTTGAATAAATGATACCACAGTGTGTAGTGTTTATTTTAAAGCATGTAGGTAACTCAGTTATAGCATGGGGTTGTTTTTCTGGCCGTAAGACCGGTGATATTAAGTCAAAATTGATGGTATTATGAAAAACGACCAATATAAACAAATTCTTATTCGTTATGTACTTCTCTCTGGATTCAGAAAAATTGGCTATGGTTTCGTTTTTCAACATGAAAATGACCCAAACACTTTGGCAAACACACTTCGGTCCTCTGACGCAATTATTTAGAGCGGAAAGAAATAGTTGGTGTCCTTTAAAATATAAAATGGTCACCGCAATCATCAGACCCCAACCCGTTTGAACTTTTGTGGGAAGATCTTAATTAAAAAATAAGAACATTGTGTCCAACTTTCGCTGCAGACTTATGGGAGCAATTAAAAAAGACATAGGCTTCCTTGGAACAGGATACAATAGATAAGCTGATTGAAAGAATGACATGGTTGGTGAGAGCAGTCTTTAAAAGTAAGTGTGGCTTTTTCAATGAAAAAAAAATTTAATCTTAATACGTTTTTTTTTAAAAATTTTTTGTAACGATGATGTCTGGGACACGCTGTATATATTTTTTTGTTGTTGTATTATGTCCTAAATAACTTAATTAATTTTTCAAAAAATGCATACAAATTTACACATTTACAATTACATCAGAAGTAGATCTCTTTTTAACTGTGTTTCCAAACTTTTGGTCAGCAGTGAATAAATGTATAGAACATGATGGGACCCTCTGTATTTCATATATTATACATTTTATTTTTTACATAATAATTGAAGTGTCAATTGTCATTTCAGTATTTCCCAGGACACAAATATTAGAAACTGTCTACTCAAAATTCAAATCAATAAAACAATTTTGATTTATTTGCATTAATTTATATATCAACTTTTTATTATCTCTATTCTGTTACACCCAATAACACAGTTTCCTAAATGATTGATTTATTTATATTAAAAATTTTTTAGCTAAACCAAACTAGTTTAGAAAAATGACGTTCATACCAAAATATCACTCTAAAATAATCCAAAAGAGGCAATTTTTTTTTCTCATATTTATTAAGTTAATGAAACAAACTATTTTACCTGAATGGTTTCTGGCATGTCAGTAATAACTCCGTCAGTTAAAATAAGTAAAATAAAATATTTGCTTCCATCTTGGTGACTTTGGGCTATTTTAGCCACATGATTGATAACAGGCGCAAAATTTGTAGGTCCGTATAATTGCACTTGATTAATACAAGTACGATATGCATCCAACACACCTAAACAGATTTATACATATATTTTATAAATACGATAATTAATATAAATATTATCATTAATCAATAATACATTTGATTTTGGAGTTTTAGTATATTTACCTCTTACACCAAAGCAATGTGGATTTTGGGGATTCATATTGACAAAAAATTCATGAGATACTTGTCCATGAGGCGGAATTTTAGCACCAAAACCCAACACAGCAAACTGTTTATCAGAATCATAGTCTTCAATTATAGAAACAACACTCCATATAGCTTGTTCATAGCTATTCATATTTGTAGGATCAATGAAATGTAAAGAAGTTGGTTTTGAAGGATTACCATTGGATCCTGTTTAAAAATATAATATTTTCATACAAATTAAAATATAACAAGAAATAACATCCATTAATAACTTGGAGTAATTTGAATATATTTATTCATTATTATATTTTGTTGCTTTCTTTTATCTTGTCTACCTGAGAATTTAAGCAACAAACTATGTCTGCTAAGATCTAACTCTTAATTGTGTTTTATATTACATTTAAGTTTCAGACTATAATGATCAAAATATAAATTATAAATTATTATATTTAAATAAGAGTTGAATTATTTTTAGTAAAACTCTATAAATATACAGATTATGGGTAAGATTAGGTTTACATTAGGCAATGATCAAAGAATTGTCTGGATCATAGATCAGTGATTCTCAAACTGTGGTATGCAAAATGCCGAGTGGTAGTAGCATGAAAACTTAATGAATACATAATTGCACTAATGACTACAGATAATAAAGATATCTTTATACATGACCTTATTATATACACTCCTTCACACAGCTAGTATATACACTAATTCAAATTACAAATGAAAGTTAAACACATAATATAAATAAAAACTTAATTTTAAATCATAAACAGTCAAACATCATCAAGTTCCTGTTTGAACATTTTATATTTATTTCTTTGATATCAATTTCTTAATATACTACTTCCTTATTTTTTATTTAATAGTTTATAATGTTTACTTTATTTTAACTGTATATAACTGTAGTATTACTGTTTCACATTATTTTTTTACCTATACTTTGTGTTATACAACAGTACTTAATCCAAAAACATAATATGTCTTCCTCATATTTTGCATTATACAAAGGTTTTTTTTTATAGAAATCATAAATTATAATTTAATGTTATTATTATAAAAAAAGATACATAATATTAGATTATATGGATACATATATTACTATATTTACAAGGAGTAAAACACTGAGTTTATTGATACTCTGTGGTAGAAATATTAAAAAAATGAGGCTGTCGCTAATGGAAAGACACCCACTAGGGTACACTTTATATTAATCTAAGAATCAGGGTATTATCTACCGCTTGATTTTCTAATAAATAGTTTAGTAACAGTATATATTAATTTAAATATATGCCAAAAAAGTTTATTTTATAAGTTATATATATTAACAAAATATCACTGTTGTATATACATAAACAATATAGAAATAATGAAATCATTTTACCTGTAAAATCAATAGCAACGGTACAAAATATTTCTGTACCTCCTTGAACGTAATCTAAAAATGTGTAGGTTGCCTGTATGTTTATATAATCCACTCGAATTTCCCCAGAATCTTTATAATCTTTTTTTTTCTCCTAAAAATATTTTATAATAATTCAACTTCCTCTAAATTATCATAATTAAAATTGCTATCAGAAAAATAACTGTTTACTTTTTTTTTTCCGTTTATACATTTAAATGCAGCATTAGGATCTAAGAGACCTTTGAGAGTGGTATGAAATTCACCAATTAGGCTATGGTCGCCACTAGAATTCCAATCAAAACAAATAAATTTTAAATCCCGCTCATAATCTCCATTACACAATGCTCGAACTGAAATATTAAACTTTTTCCAATGAGGAGTGAGTGTATCTTTAATTACCTATAAGAAAATATTAAATACAACTTTAAAAATATATTAATAATATATATATAATTATATTATTAAAATGTGTTACTTACATCAGTCTTATGTACTAATGTGTAATTTCCGGTGTCCGTAAGTTTATAGATTTCCAAAAATGGATCAGATTTACCAAAGAAATCTTTTTTGTCTAATTTAAATCCACTCATTTCTAAAATTACTTGATCTCTATCCAAACCTAATTCTTCTGCTGTTATAACTAAATAACTACTTTTTAAATTACCAGCACGATCTTTCAATTGTAACTTGTTCTAAATTTACAATAGTAATTATTTATTAATAATGAATAATAAATAATTAACAAATCTATATAAAATTTTCTGTTTATCAAAGATTATCTTACTCGTTTGTTAGCAACAAGTTGTCCTAGATTAGTCTGAATAGTTCCAAGAAAATCATGTGTCGACAAGTCTGTGTCTTTTGAGTCTGTGTCATAGATTTCAAATAATAGAGACTGTTTTTCTTCAAATTTATAGCTAATCAATACTTTGGAAACAAAATTTGGATCCTGATTATTTTTCACACTTTCAGTACGATGAAACTCCATCCATTTATTTTGACCAAATGGTTGTACATATGTTACACACATTGGATCAGATTTCGATAAAACATCTGATCCAGATAATCCTCTAAAAAACACAGTTATTTAGATACTTACTAAAATTAAAATATTTTTTTGATTATGTATTTAACACAATATTTAATTTAATATTATAGTCATGACTGGTCAAGGTATTTTGCCCTCCTAGACAAATATATTTTTAGCCGCCCATTTAGTATTAGCCACCATCATAAAAAAAATATTACACATAATTTTTTTTTCTAATGTATTGGGTCTATCCTTAGATTATAGCAGTATTGACCAATTAAGGTCCATAATTATTTATTAACTGGCCCACCAAAGTATTAAATCAAAATTGAAAAAAAAAAAATAACTTCAAATTTCAAAAATTCATATTAAAATTTAAACTAACTTAAAAGTAAAAGTTTAAATTCTTGGCCTGCCAAAAAAAAATTTTTTATGTGTAAAAAAAGATTGGTCATCAATTATACCTGAATTATAGTATTCTTTTACAATAAATATTTACTTATTATTAATTTAAAATAAGTTTTAGCATAATATTCTCAGACAAAAAAAAAAAAAAATATGTTATTATTTCTTATTATACATATGTTATGACTAAAGTTTAGATGTTAATGACTAAAATTTTATCAAAATAAGCAATTATAATTTAAATATCATAAACTATATTAAATGTACCTATTTTTTCAAACAAATAAGTGTAAAAAAAAAGGGTTAGTATTAATTCAAAAAAAATATATTATTTTAAATGTATAATTGACATGGAAAAGCCAGAGGGAACACGTCCTCTCCTTGTCCACCCAATGGACGCCTATGTTCAGAAAACTACTTGACAAATTTGTCAGCATTTTGTAAGTATATATTTAAAAAAAAAATTATTCAAGTGTAGAAAATGCGAACTGCAACAAACCACTCAATTAATAATTGAATGTTAACAAAAATAATATTCAATATTAAACATGCTGTAATCTTGTAACTCTACTCATAGGTAAAACCAATTGAATAAGTTTGAGTCCCTAGAGGAAGGACTTTTAAACACATTATTCATTTCACTTGTTTAATATTTTTTAAGTGCTTCTTCAAGTCTTTTTCTGAGTTTATAAGCGGTTTTTTGAGGATTTTAAGAGCATATAAAACCGGTGTCTGGTTATGATGATCTGTAATGTATAACCTACATACTTTTGCAACTTTTAAGCTATTATTACTTTTTTAAGAAACAATAAATATAAAACTTATCTATGATACATTTCAAAAAAATTACTTTACCATATTGCATATATATATATATATAATGCCTATGCGTATAATTTGTTTATATAGTTATCTGTTATACATACCTAAATGTTATAAAAGTACTTTATTAATATTTAAGTTTGTTTTAATAATCAATTTTATCGGGTAATGAATTATTTGGCATGTTAATTATTTTAGAAATACATTTTATTACCTGCAAGCTAAAGATAACTCAATATCGACTGATGGTGATATGGCTGTTCCAGGGGTGAAAGCCATAATGCTATTTTGATTTATCTAAACAATTGTATTATTGTATTAAATATAGTTGTGCCGGTTATAACAAATATTTATTATGTTGTTTATAAAAATGTAGGTGTATAGTTACTTACAATTGAAAATCGAGAATCCCGTTGTCAAGTTACGTCAGTAAGTATGTATACGTATAACGTATAATATAACCTAAGCAGAAACTTGGAATTGCTCTACTTAGTACTCGGCCATTCAGTGACTTCTCACACTCGGTTGTAATTATTGTTCTATTGTCCTATTCTGTGGTTGTAATTTAAAGTAATAGGTATAATTAATAAATAATTATCTTATTTGAATAATATTTAGATAAGTGATAATGATACCTGATAAGTGATAAGCATCACTAAAAAATATAGGAAAAGACAGTACTTTCTTTTTATTATTATCAGGTCTATCGAAAAACAGATATTTCGTATATAACCATTTTAATATTAAGAGGTCATCTCTCCTCTTTAGCAAATTCGTCTTTAAGTTATAAGGCTATAACCCATAATGATGGCCGTTGAGCTTTCAAGTCCTGTTGAGTTATATACTGATGTATATATAAGTATGGTGTACAATATTATTAAATGAAAACTGTAATTAAAAAAATAATAAAAGCTTTTGACATATACCTACAACAAATTAATATGATAAAATACATTATTAAATAATATAACATTTTCGGTAATTAACTAATTGCTTTTTAGCAAATTGCTTAAAATAGATTTTTCTGAGCATTTTTATTATCATTATTCATTATTATTATTTTATCGATTGTAGACAATATTACAATAGGCGCGTTGCCTAATCGGCCAAACCACGACCAAAGTGGTTTTAATTGCGTTATTGGCTGAACAGCTTTTTTTACCTTAATCATCGCCAATTGAGTAGTCGAGTAGGATAGTGCACAGCCGTTCGCTGATAAGACATTAATTTAAACGTCAAATCCACGAAGGTATTTATTTATTGTACACTCGTTTGTCTCATGTATTTCGTTTTTGCGTTGGTACTTTTTAGTTAGTTTTGAAAATAAAATAATATAGCGTTTCACTTCATTAAATTTATTTTAAATGGTGTTAATGATAAACCAATTCTTAATAACGAACAAACTACAAATGAACATTTTGCTTAAATATTTATCCTAATAAGATATGCTGCCCCCGGTCATGTTTCCCTCGTGACTAAGTACATACTACAATCCTGCAAGGGCGGACCCAGGAAGGGAGCTCCGGGAGCAAATGTCCCCCCGTTCACTCAAAATAAAAACTACCTATTCTATTTGTGTTAATTATCTATTGTAGCTTTATGTAACCTTTCCAATCATTTATTATGGCATACTAAATAAAAACAAAATATTTTTAGCATTAGTGTATACAATATTGACAATAATTATCTACACTATTTACTGTTTAGTGCATTACGTGTAATGACATAGATTATATATAATCTATTTTAATTTTCATACTGGTTTGTTCTCTATGTGGGACTATAATAAAATGATCACGCTACCACTCATTTACGAAAACCTGAATGCTCATACCTTTATTTTTATATCTACTATCAGTGGTATACCTATGTAGAAATTAATTTGAGAGGGGGTTGTAAAAAAAATGTTTGTATTTTAGTTAATACATAGATCAAATAGATTCATAAATACGCACGTGTACCGTACCAACCATTTATTTCATGGGGGGTTTGAACCTCCAAAGCATCCCTTATATACGCCACTGTCTACAATAATAACTATCACAATTACTGCATTTAACACCATCATCGCTGTTCTAATTTGTTTAAAGTTAATTTCTTTTCAAACTTTTATGAATAAGTTATATGGTTGCTAAGTAATTAAAAATACCGATAAATTATTATTTTATATTTAGCACAATACCCAAACTACTGCAGGTTTGGTCTATTTCTTCTACTAATCAGATCGAGGATTTCAATAGGGTTAAACTTTCTCCGGAGAACTTAATGTAAAAATCCGCACGTAATTTGGTCCCATAGAAGGTAGACCCGGAGTTTAGGGGGTCATATTTTGGTATATGGGTCATGGCCCTCTTTTATTATAGATATCAAACTACCTATAAATAATAATTTTTTCCAGAAATCTGTATAGAAGTTCTGAGTGTTAATAAATTATAATCACGGTTTCTGTAGATAGTTGTGCTATCAAATTAAACGGTTGCATTAACTAACGTTTGGTCATGTAGTTAGTTAAAAGTATAATTTTTGAACCAAAAGGATATTTTTTCCTCCCCCCTCTAAAAGACGAATCAAATCCACCACTGATAGACGCCATAGCGAATATACAATATTACAATGGTTAGTTTTGGTATGGTAGTTCTATAGATGATACGAGTTCAAGATTTTAATTTTCACATTTATATAGGTACCAAAAAAAAAAAATCAATGTATCATATAATTGGTCTTACATGACAATATAATTTATGGGAATTTAGTAGGTACCAACCTACCTACGAAAAAGAAGTTACTAGGTTAACATAGGTACCTAGTAATTTAACCATGGTTTGAATCACCATTAATCAAGTATACTTAATTGATGATAATACCTTCATACCAGAAAAAAGTTTAACCATATTCAGCATAATATTATTATCATTTTTTTTCATATTTAATAGGCAGATAATAAAATAGGTGAAATAATAAAATACATTATATTAATTATTTGTATGTATAAGAATTAGGGTTAAATGTGTTTTTTACTCTTTTTAGTAGTAAAAAAACAATTTTTACTCTCAAATACCACCGCTTTGATCAACAAAAACTTAAAACCTTTACGTCTGATGTCAGTTCAACTTATATTAGCTTAGAAGACTGCAGATATATTGTACAAATTTAGTAAAACAGTACAACTCAAAAGTTAATTTTGTTTCACATTAAATAAATTATAATTAAAATAATAATAATGTGAATAACAAAAATAATAATAATAATAATTCATGAAAGTTAGATGACAAAGTTTAAAATGTTTTATTTTAAACAGCTTTTTGCAAGCGGTTTGATCAACAATATTTTCATTTCGATGAATATTGAAAAGTAATAAGCCATTTAGCCTCTACTCAAAATTTTTTTTACCACAAATTACGACTTTTAATGAACCTCATGTTCAATTTTCAAGCATTTCTGTTTGGTCTAACAATTTTATCCACAGAATACCTACCAAATAAAAACTCTGTGTGTGCAACATTGTTAACATGGTAGTTATCCTATCATATTATGATATCATAACGAAAGTTACAATATTTTTATCAACTAAACAAATGTTTACATTTAAAAATATTTTACTTTCGAATTTTCTGGTGGGGCAAAAAGATAAGTTTGCACTTGCCAATTTATTGAGTAGTGGACTATACATACATTTCGGACAGTGATAATGCGCTATGGAAATTTGTCATTGGGTTTTATCTCTACCCTCTAGGAAATTGTGAACATTCAGACTGAACATCGTAATGAGTACAAACTAAATTACAGATAAAAACGAACAAAAAATTACGATTCTTCGATAGGTAATACCATTGGTTTTATAATATACTATAAATAATTTTATAGTATATTTAATATAATAAATAATATATAATATAATATTTTATAATATACTATAAATAATTTTATAGTATATTATAAAATCAATGGCAATACCTAACACTAAATTGCTTACCACGGAAGGCTATTTTAGATGGCCAAAGTTGGGGAAAATGTATTACTAGGTCTAGTGCGTATCACCGCCAACGTTTCGTGTCAAAATTCCTTTTTGCCATCCATTCCGATTGACACTTAATTTTATAAGGGTAGTTTATAGGTGATCTAAGGACAATTTCCAAAGATTGATAGTGATCGGACGAATTCCATGCTAGTTCCCTTGGAAGGGATATTACGGCGTCAAACTATGGAGGGGACTTATATGAAGCCAAATGTTTTAACGTTAAAACCACTTTCCCATCACCAAATCCCGTCGAGATATACTTAATTTAAATATCAGAAACGAGGGGGGGGGAGTAATTTTAATATGAAGAGCCCCTAATAGCTCTATATGTAATAGTGAAGATCACACTAGCGTACGTTGAAAAATAACCAAAATACGGTACTAGGTTACAAACGAAAAAAAAAACATCTCATGGCGAAATGATGTCGGCGAACCGCTGGTGGTGAAACGTTGGCAGCGATATACTGATGTACGTTTATTATTGGCAATGTACACATATTATATACACACATGTATATATTTTATAATGTATGTATATAGGGGATTGTATATATTAATATTTGGGGGTGCACAATAGTTTTCTAGGTTTTTTTTTTTATATATTTTACAGTTTTCTACTAACTTTTATTACTATTGAAATGGGCAGGTTATGTTGAAAGAACTATCGAGGGCATTATTCGAAATGTACTAAGAACCAAACTAAAAAGCATTCAAGAGCCCCAACAACGATGAATGAGTAAAGTTGTTATAGAGAATAATGATAGATACATATAGCAAGAAATCGATAATATATATAATACATAACTTTTAAATATCTTATGAAGATGGACCGTGGACGAATGGGTCCTATGAAATATAATAATTTCTCGGTGATATAGGCGTACTAGCCACGATTAATATACATCTTAATTCGTGTTACTGGCATAATACATTTTTTTGGAAGATACCTCTAACTACGATCGAGCGTTCTCAAGTTGTTTATTTGAAGGTATCATGATTGTGCGCACAGTGTGCAAATTTAATTTTAAGAACGATTCATGACAATCAAACGACACATAATAATCGTCGTGGTATATAATACGGTCTATTATTGGCATAGAGCACCTAGTACAGACCTAGACGGTTTTCTCTTTTTTCTCTTCAAATGTCCCCGCAGCCTGTATATTACAAAGACTTATTTTAAGTGCGTTTCGTATATTTTTGGGTCCGACACACGCCATAACGTTATACGCCTTTGGGAGCAAGCTGCTGCACAATATAATACGAGGACGTGTCAAGGAGCGTTTTGGCGCGTGCGGATTGTGCGAATCTCCTTGGGATAATATAATGATGTGTACGCGCAGGCACTTGTGAAGTTGTGCGCTATACACTCAGACGCACTACACACACATGCGCTCCGGAACTCTCTGTCCCTGCTGTTGACCCTCTCGGTACGCCGCCGCAGCATCCGATAATCACAAAAATTTGTCTCGCACATGCGCTTCGCGAAAATAATTTATATACATGTATACAAGGAAGCATTATTATATACATACACATATTATAATATAAAGAACACAACACACGATCCGTGTTAGCCGCCGTGTGTTTGTGCGCTGCGTTAAGAATATGACGTAAACGCCGCCGCCGCCAGTCATTTCACACGCGTACACGTCAACGTCAGCCGCCGCGTGTCGTGCCCGAACGGCGGCCGTTCGTAAAGACGAGAGACGACGCATTACGCAACGTACATTATTAGGTACCTATATTATATTATTATATACTTCTATTATTGCCTGCTATCTATGCTGCAGCCGCATATTACTAAATTATAGTCGTCTGCGGTACTATACGGCGACTGCATCGTCTCGGAACTCGCCGAATCACGTCGACACAATATTATAATATTATGTCCGTTATTATTATTATTATTATTATTGAATATAATTCGTGGGGTTTGTTTTTTTTTCCGCCGCTAGCACGGCGGCGTGACGTTTCAGGCGTGGTTTAATCGATTCCCCGACGGACGACCGATGATACAGCGGCTAGTGGCTGCCTGCCTCTGGTAAGCCGCGTCCCGTTTCGTCTCCGAACTAACGGAACTGCGGTCCGAGACGTCGTTCAGTGATAATAATATTATGTATTTTACGACCGCTAAAAGGTACAGGAACAGTCGGGAAGTGCAGTGCGGCGTGCGATTGCACGCGTAACGTACAACACGAACGCGTCCGAAAGTATAGACACAGCGAGCGACGTCCGTCCGTGTTATCTCCGTTTACGCGCAACCGCTGCGCCCGACGGTCACCCCTGTTTACTACACTTCATACACGACAACGGCCGCGTACCACTTGCAGACTGTGACTCATGTTTTTCCTCCTTCCGTTCGCGACGTACTACAATCAATAACCTTATCACGCACACATTCTCGTCGCGGCGTAGCGCGTACACGCGTATGACGTGCTCACTGGTCGTTTCACTGTTCCGTATTCGCACGACCGTTCGAGTTCGACCGACTACGGCGACGAACACGACGGTCCGCAACGGCCACGATAGTTGTACTATTACGACGGTTCTCGCCTGTCGATGACAAGTTCGGGCCGCCAGACTCATCACTGTACCCAATAAAAGAAGTTGCAGACTGTAGTTCCCGGCGCGCTCTGTACAATCGTCGATGCGGATGTCTTATTGCCATTAAATTTAATGTCTGGAATAAATAAATCTATCTGTTATTTAACAAGGTGAGCTCATTTAATTAGGTATTATTATAAGCCTTTTTCATTATGTCTTCAATCAAGCACTGTAGAGATAAACAATTATGGTGTTGTCGATAAACGTATCAGCAACAGAATCAGAATCATTCCATTCGACCTCAATACTCAGTTTTGGGCTTTTGGCTCCTTTTGAAAGTAAATACTTGTTTAGTGTATACATAATGCATTTATTCTGTGGATAAAGTCTTAGATTACAATATATTAAAGAGAGTAGAGTATCTTACTCTTAATATTTCTACCCACTTTACGTACCACCGCTTTGAGCATTTATTATTTAAAATAATAATAAATATTATTATTATAATTTTTTCAAAATAAAAACCAAGTCTAAACTTTCGGTTGGAATCAAGTCAATGATCCAATTATTTATGAACATTTGAATAAAGAATTATCATATGGTTGTAAAACATTAATTATTTATTATTTGCTCATATATTAATCCATTACAAATTCACTACATTTAATATTTAGGTATCTTATTTTGAGTTTAATATTAAATTTCACTACAAGGTAAATAATAGGTATTATTGTTTTGTTGATTTTAAATGATATTGTATCTGAGATTTTAAATAAGTACCTACTTAGATTTAATTTGTTTAGTACATTTTGATTTTGAACCAATAATTTATTTAATTATGTTTTTATTCAAGAGATTTTTATTTGGATATTACATATGATAAGGTGTAATTTTGTAATAATTTTTAGTTATAGTTACCTATTTTATTAACACTAGTCAATGAATAAGCTTTTTATTCATCACTATTTATAATTATAGTACTTTTAATCAATGGTAATAATGTAACATTTAGTTACTGATCTATGTAATCAAATTTGAATTATATTTTTGGACCGTGGTTATTTTGTGTAATCCTACTAAAAATAATATTAGGAATAGGTGATCATCATATTTGCATATTTTCATAATAATCATAATCATACTTACACAAATTGCATACAATTTATATTTTATTTCTAAAATTGTTTTTCCATCAAATGTCTATTATAAGTTTCTAATATTAATTTGTGTACCTGAAGTTTAAATAGCGATACTTAGTTATATATTTTTAGTATTTTGTATTATTTGATAGAGAAAAAATAAGTCGAGGAAAAATTGTCGATATGTTGATTTTAGGAAGGCGTAAATAGTAATAACTGTAATAGCCTAGTAATTGTTTACCCTATATAGTCCTATTTACCCTGAAGTCGTGACTGGTTTGGAATAAAAGGATACACTCACCAATTTTATTTAATATAACACTGGAGAAAATAATTAGTAGTGCTCAAGATAATAACTTAAGGACTAGTATTGGTGTCACATAAATTGATGTACGGATTTTGAAGATGATCTAAACCTGATAGAATACAGCATGGAAATAGTAGTAGGTACAAAATACAAGCATACTAATAGAAAAGATAGAATAGATGGAGTAAAATAGTGTGAAGAAACACTGTTATTAACAAATCTTGAAAATTGAATCTAGAATTGATACAATTTAAGAACATGGATGATAGCAGATATAATATTCTTGTAGATTGTAAAGTCAAAAAATTAGAAGCTTAGGAAAATATGAATATCATTATGCCTATTTCTAAATATATAAAGGTTACTAATTTATTCATCCAATTAATATATGTAAGATAGAATGTTATTTCTGCTTTACAAATATAATATGTTTGTCTCAGTTTTTTTTCACCAATTAGTTTTTAATTATTTTACTTTATTTTTCTTATAAAGTGGTATTTAATTATTTGGAACAAAATATTGTTGTGGAAATGTTAATTATTAAATACTTAATAATGAATCAATAATTTATTATTTATAATACTAACTATGGATAATTGTAACAGAGAAGTTAAATTTTGTAGGAGATACAATTATTTGCCTATTTTCCTGTTCCTTTTTTTTAAACTTAAACTAAAAAGATTTTATAAAAAAAGCAAAATATGTGCAAAAAATACCCATGAAAAAATGTTAAATATCTAAAAAATGATTTAGTTTATTATTCAAAAACTTATAATGTCATTATTAATATGCAAAACTAAGATAAAGATTAAATACAAATTGCACCTCTTATCGTTAAATTAATAATAGACTGAGATAGTAAGAAATAATAACAAGTAATTAAACAAAATAATTTTTTTCTACTTTTTCATAGTCAATGTAAAATTATAATTAATTCATCTAAAAATAAAAAGAACTCGGGTTAAATTTATTTGCATTTAAAAAATTGTGTGCTATAATTTGTCTCCAGGATGAATTTATTATAGGTACCTTATATAACTAATTATAACCTTGAAATTATATAGGTAGTTATAGATAATTTACATAAATTAATTTCCTTACGAAGTTAAAAAATTTAAAAATCAATTTAAAATACCTACTTATTTTGTAATTCAAACATGTACTTTAATGTATACAACATTTACCTAAATATATTGTAGTACACAATAGTATCTTATGTTTAGTTTTTTAGCATAGACTAAAATATACTAATTGATCTTTTCTTGAACTTCTAATGTTATTTGTTAGTTACCATAACAACTACAATGTAGCCAAATTACATATGTTAGTAATAATGGCTCTCTTGTAAGAAAAACAAATTTCTACATCCACCCAGTATTGTTTTAAATATTCTAGATAATATTCCTTCACTCCAGTAGAATCCATAGTTGTAATATATCTTGTTTAGGGCCATAATAATAAAATATTATCCTCGTGCAAACAATAAGCAAAATTATTTTGTTAACATAAATACAATTTTGTCTTGTTTTAGATTTCAGAAACGGTGGGATCCGTATTTTGAAAAGCTATGATAGGCTTGAAACTGGATAATGATGACTTATCAAAGCTTTTCCCTAAATGTCGTCCAGCTTCTGTTCGATCTACAGACTTAAATTTGAATCCTCTCTGTGACGGCGACACAGACCATGATATGGATTTGATCCAGTCTAGTGAACGGCAAAGGAAGAGGTATACATTGTACATGTAGTATGTACACATATTTATTTGAGTATTATTTAAAATCAATTTTATACTATTATTCAATAGGTGTGATAATATACGTGGAAATGGCACAAGGAAACGTAGTATTCGTGGGATTAGAAAATTTCGTACTCGCAGAAGAAGTGATAGTGATGCTAGTCAAGACTCGTCATTAGAAACTAGTATTGAAGATGATGAGGAAGAAATTAATGAAAACATGGAAGAAGATGAAGATGATGAATCAGATATAAAAAATGCATCTAGTGAATCTGGTGTGATGTGTAATGTGGATGTTGGGGCTGTTAACCGAACAAGAAATTTGAATAAAGGAAATTTGACGTCACAACAATCTACATACAAATTGAGGGATTCAAGGTTTGACTTTCTTATTTATGGAAACAATAAGGAAAAAAAATTTAAATAAACGTGATTGATCTATATTTTCTAGAATAATAGAAATAGCTGGAGGTCGAGAAGTTTATAGCCAAAGTCGAAGTAAACCAGGTCGAAAAACTCGTCAAATACCATTGCCTTCAGAAGTAGATTGGATTAAATCACCTGGCCGCATATGGGAACTTCGTAATAGGTAAATAAAAAATGTATTAGTTTTTCTTTTAGAAGATATTGATTATGTTTATAATTTTTCGGTTCTCATATTACTAAGCAATTTTATTTTTACTTTACAATTTCTGTTTTTGCTGTAGAGGATTAGATGTTCCCAGTACTGAATCTTCAAGAGATATTTCAGAAACAGTGTTTTCAACCGATGTAAAATCTAATAAACAACGGCCATTATCTTTAGGTAATTAATATACAAATTATTAACTAGTAAATACATTAATTACTGAGCATATAATTTATAAAGAATTAGACGATCCAGTTTTATTTGATGATATACATAATGATGCTTGGGACAAAGTTCAACATGATTCTTCAATTGGTCACTATGGAATGCATCATCATAAAAACACATACCAAACTATTGATTCTTGTCAACACCACTTAAATTATAAAGTATGTTTATATTTATAGTTTATCTTTAATTTGTAGTAAGTATTGTACTACTATTTACCAATTTCTCTCTTAGGCTAATCAAAATGGAGAAATAAATTTGATTGGAAATAGTAATCGATCTGAAATAACCAATATTGATAATACAGATGGATTAGTTAGATCTCAGTGTGAAGTTCAGACAAATGATTTCAATGGATCACCAAAACAGTTTAGAGAGGAAGAACAATCAATGCCTTCTTTATTATCATCTCCTACATTATACATGCCTCGGCCAGGATTTCCTCAAGTATATAGTTTCAAAAATTATTATAATAACAATAGTAATGTATTTACTACTTTTAGTTATAATTTTAAATATTTTACAGAGGGTGGTCCAAGATGATTCTAGGTCTTCCAGTCCATCTCCACCAATGAATTTTGATTATTTATATGAGTTTTCAGAGACCAGAAAAGTTTTAGAAGAATTTTTTAAGTCTGGAACTGAAAATCAGGACAGTCAACAGTTACAATTCCAGGTATATTTAATATTATTTATAATTGATAAAAATTAATATTTGAAATATATGCAATATTCAGTATTAGAATTTATATTATTAATAAGTATTAAAAACAATACATTTTTTTAATTAACCTTTACAACACACTATTTCCGAATTATCTATGTCCCAATCATGCGTGCAGGGTTAAAATTGTTTAATATAAAATGTAAATAGTTATATATATTTATTTTATTTAATTAGATTTGTATACTACATTTAGGATATTTTATTACAATAAATTGTAACCGTATCACATCTGTTTTTTAGGATTTAGAGTATGAATTACGAAGAAGAATACCATATAAGAATGCAGTGTCTGAACAAGGTGATACTTATGGTGGTATGCATCTGTCTAATGAAGATATACATAAAAGTTCACAGTTATCTCCACATAAACACGATTCATCATCAGATGTATCTCGATGCTTAGCTGGTGTTAATCAAGTATCTACTGAAATTTAATAATTGTATTTATGTGAAAATATTATTTTATGATAAATGTTTATTTAGAATTGTGCTGGGAGGTATAATCGCAATGTGACTTTATCACCGGAAGTAACAGACTGTGAGGATGCTGGTATGGATAGTGATGGGGAATCTTCATCTATGGTTGATAGTCAACATTTAATTCCACTATGTGGTGTAACATCTATCACTATGCCAGTTTTAGAAGATGGATTATCTAGTGGTCATACAAGTGACACAGATAACAACAATCCAACTGTAAATAAATCTGTGTTATATATTTTTATAATTATTTATAACACAAAATTATTTATTCAGGTATTACTAATGAAAAGGCAAATTAGTGAGATTGAAAGAGAAATAATTGAGCGTACAAATAGAGTCAGTAAATGTGATAGCAATGATACAAATGCTAGTGATGTACATTCTAACAGTCATGAGTCTGGAATACAGTTATTAGATTCATTAGGTTTGTTTTAAAATAACTTACGTACTCAAGTAATAAGTTTTTGGAATTTTTAATTTATTTAGATGCTCTTAATAATACAATTTACAGATTTATATTTCAAGTTAATATATCAAATATTTTTTTTTCATAATATGTAAAATAATTTAGTATCTGTGATTTCCTTATTTTCAGTGAGATCTGATGAGAGTAGAACACCTCCACCACCAGCACCAACAGCACATCGTACTGCAAATGAATCTGCTGATTTGGTTGAGGCTGCTATTCATGAAATAAGATCTAGTCTTAGACAAACAAAGCCCTTAAAAACGACTAATGTTGATGATGACATATCTCCAGGTTGCAGTCCTAGTAAAGATAGTACAAACTCTAATACTGCTAAAACTGAAGATTTGCCTATTTGGGTACCAAGGTAAAAGTTATAAACAGAGTTTTTCATATTAATAATTCAGAACCATAAAGAATATTTTTAACTAATAATAGAAAGCTATAATTTAATTTTAATATGAATATATTTTTCTTTTGATTATTAGACATAGGGGAACCGGTTCTGGACCCAGTGGCGATGAAGGTATTTAAAATTTTTTTTTAAAATTTTCTTTAGACTTTTATATTTATAAATTGTTATTATTTAATATGCTTTATAATTAGAAGAAGCAGATACAGATTTAGAAACTGATAGACTTTTAGGACAACAAAGAACTGATGATACTGGATTTTTTGATGAGAAAACTGTAAGTTTAAAATTTATCTAATAATTATTTTCCTTATACTTTGATAACCCCTAGTGGTTTTATAGTATTTACTCAACTGGCGTATTTTGTTTGAGCAATTGTTACATATGTTTTCTACCCAGTCGGTCAATTATTACAATTTTTTTTCTAATTCTTGTAATAAAATTGATTAAACTAGAAAAAAAAAATTAGTTTTGTATGAAATATCACCACAGGACTGGAAGAAGTCAAAAACACGGTCTTTATTACCGTTTAGTTTGACGTCGTCATCAAGCAATACGTCCTCACATCCTGCACCCGTAGAACCGGCTGCTAATATTGAAAAACCATTCATCGTACCCCAAACCCTTAACCCTGCAAAAAAGGTTTGCCTATGTGCTTTCATGTTTAATTTAGATATTTTTGATTGTGTTTATTATTTTTGTTTATAATTAGTGTATCAGTTTATCACTATTAAAATTTGTTTGTATATTATTTGCATTATGTAACTTTGGTTTTTGATTTAAATTAGTAAATTTCTTACAGCAGGTGATGATTCTATTTTAATTACTACTTTAATAATTTATGTATTTATATTGATATTCATTTAAATTATTTTTTAATTTGATATTGAGTGGTATAACTATCTTACATACTTATTCCATGCTAGTTTGATTTGGGTTCTAAAATAATTTCAAATAGAAAATAACCTAAACATGATATGCATAATAATTAAATATTTATTTTAAAGTAGCCTGATTACGTGCTGGACGACATTGTTGTTAAACATAGATCCATTAAGTGGTAAACATGAAAGTGGGGCAAGGGTTTTCACCCTCTTATTTTAAACTGTTATAATTTGTTCAACATTTTTACTATGTATAGAAAGGGCTAATATAATTAGTGAAAGTTTCAAATCTCTGCGATAATAATTATATCTGAATTTCAACTAAAACAAAATTAAAAATAATAGAAACCGTTGTTTTAATTATGTTTCAGTCAAATCAATTTATAAAATTTGTCATTCGCGACTGAAACATTTTAGAACAATAATTATTTTTTAAATTATTTATTTATTATTTAAAAGTATAGAATTGATAGTATTATATTACCCAAATGTTTTGAGTGTATTCAAAATTAATTTTGAAAAGTATTATTGCATTAGTGCATTAGCTGTACAGAATTTAAATAATGCAATTTCAAATTCAGTTGTAAAATCACTTGTTGTTTGGACTTGTAAAACCACATATTAACTATATTATATTTGCTTGAACATATTTGAATGAATGCTTGATAAATTTATACCCTTACAATTTTATGTAGAATTATTAAACTTTATTGCAGTGTTTTTAATTATTAATTAAAGTAAATTTGTTTAAATTGATGTTATACATATTTTAATTCTGACTATATTTTTTTTCTGTAGGATAAAGATGGCACTAAAAAGAAAGCTCGCAATAAAGAAGGTCAGTCAAATTTTAATGATAATATGATATTTAATATTTAAATTGTACAAAAGTTGATAAATGCTAACATTTTATTGTGCCGCTTGAAATATTGAGAAGCAATTTTCAGCAGTATTCAATAATTATTATTTTTTTTTATTGCTAAAAGTGATATATTATAAAACAATTTAAAAAAAAAAATTGCTTTGCAACTAAAGAAAATAACTTAAAATGAAAGTTACAAATATCAAATGCTTTTACTTTACACTCGCTATCAGCTTGCCTGTTAGCAGTAAAGTACTTTTGAGTTTAATAGTTCAAGTCAGTACAAATTTCTATACTATATATATACATATATATATATATATACATATATATACATATATATAACAAAATTATACTAAAAGCACATCATAACCAATCTGTGAACATTCCTACCGATTTGTTTTGATTACATTTCTGTGTATATATAGTATATACTATTTTTGTATCTTAACAGCTTTATTTTGTTTTTATTATTCCGTTAGGAATACCTCAACACCAGACAGGTATGCTTTGATGATAATATACAATTATTGTCTTTTAACTTGCACGATTTTAACATTGTTTGCACATTATGATATATTGCATATTATATTATAATAAATAAATAAATAATCCTTGAATAATTGTGTACATTGTAAACACATATATTTTATATAGTTATGTGATTATCATTTTTTAATTAGTTATTACTATTATTTTTTTTTTTTCATTGATTTTAAAGTTCTTATTTTATTTATTATAATATCTTCTATTCATTTTTTTGTTTCAAACAATATCTTATTTTTGGGTTCAGATTTACCTAATTTAAGTTAATAATTACATAATTTTTCTATCACATTTTGATGAACATGTATAGCACGTTTAAAAAAAAAATTATTACAAGTATAATGTTATTTGTATTATGTGTACCTAGCTGTTGTGTGTTAAATTAAAAATGTTTATAAGCATCTAATGAAAAACAACCCCTTTTAATAGTTATTTAAAATGTGTTGTGTTGTAGCATTCTTATTAGTTACTTTTCAAAAGATTTGACTATTTTTTAAACTATGAGAAGTTTTATTTATTGTATTTAATTATAATTGCCAACATGTATCCCTTTGTAGTATTATTTTCTATAATTGTATATAGTTTTTTTAATTTAATTTTTTTTTTTTTTCGTTAAATTTATTATCCTAACACTAACATATTGCTTTTTATATTTTTTATCAACTGCACAACACGGAATTAATACAATATTGCACTTGATTGCACGGTAAGTTCAATGATACACACAACTTCTCTAATCAATATTTAATACTCGCTTTAAATATTAATGTGGTGACTTTTTTTTAAACATTAATTTTAAAGTAATTGTATTTACATATATAATGTATACGGTGTTTTTGCATATATTTTTTGAACAATCTCATATTATTAAGTGGAATCAAAACCTAATTTATGTTTTGCAATTAAGGAATTTTTAATGTTACAGGCAATAGAACACTGGTAGGTGATTTGATTGATTACTAAACTGAATTTATTACAAAACTAAGTATATTTCAGAAGTTCTTATCTCAAAAATAACATCAAAATCAATATAGACTTATAATTTTTGTTATATCAAATTGATTAGGTGTTTGTTATAGTTTCTTCATTTTATATTTAGATAATAAGCTTGAGCTGAGTTGGCTACTATACAGGCATTTATTATTCATAATTTATAGATTTCCACAATTACACACAATCCTTCCACATTTTTTCTATTCAATAATATTTCATATGCTGTTAAATTCTTTTAATATCGTTATTTGAAGTATAGTGTAGTTAATTTAAGTAATGAGACTTGTCTTTCTAGTGTTGTCCCTTGTCTGCATACTAACATTTTGGCTAATATGTCAAGTGTTATAAAAGTCATGGTTATACAAATTACTTCTTAATTCTTTCACATAGTTGTTAAGTACAATAGATTTTTATACCAAAATAATTATTTTTGTGTATTGTGGAAATATTTTTCAACGTCTAGGCGTATTAAATATTTGTCTAGATAAATCTTTGTAAGAATATCTGTGACAATCTAATCTTTTATTAGTTAGTAGCAATGAATAAATATTGACTATAGTATCTATATTTAAAAAGATGATATTATAACTTACTTACCTAGTGTTATATCATTTTTCACTCAGTCTATAATTACAAATATTTAACTGGTTTTTTTTTTTTTTGTTATGATTTAACTCTAAAATTGAATTAATTTTAATTGTTACTCAATCCATTCATGAAAGGTGTGGAGTACATTTAGTGTAATAGCTTATTGAAATTTCTGAAGGCTATCATATTAAATTTACAATAATTTTATTTCAACACAATAGTTCATTAATTATATTTTATTAAATTTTTATACATACATATATATATTTGTAATGTGATTTTTATGAGAAATTACTTTTATATTATATAATTTTTATAACTTCCCATCTTATGACACATGACTTTCTATCACTTGACATAGAATCAAAATTGTTATATTATACAGCTTTTGTGATTCTAGATTTTGAACAGAGTAAGGAATGTATCAGTTTTACTATGATATGTGATGGTATACCATCTTTTTAAATGTTACATAAGCCATTGGTAACCTAAAATTGACAAATATAATAGTGGAATTTGTTTTGCAACGCATTAAAATTTGACTAAAGTAGGTATCCATTACAAATAACATTTAAAGCCTTTGAAAAACCAAATTAGGTTCTTTATTTCACTTCATAATGTGACGTTATTCCAATGTTATGAAAAAATAATGAAACATCCTGTATGTATTATGGCCTTTGGGGTGATTTTTTTAATCGTTATCCAGGGATTATCTACAATGATTTTAAGTAAAATTTGTTATTTCAATCATTATAGAATTGAAATTAACAATACTAATATTTTATAAATAACATTATAATAGTTTGAAATTTAGACTTATGGAATAGGGAAGGGTAATTTATTTCATACATCCATTTTTAGAAAATTTTCTTTTTCTCCCGTTTATATTTTAAACTGATGATTTATATATGATCTATCCAGTATTAATGTTATACATATTAAAATATTAGAAAAATAATTACCTTTCCAAATCTTGTTTTCAAAGAGGGATGGAGTTGCTATTTTATAATCATATGCTGCTTTATGTTCATGATGTAAGAAATAAGGAAAATATTGTAAATAAAAGAGATTTTATAATGAAAAAAAAAAAAACCAAAATCAATTTTATTGAAAATCTTCACGGATAATCATTGGATCATAATAAATAAAATTTAAAATATTAGAACAAAATAATCATAACTAATAATACGCATAATATTTGTTTGTATCGTAATCAATATTAGTTAATAATGTTATCATTAAGTTGCATAACTTTGAAATCTTAAACTGTAAGATAAGATTAGTAATAAATGTATGAAATTATATGAATGTTAAATCAAAATTTGAATACTCAAATTATTAACTATTAATGTAATTTAAATTTGATTTTTTATATAGTTATGATTCATGAACCTGCAGTTTTAATTGAAGGTGTTTTATTCCGAGCACGCTACTTGGGTTCCACACAATTGGCTTGTGAAGGACAACCAACAAAAAGTACAAGAATGATGCAAGCCGAAGAAGCAGTTTCTAGAATAAAAGTAGTTTATTTAGTAATGTTTTATTTTTAATCTTTTTATGTAATATATTTTGTTTTTATATTCTGTTTTCTTACATTTGGATTAATTAGGCTTTGGTAAGTTGTACATATGTAAAAAGATCAATTTTTTTTATTGATATTTTTATTATAATAATATTGTGATTTTGAAAGGCTCCAGATGGCGAGACTCAACCAAGTACTGAAGTGGATCTTTTCATTTCAACTGAAAAAATTATGGTTCTCAATACTGATTTAAAAGAAATAATGATGGATCATGCCCTCAGGACCATTTCTTACATAGCCGATATTGGTGAATTAGTTGTATTAATGGCCCGTAGACGTTGTTTCCTTACACACCAATCATCTGACTCTGCCACAGAAACTGCATTAGTGCCTTCAAATATAAATGGAATTGACAAAGCTGCCAATAACAGAACTCCTAAAATGATATGCCACGTCTTTGAAAGTGATGAAGTAAAATATATTCAATAAAATATTTAGTAATTAATACATTAGTAGTGCAACTATTTCATTATGAGATATAGGTTGTTTTTTTTTTTTTTTAATTTACCCAAGTGTAAAATATCTGATTGACACATGTTCATATTATTTATATAACAATTTTTTTTAAATTTATATTTGAGAATAACATGATACAATCATATTAATGATATATTAATTATCAGATAAAATCTATTATCCTAAATTAAAAATATGATTTTTCTATAAAACTAATAATATATAATTGTTGAAGAATTATGATTATGCATTTAATTTATTTTACACGTATATGTCACAATATTGATATTCATAACTGATTGATTTGCTTCTTATCTATTTGGAACTTTAATATAAAATGTATGACTTTCAAATTTAACTAATTATTTAAAAAAAAAATATATATAAAGTTAATTAAAATATCTTTAAATGCACGTTGCTTTTATTTTTTAAAATATACAATTGTTTTGTTTTGTGTTTAGGCTCAGTTTATTGCCCAATCTATTGGACAAGCTTTTCAAGTTGCATATATGGAGTTCTTAAAAGCAAATGGTATAGAGGATCATAGTTTTGTTAAAGAAATGGACTATCAAGAAGTATTGAATTCACAAGAAATTTTTGGAGATGAATTACAAATGTTTGCCAAAAAAGAGTTGCAAAAAGAAGTATACTACAATTGGTTTAGTTTTTATCAGTTTAACTAGAATTTGTTTTCTATATAGGTTGTAGTGCCAAAGTCTAAAGGAGAAATACTAGGTGTTGTAATTGTGGAGTCTGGTTGGGGTTCTATGTTACCGACTGTTGTGATAGCTAATTTAGCGCCTGCTGGAGCAGCTGCACGTTGTGGCCAATTGAATATCGGTGATCAAATAATTGCTATTAATGGTGTATCACTTGTTGGCCTACCTTTATCGACTTGCCAAAATTATATTAAAGTATGTTTAATATTAATTTATTTACCATCACCTAATTTTCAATATTAACTATATCATTATATTTTGTCATAATTTTTTTTAAGAATTCCAAACCTCAAACAGTGATTAAATTAACTGTTGTACCATGTGCTCCTGTAGTTGAAGTGAAAATCAAAAGACCTGATACAAAGTATCAACTGGGTTTTAGTGTACAGAATGGTGTGGTAAGCTACACAACTCCTTTTTAATAAATTGATTGATATTTAAATAAAAGTAATAAACCATTAACATTTCAATTGATTTGATTTCAATAGATATGCAGTTTACTTCGTGGTGGAATTGCAGAACGAGGTGGAGTACGAGTTGGCCATAGAATTATTGAAATAAATAATCAGAGTGTGGTGGCAGTGCCACATGAAAAAATTGTAAACTTGTTAGCAACATCAGTTGGAGAAGTAAGATTATGTTTTTTATTTTTATAACAAAATTATAGATTACTAATGGAAAATAATTTTTTACGGTTTTACTAAATTTGGTAAATTAATATTTATTTTTAAATTAGTTTATAGATTTGGCACCTTAAATAGCCATTGGGCCTTAATTTAGGTTAATCTATAATATTTTATTATTTTTAAATTAATTATTTCTCTTCTCTTCGTTTGTACAATTTTCAGAAAATGTATGCTAGTAAATGAGATAAATGTTTACTTATTACTATTGGTTGATTAAATGTATAGATTTTGTTTTATAGATTGATATTATTTACACACAATTTTATTTTAAAGTATTAGTTGCTTATATGTGCTTAAAATCTAAAATAACGGTATAATTTAATTACTTAAACAACAAATATAATGTGCTGGTTACGTTATTTTTTTTTTTATTTGTTTAGCTAACCATATTAAGACCAATACAACTTTGAATGAAAAAATTAAAAACCTATTTTTGAATTTTAGCAAATAAAATTATTTGATGTGTTTTTACCTTATAGATTTTAATGAAAACGATGCCAACATCCATGTTTCGTCTTCTCACTGGTCAAGAAACACCGGTGTTCATCTAGTCTTAAAACCAGAATTGTCTCTGTATATATAAATATACACTCATACACACATACACACACACAAACACATACATACACTTCAAGTAAAATATTTGCCATTTTGAGTTTATAAGGTTGAATGTAAAACAACTAGAGAAAAATCTATTTTTGAGATGATAGCTGTGTTGATCATTATAATGTATTGTACATAGCAATCTCTCTGAACTGAGAATACACTGCCTGGTCAGTTTATGGACTAGTAAAGGGTTTTTGCACAATTTTCATGGGCATCTTATCTCGATTTCCTTTGTAATTTTAAAAATCAAAGTTATACAAATAATAATTATATGGAATAATTTTCAAATATTTTTTTTTTTCAAAGAATGTTTTTGTTATAATTATAAATGTCTCAGTGTTTTTCAACCGTGAACTAAAGAAAAAATCTATATACAGCGGTTTACATCACTTACACATTTAAAACACAATTTATCAAACATTGCCATATCACAATTTATATTATTGTACTATACATTTGATTGTTTTCCTAAATCTAATTAAGACCCTTTATATTTTTTTGTGTATTTTATTTGTTTAAATGTTTTGTTTTTTTATTATTCAGTTTTTTTTTTTTTATTTGTTATTGTTGTTTTATTTTTATTTGTGATAATTACTTTGCTAATGTATATTACGTTGCTGTAGCATTGTATTAATTTATACTTTGAACCAACAATATTGTTAGCGAAACAACATTGTTATTCGAACAACTCAATTGTACGTATTGTACATAAAACGTGTCTATGGACACATCAGTTGTGACAATTTCTAATTCCTAATTATTCTAGTCATCGTCATGAATGAACGTGTTATGATGTAATTTTTAATCCTAATATTTATTGTGGTCATTAGACTTAAAATTTATGTATTATAACAAAACATTAAATAAAATTTAAAAAATATTTATAATATGTTTAATTTTAATAAAATGTCCTCTGTCCATGTCAATTACAGTAGTTGGAACCAATTGGATAACCATTTTTAGATGTTTCATGGAAAGTTTTGAATAAATAAAAAAGTTGGTATGGTAGATATACTCATACTTAAATTTGAACAAATTCTCCTCTAAGGCTTATAGCAATCCTTTTAGAACCATTGCCACTTCCATCTTTCCCTGTTCAATGCCACTTCCATATCCAGTAATGAATTGATTTCCTTCATGGTTTTCTTAACTATATCATACCATCTCTGCTGAGGTCTACCTCTTGGTCTTTTTCCCATGACTTTCTTAATGAGTGATCCCTCTGTTCGCCAAATGTGTTTCACCCATTCCAGCCTTTTTCTGGCTAAGAAAAGGCATAGTCTCTGCTTACTGTACAGCTGTTGCAAGTTTTCAATTTTTTTTCTTTGGAAACTTCCTAAGTCAATATTATATACACCAGTCCATATACTTTCCTGAGTATTTTCCTCTCAAAACTCTAGTCTTTCTTCATCTCCTTGAATGCTAGACCACGTCTCGCATGCATACATTACTATGGGTCTCAGGTACGTACAATAGAGGCGTTCCTTTTTTGTTTTTTTTCGTTTATGTTAATTCCTATGTACTTACCCAAGTCACCTACCTGCTTGAAAGTGAGTTCTTTGATGCATAGATTATCCTTTACAGTTGTATTCCTATTCATAACTACATATTTTGTCTTGTTTTCGTTTATCACTATCCCCATAATGCAGCTAAATTTTATTAGCTTTCTTACACTCTCCTCAACATCATTTATGCACTTTCCTAGTAAAATAATATAGAACAAATTGTCAAAATTATAATAAACAATTTCCATAGTTTTCTGTCAAATATCCCATTGCATCCAACTTTTCCTATACTACAACAAAACGTTAAGACATTTGAAAGATTTATAATTTTCCGTTTACATTTATATGATAATATAGAATAAAAAGTAAAAAGCTTAGATACATTTAATCACTAATTTGCTCTAACCATAATATTGCCAATATTAATTATTTCAAAAAAGTTAATCCCGAGCATGCATAATCTCCCACACATAATACATTACTTTTTGTGCATGTGAAATTATATAGTTTATTGCTGCGGCCATCACTTGTCCTTACTCAAAATATGTTTGTGAGACTATTGTTTTTGATGATGTTTGCTTTCCTGGGAATAGTGCATTTTGGTAAACACTAAACCTGTCATTATTGTATAGTTAGAATTATTGGTAGGTACACCACAGGTGTTATTATTGTAAACACTGGCAGATCAAGAATTTTGGTTAGAACAAGAGAAGAGAGGAGGAGCAAACTAAAATAATTTTTTTTTTCAATCTGAGCAACTTTTTTACCAAAAATTTTGCTTCAATCATAAATCAATTAAAGCTTTTTTTTTTTTTGAACTATAGATCTGTTAGGTGCATTAATAAAGTAATTTTTTGATTTACCTTGTAGTTTCTTAATGATCGAGGAAAACTGGAAGGTTTTTAAAAATGGATTCATTATAATTTATTTTCGATTTTGTTGTAATTTGGTTAAAAATAATCGCAGTCCTAAAATTTTTACTAGTCATTTTTAAATATAGGAAATTTAATTTCAAAAATTATGTTGATTTTTGAGCTATACATAACCATTTAAAATTGTCAAGTTATCAATGGATGATTATATTTATATGTAATATTAAGTGAGCTGGAATATAAAAAGGAGTTTGGTTCCTGGTATTGTATGAGGGAACTTTAAAAGACACACTAGAGGGAAGATTGGGAGCATCAAGTAAATTGTTGAGAACATAAAAAAACTGAAGGCTCGCCTCGTTCCTGTGCGAAGACAGGGAAGGTAATTTCAGGATATCAGAAATTAAAGAGTAGTCATGATTAGGAGATGGCAAATTAAGTTTGAATGTAATATATGATTAGAACCTGTGTTGAAGATTCTCGACTCGTATTTGAACCTTAGCAAGGTAAGGATGCCAAATAATAGCACCATACTCTACTTGGCTGGACAAGAGCACAATACAAAGAACAAAGAGAATTAGTTGACTTGAAAAGCTTGGTGTTACGCTCAACAAAACCTAAGACCTTTAGTGTTCTACTAGTGATAACATCAATATGATGGCTAAAAGAGAAAGAGCAGGAGTAGTGAATACCAAGGTCTTAAATAATGGAAACACACTTTAGCTGTATACTATTAAGAGTGTATGAATAATACATAGGGTTTTTTGACCTAGTGAAGGTAATCACTTTGTATTTGTCAAAATTGAGAAAAGAGGACTAGTTGGGAAACCCACAAATCGAATTGGTTGAGTTCGCCTTGTAGTATAAGGTAGTCAGCAGGAGTTTTGATTTTATAGAATATTTTTATATCATCGGCATAGTAGGAATTGAGCTTTATTCAAATGACTAGAGATGGAGTTAAAACAAGAGGGAAAACAAAAAAGGATTTAGATGACTACCCTGTGGTATAGCAAAGGTTACATTGATATGAAATTTCTAATATGTATTATACTTCAAATTTGACAAGTATGGTATTTTAAAGAAATATTTAAAAATTAGAATTATAATAAATAAATTGTAATAAATAATACAAAACATTGTATTTGTTCAACACATTTGAATAAAGGATTTAAAGATAAATTTGTTTAATTTAAAATTCAAGTAACTATGTGACATAAATATAGATGGATTTTTATTTAAACAGGAATAATTTTAATCTAGACATTTTTAACCATGCAATGAAGGTACTAAGTACTAAGTTACCAATATATTTTAGTTTCAGTCATTATGTATAAATAACATAGCCAGGTTCAATAACTATTGTTAAATAAATGTTTTAAACAATGTTAGTAAACAATTTGTTAAATTTTTCAAACATCAAATTAAATAAAGTAGGTTCACCATAATCACATTATATACTCAATAAAAACGACAGTAGTATAAAAATTGCTTCTTCACATTAAATTCCAAACTTATAGTTTATACCTCCTAATAACAAAATTATACATTTTTGAAAGATATCTTCTTTATCAATAAGACTGTTTAAGATGTGTTAACATTAAACAATATTAAAAGCTAAAGAAAACAATATTACTCAATTTATAGATTCAATGCTCATTTTAGTTTGTTTTAGAAAAAAAAATCGAAGGTGAATAAAATTGTGTTTAAAAACTTTTCAAAGAAGAAATCATTGTTTAGGATAAATTTAATATTAATTAAATAAGTAAGTTTTCTCAAGAATAGGTAAGTCTTAAATAAATGTTTTATTCATACATGAATAATAAATCTCAGCAGTATAATAAATAATAATCATATATATATGATCATATATATATAATCATATATATATAAAAAAAAAACATTTAATGTAAAAGATTACGGACAAAATTTAAATAAAGACATAACTGATTGAAGCATTACAACATTAGAATGAGAATACAATATAATAATATGTATATGTATTTATATTTTTATAAATATAATTTTTACTAGTATTCACTGATGACTTTAAGTTCTATAATTCATTCAGTGGAATAAGCTAGTAAAACTTCCTACCCTTTCAAGTTTTCATTGGATTACATACCATCTTGGTAATAAAATTTGTTAACAAATATTCCTTCATTACCATTGTCTATAATTATTAATAAATATCTTTTAGCTAAAACTGCTAAAAGATAACTGTTGGAAAAAAATATATAATGTATATTGCTCGATTTTACAAATGATTTTTATTTCGAGTATTTTAAATTATTATAAATATTAACTTTTAACTTTTTTTTTATACTCCTCACTTAAAGTGTTCCATTTAGTTTTCTGATGCGTACATACGAGTCCATTCCTTGGCATTACGTATGGCCTCAAATTCATTTACTTTCCATAGTTCAGCTACATCATTGGCTAAAGGATCATCTGGATTTGGTGCGCTCAGTAAGGCTTGTATGGATAAAAGAACAGTACGTATCTGTAATGCTGGAGACCATTTATCTTTAAGTATGTCCAAACATATTCTTCCGAGTCTGTCGATGTTTGGATGGTAAATTTTAGTGATAAAACGAACTTTTGGTGCAGACATTGGATAATCTTCAGGCAAAAACAATTCCAATTTGAATAACCCACCTTCAAATGGCGAATCTTCAGGACCAGTGACTTTAACATGGAAATACCTAAATAAACATTAAAATATGTATTTTTATTAATTAATAAACTAATAAATAATATCGAAAAATTATTGTCTAAAAAGTATTATTACCTTGCATTGCCTTCATCTGGTTCAGCACTGATGCCAGGCACTGGTTCCTGCAACAGCCGTTGAGTCTCCTTGAGTATTCTTCGTGGTAGCACAGACATATTGCTCAGTATTTTTTAAAGTGTGATAAGTGACCGTTACTAAAACTACTACGAGATTTTCCTACCGTGCGCTGTTGCTGTTGCCTTTTATTGTATAAAAATTTGGTCCTTGCAGTGTTGGTCGTGGTAAGAGTGTGTGTATTATTATCGTCTTTTGTTTTTTTTCAACTCGATTATCAATAAAGTCGAATGCAGGTATGTTATTGTTCGATGACTACTACAACTACAACTGATATTCTATGCTATAACCATGTATTATCACGGGTTGCAAACATGTCCGTGAAATTCGCTGGATACGTACATGGAGTATTTGAGTATAATAGTGAAACAATATCGTATCGACAAAACAATAATAATAATACGAGTGCACCGGTGTAAAACTGCAAATATTTGTTACAATATGATAAAAAAGTAAAAAAAAAAATACAATACTATTTTTTCTGCGCCGAAAAGAAACTATTTAAGTAAACGCGTGCGTATTTAGGTACAGTAAATCACTATTGAAGTAATAATCTACTAGTGCTGCTGTTGGTGAATTGACAAAATCATAAAATCACGATTACGAACACTAATGGAACAAAACTGTACCAAAATGGCGCGTGGGCAATTGGTTCCTAACCTGTATTTTTGGTAAATCGTTTTTACACAAAACGTTTTGATAAGTTATTTTCACGATTTTACTCATAGATAATAATATTATACACGTTAATATATTATACTATAGATAAATATGCATTGTATAAAATATAATATAATATTATATTATACTATGATTTTACATACATTCTAGAGTAGGTTTTTATGGACCCTAATGATCCTATCAGCTCACATACGCCAATAAAAGATTACTGAATTTTAATTTTTATAAAGAGGACAAATTATAGTCAGTACTAAGGAGCTAAAAATTAAAATATAAATATAATACATTATATATTTTTTTTAAATATATAGCCAGGCTCTCTTAAGAAAGTCTCTAGACAGTCCAGTAGCAGCTATTAACTAAGTACTAACTTATTAACTCCAGCCATTATTGCGCGCCAACTACTACAAGTTTTTAATAACGTTTTTAGGTTATGTAAGTAAATATTGTTATTATTTTTGTTGTCTGATAGTACAATCATTTATCTTATATTTTGTCATTATACTCAATGATTTATACATAGATAAAAATGTATTGGTACTTTAATATCCAAATTATAAGATGTATATTATATCTTAATAATAATTGAGGATAGAGATATGGAGTTAATTCTTATTTTTTAGTTAGTTACATTAAGTATGTACAAACGTACAGTATAATTGGTCATACAATTCGAAAGACCCTTATATTATATCCGTGATTCTCAAGTTCTCAACCAAAAACTTATTATTATCGTGATGTATGTCACCAAAAAAATTATTTTTGAAAATTAGTAAATTTATATTGTGCGTATTACATTGACACGTGACATAAACATGACGTTGAAACCATATTCGTGGTTCTACTTATTTAAATTTATGCCGGGCGTTTGTAGCTTGTCTAAGATTATAGTTTGGTAATTGAAAAAAATACAACCGATAGTACTAGCCGTTGGTACTTAGTGGTAATAATTAAAATAGAGATTATTAGTTTTCCTTCTGGTCAAGACAAAAACGACCACTATGTGGTTAACCAAAAAATCGGTCACTCTACTATATTTATCATCGTGCAAATTATTTGCTACATTGCTATTTCTATATGGGTTCTTTTCATTCGGTTATAATGATACTCGTACGTCAACTCCGAATGATATTCCATCAATTATACGACCGAACCAAAACGACAATGAGCCCTGGCGGTAATTAATTATTTCATGTTTTATAATAAAGATGTTAATCTACTTACTTAAATACTCAGGATGGTATTTAAATATACTATGAATAAATTAAAAGATTGTATTGTTTAGTATGTAGGTACTTGATTCTCCTCGCTTATACCTAATGGTAAATATTTTTATAATACAAAACTAATGAATTTGAATTCTTTAATTTTGAAATTTAGTATGTATTTTTGATATTATTCAAATACAAATTATTTTTATAGATATTTGTTATGACTAAAATTTTGCTTTTTTGAAACATTTTTGGCATTAATATTTTTGTTTTAGGTTTGACACACATCGTTTGTATCAAAACTCAGTGAACAAAGTTGTATTAATGGTAATTGATGGTATTCGATATGATTTTTTTACGGATTCTGAGTTCAATATCTACATGCCATTTTCTACTGATCTCATTAAGCAACACAGAAGTTGTTTGTTTCGTACCAGAGTGAATGCTCCTACAGTTACAATGCCTCGTATAAAAGTAAAGTTATATTTTATAAACTAAAAAATTGATTACAATTAATTCTGTATTTACTTATAATATGTTTTGTTTATTTAACATTTTTACAGGCATTGACTACAGGAACTGTCCCAAATTTTATTGATCTTGTATTAAATTTGGATAGTTCAGCAGTTCAACAAGATAGCATTATTTACCAAGCTTGTGCTGCTAATAAACGAGTTATATTTTATGGAGATGACACATGGTTAAAATTATTTCCAAATTCATTTATAAGATTTGATGGAACTACATCCTTTTACATATCTGATTACACTGAAGTAATACTTCAATACCTATATCTGTATACTTTTTATGTTATATTAAGTAAACATTGTACTAAGTAGGTATTAATTTCTTTAGGTGGATAACAATGTCACTCGTCATTTAGAACACGAATTAAAACCAACAGCCGATTGGGACATAATGATACTGCATTATTTGGGACTCGATCATATAGGTCATATTAGTGGACCTCGAAGTCCGTTGATGCCAAATAAATTATCTGAAATGGATAATATTATTCGCCGTTTAGTAAATTATTTGGTAAATAATAATATAATTTTTTTTTTTTAAATTAATAGGGTTTTAACTGTATAGGATTCTGAAGATTCTGAACTATCTTCAGTTTTGATAGTTTGTGGTGATCACGGAATGCGTGATAACGGTGGTCATGGTGGATCTTCTGTTGGTGAAGTTACCGTCCCTTTATTTGTTTATTTTAAAAATCAAAAGTGTGGTGGATCTATAGAGTATGTTCAATTTGTTATATATACTTAAATATGTGATAATACATTTTATTTATTCTTTTAAATTGCAAAAAAAAAAAAAAATAGAGATGAAATAATGCAAATAGACTTCGTGCCATCAATTTCAGTAATTATGGGATTACCAATACCTTCTGGTAATACAGGAAAACTTATTAATAAATTTTTAAAAAATCTTAATATCAATGACATTCTTTTTGCTTATTATTATAATACTCAACAAATGTATAAGAATTATGTTTCAAAAAAAGGATCAATAAATAAAGGTACCTACTTTAAATTAGATGTTAAAATAACTAAAAAAAATAAAAATCTGTAGTTGGAATAAAACTGAATAGAATTTGTATATTATAATTATTTAAAGAATAAAATTGTGTTATAATACTTATTAGTTATTATTTATATCAGTGTTTATCATCTATAGATTTTATGGAGGACTACAATAATGCTATATTATATTATTATAATTGGTTGAAGAAAGAAAGTAAATCCATTGATGATGTACTTCATCTTATTTCTTTATACGAATCAGTTTTGAGTGATATGAGCAATTATTTAGTAGGATCAATAGCCAAATTTGATGTATTCCTCATAATTGTCTCAATTGTACTATCTATACAGGTATCTATATAAATTCAAAACTTTTTTTTATTTTTTAAATGATTATTAATATTACCCATTATTGTTTTATAATTCAAGGTCTGGATGTTGCTTGTAGACTTTGATGCTGTGAATATCAAATTTATTAAAGTGAATCGTTTAGTATACCTAATGTTAATTCGTTGGGCAGTTTGTGTATGGCTGCAATGTAATAGTGTTTTATGTGAATTCACTGCTACATTTAATCTCTTGGCCATTGTCATTATTACAATGTTTATTATAAACCTTGGTAGTTTTGGTTGGCCACTTTCTAAATTTTTTAATTTAGCGGTAATTAATTTTCTTGAATTTTATCTTTTTTATTTCTAAAATACTTATTGTTTTTAGATTGGTGATATTGATGAACATTTATTTTATGTATTATCTGGTATGTTGATTCATGTATTTAGCCTATTTTCATCCAGCTATATTGAAGAAGAGCACCAGTTGTTGTATCATCTATGGACTGGATTTTCAGCAATTCAAGTATACAAGACTTTTGTTGAGCATAACTATACATTAACAGTTAAGTGGATATTTGCTATGATTCTCCATCGCTTTTGCAAAGATCTTAATTATATTGGTAATCAATGGTCAGGACTCTACAGTTTAAGTGATTGGTTTCGTGAGTTTCAAAATCAAGGATATTTGTCAGCTCTAATGGCTCTTGGTAATTTGTATTCAAATCAAACATTTATTCAAAATATTAATCTTAAATTTTAATTTTAGGTCTTTTAAGTATTTTTTTTGCTTGTATCAATATTTATAGATCAGGCAAAAATAATAAGCATTTAGATGGACTGAGCACAGCTATATTTGTTTTATATTTTTTGACTTTATGCAGTGTTTATATATATAGAGTTGAAACAAAAGAAGTGTCTGTTCCATTTGGGTTTAACACATTGTAATAATCATAATATACTTATAAAAATACTAAATTATTTCAAGTAGTATATAACTAATGTATTGATATTTTTAAAGAAAATTAATATTTGGCCTGCGTTCATGGACCATCACATGGTATTTATTAATTGGATGCCATATTATTGCATTCATCAAACAAGCTAATCAAAATAATTGCAAATGGAATAATGCTGTGTGTTCATTAATAGTTTTGTTATTATTGCGTTTGTCGCTTTTGCTAAGACCACATAACCTTTTAGTGCCAGCTGTTTTGGTGTATACATGCAAACTTATTAAACTAAAACATAGAAATACTTTAACAATGACAATACTTCATTATTGGTTGTCATTGATGTTCTTTTTTTATCAGGTGAATATAGTTTCATATATCAATAATAATATTAATATTAATTACATTTTTTTTATTTCAATATAACTGACTTAGTCAAAGTATGTACATTTTTGATCTAATTGCTTGTTTTTAATAACAAATAATATTATTATTATTTTTAGGGTAATTCAAACAGTGTCGGCACATTAGACATAGTGCCTGGATATATTGGTCAAACGAGTTATGATCCACTTGTTGCAGGAATTCATATTCTTACTCATACATTTGGTTTTCCAATGCTGGTTTATTTATTCCTAGTACTTGATCAAAAGTAAAATATTACTTGTATCATTTATGTAGATTTGTAACTAATTTGATTTGAATATTATAGGTTTTCAGGACTTCAAAAACTTTTTACATTGACTGTTACTCAATCATGTGTGTATAACATTGTTATTTTATTGTTCCGCAACCATTTATTTATATGGTCAGTGTTTTCTCCAAAACTTTTGTACATTGCTACATTTACATCTATAACGTATATGTTTTCTGCATTTATTGTAATTTTATTAACTTTATGCAGAACGTAGCAAATTAAGACTTTAAAAAAAAATGAACTCTAGTACTTTTGTTACATTTTATGTGCAATGGGTATGTAATTATATTATTTTAATAATGACTCTTGTTATTTCCAAACTATTTTTACCATTGTATTTAAGTTTAAGATATAAAACATATTGTGTTAGGTCACATTAATATTCAAATTTTACTTCATAGAGTTTATCATAAATTATTTTATACATTATACAAGTATATCACTGGATTTAGTTTAATTTTTCATTAGCTATAATTTGAATATTTTGAATTGACTGTAACACTAAGTAAATAATTATTCCAAAGAATTATTTAGTCTTATTCAAATGAAAAACTGTATGGTACCTATGATAATCTGTGTTATTATTTTGATTGTTAACTAATAAATAATGTTTATTATTTATCTATTAATTTATATATCATATAAATGAATTTATGTATCACTCAAGTTTGTCATATAGATCATGATACAGATTATATTAGAGGACATTTTTCTAATTCTAATATAAATTTAGTATTCAAATTTGGAAAATCTATTATGTATCAAGGCTAATTTCATGTTAATTTGTTAGAGTTGAATTTCGATGATAAATGCTATAATTAACATATAAAAAATAAACTGGTATCAGTTTGGCGAGAAGTGTATTTTGTGACAAATGCCATGAATTGAGTGCTTGATCAAAATTTAAGATAATTGGGCCTTAGATCGTAGGCTTAACCCATAAATATAATATATTCCGGAATTAAGACTTCTATGGCTTACCACAACCGTGCTATCTATAACCATGGCCCTCGTGGTCACAGATATTGACACGGATCACAAAATAAGATAATATGCAAGATGCAGAACGACAGCTTATTAATACAAGATAAAAGTTTCTCATTTGGCCTTTAATGTCAAATTATACACCTACAATTAATATGACTGTGCTCTGTTTTGTACTACAAAGCACCATTTTAGGTATACTCGGGTAATACCTATATCTATATTTTATAACTGTGCAACAATGTGCCTATTGTTTAATGTACGGAACTATAAAATATATATATTATTTTTTTCTAATTTGTCTTTTTTAGTTTTTCTGTCAATAATGAACAAATATTAATATTAATTAAATACATTATGTACCTAATTGAATGTTGACTAAACAGACAAGATCTAGCATTTTATTGCATACCAAAGACAAATGGGAAAAAGCAATTGACATAGAGTTGAAAAATAATTCCAAAATTGTAGCCAAGATGTGGAAACATAGTTATGTGGAACCGGAGAAAATAAATATATAAGAAATAATAATGATTTAAAATTATCATATTTTTAACATTTTTTGCCATGAGCGCTAGTTGTATAATTTCAAACTGATATAACATGAGAACAATAAATTCGTCTTCACTAATACCTTATTCTGTTCTGTGACTGTAATAATGTGTGGCGAGTTTGCGACTATCTTAATCCGTATTATTTATAGGTATATTAATAAATTAATATGTCTATGGTATTCGCGATTATAGATAAACATAGATAATATAAAAAGGTCTATCCACAGTTTATTATCTATAATCGTGGTATTACCCTGAGGTAGCTATAGATAATAATTTATTATCAATGTATCTTATAGGTCATACATATACGATGTATGATAAATGTGTACTACGAGTAAAGTTGAAGACATCATTATTAATGAGTGCTAAGGGTACTGATGTCTATTACGCATGTGTATCAGTACTCGTCACATATTTATCGTATACTCATTCTAAAACCACCAGGCAGTGATGGTAGGTACATCACACATGATTACGTGAATTCGACCAATAGCGTGTGATATAAATTTTACGCATGCACATTTGTCTCAACTCCCCTTAGTTATGTTTGCTTCAAATATTTAGTTAATAGCTGTTCTATCTAGTATATTATTTAAGCATAGAGGGTACGTTATTAAGTGTTCGTGGACCGTAGTACAGTTATATAGTAAATGATAACAACCGAGATCGATAATTGGATCCTTATCATTTCTGAATAACCATAGAGTAGATGGAAAACTACCTACTCTATATTTATAGTATTTGATTTTACTTTTTTGTTTTTTTTTTCGTGTGATAAAGTTTCCTATTATTACAAAAAAAAAAAAAATAAATACGTCTTTCGAACCATATCAAAATATAAAAAAAAAAAGATTTGTATGGTCTGATAATTGTGTTCATGAATTATTGAACGTATTTGAAGACCAACAAATAATACAACGCTTGGATGGATTTCGTTATAGAAACAAAGACGTTTTTAGGATGGCTACTGCGGAATTGAACAGAAGACATAATGGAGAAAACACATTCACAGTACCTGAAGTAATATAAATTATTGTGTTTTTATATATTCTATATGTTGTTAAGTATTACGATAGTTAAGACTAGTTTTCAGGGTTTTAAAAAGTCAAAAAGTTGGTGTAGTAAGTTATAAGAAAAACTAGTGTACTGACCACCTTTTTTTAATTTATCATATTTTTCTTTCTTTGTTGATTACAAATTGATTACAAAAATTATTGAACAAATTTGTGGAAATCATTAATATTATTGAATAAGTTATGACAAAACAACTTAAAAAAGTACAATTTTCAAATATGTTTTTTAATGCTTAAGATGATAATATAATCAAAATTTTTTGAAAACTATTACTTTATTTATTATAGCTGTTATAAGTATTTTAAAATTAGATATGTCACCTAACGTGTGGAACAAACAATATTGTATTGTGGGGACTTACTATACAATAGTCATGGCAATTTGAAATTGTCAAAAGTATTTGCTTGTTTAATTGAATCTAATCTATACTATTTTTCACGAAAGAACGGTAAAGAGTCTCGACGAAAACCAGTCATTCTTACGCATCCCCACGCTGCACTTCGTCCAGGGCTCTCACCACTATCGGGCCAGTTGTAATTTTGCGGACTGCCGTAGCGGTAGCGAGTGATCCATAAGCTCAGTCTGTGTGAATGAAAAACTACCTTTCTCTCATGAAAAATAGTATAATATAGTGAGGTTTTGGTTTACATTTAGAACACTATCCTCCTTGCAGTAGTATAAGGTTAGTATTTGTAAGTAATAGGTTGTTAGATCCTCCCCACAATTATAACTGTTTATTCTGTGTGTTATATATAGTGACATATCTATAGTTATCAAATCATTCTAATAATAGTTTTCTGAAAAATGCTTCATCTCCAGTACTAAAGAACCACAATTTTGAAAATTTGAAGTTTTTAAAAATTTGTTTGTCAAATTCTTTAATTATGGGTCTGCAAAAGAATTCAAACATTTTAACTCAGTATAATAAACCATTTATTTAAGCGTTCTGTAAATTACTTAATGACTTGTCCCATTATAAATACTTAGGTATCTACATAATATAATACATTTATCAAATTTTATTTTCTGAGTGGAACAAGAAATGTATTGCTTTTACAATAATTTTTTTTTCCTGCATACAACTTTTCTACCAGAAATTTTGTTCAAATTATTAAAAATCTTACTGGAAAGGTTCTTTAGGGAGGTCATTTTTTCTAAGGAGTTTTCTCAATAAATGGGAAAAACATTGGGCTCAGCCTGTATTGTTGAAAATAAAATAATTAGTAGATTACATTAAATTTTTAGAAATAATTTGTTTTTTTTTTTATTGACCCTTCTTGTATCAAGTAGTAAATATATCTTAAATCTTGAAATTAATTCTGAATATATGATATTTATTAAAAAAATAAGTAAATATCTTATGTAATGTATATTATAGATAAGAGTCAAGTGGAAATCTCTGAAAAAAATGTTTAAAGATACAAAAGTCAAGAATGAATTTGGTGGTCACAACAAAATGACGTAAATTTTATGACCGCCTTGCTGAACTTTTGGGACACGGAGCCATATTAAATACTAAAAACACTGGTAGGGTTTCTAGTTTTGTTGTTCATAATGGTATAAATAACATATAAAACCCTGAAGAAAATCACTTGGAAGAAATGAGTACAATTGAAGAAAATATTTCAACTTATATGGATTCAATTTGTTCACAATCTATTGTAATCCTCAAGAATAAAAAGACTCCTCTAAGATATAGTGGTACGTAAAAAATAAAATTTGTTAAAAGTCTTTTTGAATGATGTTTATAAATATTTAAAAAAACTTAAAACTTAATTTTTTGTCAATCAATCTGTTACAAAACTGATGAGTATTTTTGTTCTCTATTTTGTTCTATTTTGGATGCATACGGCTGTGTGGATGGAAAAGTATGTGTCCAGAATGCATGTTGTATTATTTGAATAATTGTTGATATATGAATCAGTCATAATAATTGTATCATCAAACGCTGAATAACTTAAACATTTTTAAGAATAATGAAGTAGGTATAATATTTTAAAATAAAATATTTTGGATATAAACACAGTTTAAATATCTTAGTTTTTAAATATTCTTAAATTTTATGACTCTGGAACCTATTATTAAATCAGAAATGAAAATTCTAAGGTATAGTTACTTCAGTTTTATATATATATATATATATAAACCTACATTACCTATTACCCTCTTATTAAGTATCATATTATTATGTCTTATTTATATTGTAGGTAAAACATATTTCATTGAATTCTTTAATATGTGTTTATATTTTATTTACTGTTTTAGAATGTGAAACCGACTGGACTTTTTCATCTAGCAGACTAAATTATTTAAATACTCCTGTAAAAGTTCAACCAGTTGAAGATTCCTCAGAGCTTTTATTTTTAAAAAGTTTAATACCAGATTTTAAAAAACTCAATAATAAAAATCAACGTAGATTTAAACATTCTGTTTTAAGTACACTGGTACACAATGAACAAGAAATTTAATCAGGATTATAAATAAATTCAATTAACTTAATGCTATTATATTTAAACCGATCCAACAACATACAATTCAGTATTGATAATTGAATCATAACACACTATATAATGTATAATATTATTATAATATGTATGATAAATTTTATATCATTTAACAATTATTTAACTACCCCTGTGGGTCCGGGGTTAGAATAGGACCACAGTAACTCCTGCTTATCGTAAGAGGCGATTAAAAGGAGGTAGTGGAGGGCAGCAGTAACCGCTACTACCGACCATTGGCGATTTCTGCAACAGATCTAATGGCATTGGAAGGAATTGATGAGGCAGCTTGAAGTTACTCCAATTACTGGCTCATCAACTACGATGTAGAAGGAGAAGGAGACCATCACATTAAAATTCCTAGTAAAGCAGTATGCATCAAGTAGAGGACGATTTAGAAGTTACAGGAGCAGATATACTCGGAAATATCAGCACCGGCAGGGGAAGATCCAAGGCTTCTCAGGTCGTCATTAAGCGAAACCCATGTAAAAACCTCGGAACATGGAACGTTAGGACCATGCTAAATGCTAGCAAATTAGAGAATATTAAACTAGAAATTATGAGATTAGACATAGACATACTAGGTGTGAGCGAAGTTAGATGGTCAGGAAATGGTGATTTCTGGTCAGACGACTACCGCGTTATCTATTCTGGTGATGAAACACCAGGACGAGCGGGTGTAGGATTTATTATAAATAAGAAATGGGGCCACCAAATAGTGAGCAAAATAACATATAAAGATAGGCTTATATTGATTAAGCTTAGAGCTAAACCAAATGATATAGTACTAATCCAAGTGTATTTTCCCACATCAGATGCAGAAGATGACGCTATAGAAGAGGTATATTCTGGCCTAGAAGAGCTTTGTAAATTAGCAAAAGGAGAAGATAATTTAATAATAATGGGTGATTGGAATGCTCTAGTAGGAGAAGGTGCAGAGGGTCAAGAAGTAGGTGCATTCGGTTTAGGANTTTTGAATGAGTAACACGAATCATGTTCACTCCAATAAATCTCGCGTAAAATAAAAATATTTTAATGTTTGCGACAGTCGATATACTAAAATGAAAACGGCAATTAACAGACAAACTTTACTTGCTCTATTTTTAAAAGGACTCTCACACGTATGCGTAATAAACCGCGTACGAACAATTATTCGTTACCTATTCTTGTCTAATCATTAAAGCAATTCCGTACGGCATACGGCTATTTATACAAGAAATGAATATTATAAATCACCTAAATACAGACGTGTTTGTGTAGTACGATTCATATACTTACGTGTTCGTATTTGATTTGTATACATCTGTGTTCGTATATAATAAATATTTATATACTTATAAATTTATTTACGTGTCTTAATACGATTTTTAAACCTGATTACATAAATTTGACGGTTTTGAAAACATACGAAACAACGAAAAAATAAAGTTAATACCAAGTGACTCTACGGTAGATAAATGGAAGAAAATAAAGGATGCTATACATAACGCAGCCAGCAACACGTTGAAAAGAAACTCACCAGAGCCTAGGAAACCATGGATAAACAATAACATTATAAGAGATATTGAAGAAAGAAGGAAGTATAAAAACGCCATGGATAATCATGGAATACGAAGATATAAAGAGCTGAAGAAGAAAATTAATAGAGAGGCAAAATTTGCAAGAGAGAAATGGTTAGAAGGAAAGTGCCAAGAAGTGGAACAATTGCTTAGGAATAACAGGTTGGATCAAGCGTTTAACATAATTAAGAAATTCTTTAGAGGAAAAAAGAAACTAAACAGAAGAATAAGAGACATAGACGGAAACTTGATACTGGACAACGACAAAATAACAACAAGATGGAAAAAATATCTTGAAGCTCTATACCAGGAAGGAGAAGCCGCTAATCTCAATAATAATAACAACCCAGATATGCAAGGAGAAGAAATCTTAAGAGGCGAGTTTAGCAGAAGTTTAAAGTTAATGAAAACAGGTAAAGCAGCCGGTACAGATGACATAGCAATGGAACTTATTCAAAATGCGAGTACAGAATTACAAGACGAGCTATTCAAATTAGTGAATGATATATACACTACAGGAGAGATCCCAAAAGACTTCAAGGAAAGCATTATAATACNTTAGAACAATAAGTTTAATGGCACACACAGCTAAAATCCTAGTAAAGATAATATGCTCCTGAATTGAGAGCATAGTAGAAAAAGAGTTAAGCAACGACCAATTCGGGTTCAGAAGGAACAAAGGTACTAGAGAGGCAATCTTAAGCTTAAGATTATTGATAGAAAAACAAATAGAATTTAATAAAGACACATTTATAGCGTTTATTGATTTGGAAAAAGCTTTCGATAAGGTACCATGGAAAGGTCTATTCTATACTTTAGAAGGAATAGGAGCTGACTACAAAGATAGAAGGATAATATATAATTTATACAAAGACCAATCAGCTATAATAAAAGTTACAGACAAAACAGAGACGGCGATAATTAGGAAGGGTGTAAGACAAGGGTGTCCACTCTCCCCAGCTTTATTTAAAATTTCCGTCAAACAGCCTATCAAAGAAATTAGAGAAACACTTTTCAGAAATAAAATAGGCATAAAAGTGGGTAGAGAAATAATATCCTTCTTAAGATTCGCTGACGATATTGCACTCCTAGCTACCAATGAGCATGATTTGGAAAGAGCACTGGAAGAAATGTCGAGGTGCTTCCAAAAATATCAGCTGATTATCAACTGGCAAAAAACTAAAGTTATGATGTTGTTGAAGTTATGATGATGCAATAAAATATATAATTTATTTTATTATAATAAGGAGTGTTTGAGTTTGAAGGCAGGGGGAAGTAAAGTACTTTTTACTAGAAATATTTTAGCTGTATCCTTTCTAATTTTGTGTAATGGACACAGAGGGATGTGATTAACTTTGTGACTTCAAATACCAAATTTATCGACTTCATAAATATTTTTACAAATTTGTCTATAAAAATATGAATAAACATGGCATAAAAACACTTAAATTGTAAAGTACGCACATTCCTTTTAAAAAAAATTTTTTAATTTAGCTCCTTAAAAAATATATTTATTTCTTGGGAAGGAAGGGCTACACAAATATTTGAGCAAGTCATGCTCTAGCTCTCCCTCACCATATGCTCTTATGTCTACATTTACCAGCAATAAACTTTTAAAGCTCTTCAGTCAGGTGGCCCAAGTGTATCAGCGTTATTAAGGGCTAGGGAACAGGGTGTAATAGGGTAAACATATTTTTAGTCCTTCATAGGAAAAAAAAATGAATTTATTTTAAATCTTTATTACATATTTGTTCTTTTATATAGCTATAGAATACCTATAGATATATTTATCTTTGGCAACTGTTTAAAATTATGTTGAATGTGGTTGGGAGCATTGGCGTATATACGGGGGTGCCAGGGGGTTCTTAGCACCCCTAAGTCTAAAATTAGTACCCCCAGATTTTGAGCTAAACAAAATAAATATAATACTTAAATAGTACTTAGATATGAGATAAATCATTACTATTATACTATTGTGTTTTGATTTATATTATACACAATATATTATACTATTAATATTATATAGTATTTATGTTATATTGCCATGTAAGTTTATGTTAATTGTTTTTATGTGTTTAAGAAAGGACCTATCTCTTGTTGGTTATTATTATTAGGCAATGAAAGATTCATTATTGAAAATCGGATCTCATTATTTCAATTGTATTTATTCAATGTGTAGGTAATATATAATTTTATTTCTAGATGTTGAATTGGTTGGGAGGTATGGGAGTGAAGCCCCCCAACATGATACTCTATCGTAAATAATTTTAACACTCCCGAGTTTTAGACTGAACTTGTGCCAACTTGACCATTGGGTCAGGAGTGTCAGGAAATTGCCCCTCACTGCACTGATTTGTGTCATGTGTCATAATATTATATACCTACCTATTTGTATTGTAAAGGGACTTGAGTCACGGCAACTTGAAAATATGATATCCTATGTTACGCCAAGGTTCATGTGGCTCTACAATTGTCGACTGCTTAATTAATGGGTACTATGTTTTTTATGATCGAGATGATAAAAAACTGAATAAATTATTCTGTCCATCCGACTATATCGTAGTGTGTCCTACGTGGATCCTTTATAATTTAATTTATCAAAATAAAATAAACATGCAGATGATGCACTTATCAATAAGTTGGTGTGTCTTATTGTTAGGTAGGTACTTACTTGTTTAATGTTATTTCTCCATAATTTTCGTTTTCCGACTGCAATTTTTGTAGCACATATTTATTTAGCCAATATAACAAAGTCTTTGTGTAATAAACAACAATATACAAAACAAACAATTTAAATTGAGTAGGTAAATAATGTATTATACGAATATTAATTTTCAATTATCCTATTTTTCTTCTACTCTTAGTAAGATTTCAACTGATTATAAGTGTAAGACACAAACATAAATACAATTACAATTTAGGGGTAATACATTGTGTATATTTTATCATACATATCAATGATTGGAATATAATATCAGAATCCCTAGAATTTTTAAAAAAAAAAAGGAAGAACGATATGTCTGGGGGGGCTGGGCCCTTAGGCCCCCTGGATCCGTCCCTGATATGTACCACTTGATTATAAATTATAAATAATATGTATAGATAGATACATTATAATTAAAATGAAAGTATAGCTATATGAGTTAGTAAACTTACGATTACCTTATCAATTTAAAGTTTTTTTGCTGTAAAATTAATTATTAGAAAGTTTAAAAAATTCCAGATTTATTTCCAATAAAAACATGGACATTTATATTTTGCACTTACCACAGTTTGCAGTAGGTTAAAATTGTACTGCATATTAATTGCCTACAATTTTTGATGCGTCCAATAATATATTATAATATACATTATAAAAATGTTTGTTTACTGTTAATAAAAGTGTAATAAAAATATACTGGGTGATTTATATTCGTTTCTATTATATAGAATATATTACAAACGGGCTGTATGTAGGTACCTACTGTGTATTCTTATACATTTTGTTCATATAGCTTACAGAGCACAATGCATACTTTATTTAATAATAACTAATAATTAGTTGATTTTTTTTTTTTAAATTTAATTTTCATATTAAAACAGGTTAACTACCCCTGATAGTAACTTATGACCTACACCTATTCAGTATGAACTAAAATATGCTGTCATATTTTATGTTAAATGCTTTATAGATTTCTATAATTTGTAATACGGTTATATGAAAAATAAATTATGATTTTATATTCGGAGCGTAGCTTAGCGTTGGTGCGTTGGGTAGGTAATTTCTTGATTTTCCAATGGGTTTTCAAAATAATTGAGAAACCCAAAAGAAAAATATAGGTAAAACGACAGATATTTACGGCGTGCCGTTTTCATTGTTTTTTATTATGTTAAAACGATGTTTTCTACCAGAAATATTGCTTCAATCCAAAAATGACGAGGTCGATTTTGTTTCGCCACCGACCAAGTAAATCATTTTTCGATATCTAAAGTATTTTTTATAATAACCGGGAAAACCCAAAAAGACGAAATATACGATTTTTTTCAAATTACAACACAACGATTTCATTATTTTAAATTTGTACGGCTTATGTTTTCTATCATTAATATTGCTCCAATAGATAAAAGACGAGAGACCTTCTTTGTTGCATTTTTAATCTAGTTTAAGTGATGAGTAAGTCATTCGTTTTTTGATTTTTCTGTAGTTTCATAAATAATTATGAAAAAACGTAAAATCAAAATTAAAAAATGTACAATGATCAAAACATTTGATCCATTTTGAGCTAATTATAGACATTTTAAATTTTGTGAGTTTTGTACATCATTTTTATTCGGTAGATAATCTATAGATAAAATTCTTAGACTAAACAGAAGTACTTGAATATGTAACAGGTGGTTCCTTAAATATCGCACTTTGTGGTAAAAACAAAAAAAAAATGATTTTCATGTAGTTTTTATTTTGATAAAGGAATTTTAAAGAAAATCGTTTGAGTAAAAAAATTATATTGAAAAAATCTATAGCAACTGGTTCTTTTAAATTTTTTGTTTCGAAAATACGTACTGCCGATTTAAGAACGATGGTGAGGTCAGAATTTAGCGGACTAATTTAGTTTTGAAGTCATAGCTTTTTGAAGTTCTAATATGCGGATGTTATATGTTATATTAAATAATTCAATATTGTCAATTTCATAGTTTGTGAACGTAATTTAGTGGTGGTATGAATTTTGTTTCAAAAATATAATTGAGTGTAATAAGATATTTTAATAAGGTATGTTTTAAAATTAAATTTTGACGAAAATCGTAAATATTAATTATTACGGCTTTTCAAAACGTGTGTAACTAAACTTCGATCGTTTTTTGTTATCAATGGTTCGTTGGTCACAGGTATAAATTAAATAACTTTATGTATCCCATCTTTCTCTCTAATCACCTATAACAGTGGCCGCACCCGTCCCATCGCATTGTAATGATAGGCTATTTAAGCTATCATACATAATTTAAAATAAAATATTATGTAATGTAAGAAATAAATCAAACAATAAAGGGAACGAAAATTAAACATATACATCCAATTCCATTTTTTTTTATCAAATAACATATATTTTAATGCGATATCTACTCATTGTAATGATATGATACTTAAGCTATCATATATAGTTAAATAAAATGTATAATCAATATTGTAAAATAATTATAATAATTTATAGCCATTAAGTATTAGATTAAGTTTTTTAGTATTAACCAGTTTAAGATAACACATTTACACACGCACACACACATAGATCTCCAGTTATAAGGAGGCCGGCCACTTCTAATCACACACAGAGTGCGTGTATTATTCCCGTTGCTTTTGGACAGATGATCACAAGCGAGTGTAAAGACTATGCAGAGATTCTTACAAAAGCACGGGAACCTAGAACAGTGTTTTATATTTAAAAAATTAATAAAAAAAAAAACAGTTGTTACATTAAAATCTTTTTATTTATTTCGGTCACCTTTATCAGATTCAACAGATTATTTGCCGCCTGAAGGAGAAAGGTAATCCAATTTATAATCAACTTATACGTGTGAATCAATTTTATATAATAAGGCTGACCGCCATATATTTTTGATTACTACAGCATCACATCCCCTTTTTTTTTTTTTAAATTTAAATATTAAGTGAAATGAGAAGAATACGTATCTATGGATATAATATGCTGTAATTATGAATATCTAAAGAAAGGTGGTTCGACAATCGTTCTCCACTATTATAACCTATAAAGGGTGATCAACATAATGTAAAATATTCATTATCTTCTTAACTGTTTTTGAAATTTGTTTTTTTTAAACATGTAAGAAATAAGCCGCTGTGTCACATTTTACTTATTTTTGGTCACCTTTATTTTTAGAGGTGAAACTTCCTCCTACTTTTAATTTTAAAATAAAAATCCATACTCAAATTTTCATTAATAGAGTATTGGTTTAAATACATTTTGTTAAAATTTCCCGTTGGCTTGAACCTTTCCACTTAAGTTTAGGCAGTGAGGCACTATTAAAACGCTGTATGCCGCGTGCTGCTATACAAACAATGACCGCGACTTACCTTCCTCCGAATCTTATAAGTAGATTATCTTGTCCACAGGTTTACGGAAATTAAAATTTCAACACCAAAATTTATTTTAATGAATACACCTTTTATTTGTGGACTATAGGTCGCCATTTGAAAATAAAAAGTACGTAGTGATTTAACATTTTCACCCCCCAAAATAAGGCTGACAAATAAAAGAGTAATATAACAATTTAGAGCTACTAATTTCTTTAATGTTTTAAAAATAGTTTCCGAAAGAATTTAATATTTTCCGAGATAATAAGTGTCTTACGTTATGTTGATCACTCTGTATATATACTATGGTTATTTGGAATTTGGAGTTAAACTTGAAACAATATTTATTATACACCAACAGGTATGCGAATAATTTTATTAGTTACGATGCATCTAATTAGAATAAAAAAAGGTGATACTGCAGTTGAGTTTAGTAGATAGAAAAAAAGGACATTAGTAGAAGTAGAAGTAGAGTTATTTAATTTATATTTGTACACGACAATAAATCTTTGTTAACGTTATACGATTCTGAGCAAGATCAGCTAAATAGGTAATATGTTTTAAAATTCCGTGATTTTCGACACAATTTATAATTCAAGATAACTTTATAAAAAACAACTATATTACGCTCAGAATTTTCTGTTTTGCCGTCCAACTTTTGGTGAACCTTGAGTTCCATTTCCAAACATATTTGCATGGCCTATATATTTAATTTATATGAATCGATGAACACTACGCTAAATTATGTGATTTTACAATTTCCATTAACATTTTAACTATGAACGTGTCTATAAAAAAACAATTATATTACGCATATCTTTTTTTTTTTTTCATTAAGTGCCTACCACTAATGATGAATCTTTTATAAAATAATCAAGTAATACTGATCGGCCAAACAAATTTTATCCACATAAAACTAAATAAAACCTAAAAATTTTGAAAATGTTCAATGCCTATAAATAGCTAAACAAATCTGAATTACAAAAAAAAAAATGAAGTCCTAGGATAATGGAGACGGGTGCAGCCACTGTTATAGGTAATTTAATGTATATCTGTAAGCAACGATAAACTATTGCTAACGAAAAACCGATTCTGAGCGCAGTTCAGTTGATAGTGATGCTTTGTGAACAATATATAATATATATGTCATATTATGGTAAAATAATTAAATAGGTATTATATATCTTCTTTAATAATATTTGTTTAATATTGTATTGTTTTTCCCTGTTTTCCTATGTTTTTTCCTACATTATCACATTTGTTAAGAAAACTCTTGGTAAAATCGAAACATGGCATCCCTAAAATATCTTTTCAGTCTGATTTATTTTCAGAAAAAGTACTATTATTGTAAATCAGAGCAATTTGCTGGTAGAAAAGTTGTACACTGAAAAAAAGGCCATAATATTATTTTACTAATACCTACGATTCGTACGTTTTCTGTTTTCAAACATTTTATCCCGGTTTTTCCCAGTAATTATGAAAACCAATTGCAAAATCACAAAAATGACCTCCCTAATCCATGGAGATAAAATTGTCTTTCTGAAAATAAGCTATATATGATACATAGGTACTTTATAAGTAATTTAATGTATATCTGTAAGCAACGATAAACTATTGCTAACGAAAAAACGATTCTGAGCGTAGTTCATTGGATAGTGACGCTTTATCAACAATATATAATATATATGCTTTATTATAGTAAAATAATTAAATAGGTTTTATATATTTGTTTAATATTGTATCGATTTCTCGTAGTTCCTGGTTTTCCCGTATTTTTTCCGGTATTTTACATTTTCTGGGATAACTCTTGGGAAAATCGAAAAAATTACCTCTTTGAAGTACCTTCCCAGTTAGATTTCCTTTTTGAAAAAATGCTATCATCGTCAATCGGAGCAAAATTGCTGGTAGAAAAGTTGTCTACAGAAAAATAAATTCGTAATATTTTACTAAAATATTTCGTACATTTTCCCGTTTTTCACGATTTTTCTCAGATATTATAAAAACCGCTTGAAAAATTAGATTTGTTCAACATAATTTTTTATTCAACAACTCGTCGAAATTTGATAAAAATTCCCCTATAAAAAAGAGTACTACATTAAACTCAATTGTTTTTTTACCATAAAGTAAGGCTTTTAATGAACCTCCTGTTAAATTTTCACGCATTTCTGTTAAGTCTAACAAATTTATCACAGAGTACCTACTGAATACAACATATGTACAAAACTCTCAAAATTAAAATATCTATAAATAACTCAAAAATTGCTTAAATATTTTGAAAATTTGACCACGTCTAGAAAAGGCAAACATAAATTTTCTGTTCAAATTTTAAGTATCTACGAATATTTTTAAATAAATTACAACAAATAACAAAATGTATAAATAATAAAAGCATTCATTTCGTACATTCCCCATTTTTCTTACGCTTTATTTTGGTTTTTCCCAGGTATTATGAAAACAGCTTGGAAAATCAAAATATGACCTCCCAAAAGCACCATCTGGATAACATTCCTTTTCAGAAATGGTGCCGTGCATATATATCTAAGCCAGATTTCTGATAGAATTTTTGTACATAATATAAAAAAAAAAAATAAACATCTTACTAAAACCAATACATTCTTTGCTACACTTAGAATCTAAAATAATAAACGACATATATCTTGCGATGGGTGGGCCACTGTTATAGGTGAGAAGTTGGGAGGATAGAGAGGAAATTGAATGTACATCTGTACGCAACGATTAATCATTGCTATTGAAGAACAATTTTGAGTGGAGTTCAGTTATACATGTTTTGAAAGGCTGTAATATTCACGATTTGAAAGTAATACACTTCGTAAATTTTCCCGTTTTTTCCCAGTTTTTCTTATTTATTTATAGAAATCATTGAATAAATGAAAAAATAATTTCCTTAAAATACCATTGAAGTTTTTTTTCACAAAAGGTGCTACACTTGATAATCGGAGTGAAATTTCTGGTAGAATAGTAGTTCACAGAAAGAAATAAAAATCAATATAAACCAATACATTCCTCGCTCCTTTCAAAATTAAAAAAAAAAAAAAACAATTAATAGAAAAACCAATAGATTCCATACTGCACTCAAAATCTAAAATCTAAAAACAGAAATCACTGAATTTTTGTCTTCGTATAAAACGATACTTAATCAATACATTTAATTACTAAATTACTGTAACTTTTTTCGTAAATCATAAAATTATGTAGGTAATAAACCACATTATGATATCCATGGTTTCTCATGTTTCCAATGTTTATCATCATATTGTTACAATTAAACTGTGAAATTTTAAAAATATATTTATAGTTGGTTGACGGAGTTATTGGGTAATCGGGTATGAGTGTTGCGTGTAAATAATAAGATTTATGTATCTAGGCACTTATCTTATATTAAATCTATTCGGTCGGGCGGGCGTACCGTATTAATTATTACGTTTTTGTTAAATCTAAAATTAGATAGACTTAATATGCAAAAACCGGCTATTTAATATATACAACATAGTATATAAAAATGATATTAATACGACCACACAGTGGCGTGTGTATCTTAAAAACGACCCATACTGAATGTCGAGAGTAAAACACCAATCCGCCTCTATTCTATACATATACATACTATTATAATCTCCTACTAGGAAACTTTAAGATACTTTTATGATTTTATATTTTATTCTCTATTTTTGGACATTTTTTAAAATCTACTAGTGGTGCCATTCTTCATAATTGCTTACAATTTTTTGTTTATTTATTTAAAATTATATCTGTTAAAATTAAATTTTCTATTGAAAATGTTAAAAAAGTATTAACGGTATTTAAATTTAATTTTAAAAATTATATTAGTAATCCAGGAATTATGGATATTCATATAAACTATATTTTTCTATGGTGGTCTTGAAAACAGAAAAATCATATGTATTTTCAAACGTATAATTTTCAATAAATGCCTGTTTTTCATACGACATTTTATTGACATTTTATCGGTTTTTAGGGTGGGAGAATCCTGGATTCTATCTTCCAAAAATCCGCCATTTAGTTAGGGATATACATTTTAAATTTGATTTATTTCGTAATTGTTCTATATGCAAGCGTGCTTATAAGATAAAATCCCACCCGGAGCAAAAGTGGGAAAAGTTTTATTCTAGAAATAATTTATATTGTTATCGTAAAATGGTATGCCATTATACGTGATTAATGTACCTACAGTTGAAAATGTCAGGGGCAGAAAGCAATGATCCTTTTTGCCCCTTCCTGTGGACGCCCTTGTCCATGTGATAATTTATTGACAAATATTTATTTTTAGATTCTGAGTTGACCGAAGAAGCTTATGGTTTTACAAAGATCTTTTTTTAATCTGTGCACAACTTTTCTATCAGAAATCTTGCCCCGATTTTTAAGTGTAGCTCCTTTTCTGAAAGGATATCGGACTGGGGAGGTACTTTTTGGAGGACATTTTTTGATTTTCCTAAGATTTTTCTCAATAAATGGGAAAACTGGGAAAAAACATGAGAAAACCAGGAAAAACGGTACAATATTCAACAAATATAATTTAAAAAAATACATAATGCCTGTTTAATTATTTTACTATAATATGACATATATATTGTTAACAAAGTATCACTATCAACTAAACTCCGCTCAGAATTGTTTTTTCGTTAACAATGGTTTATCGTTGCTTAAAGCACTCTTTCCCATTATCCTATAGTATACCTTTTTTTCATTTAATAACATTACTCTAAATTTCCTCACTAGGTAATATTAATTTAACAAATTTATAAACTATAGTTAATACTGGGAAGTGAATTGTAAGAACATATAATTTTTATAAGTTTGTAATACTTAAGTTTGAAAGTTTGAGTGATAATAATAAATTATACATTGTATGAAGGTATGTATACATCATGCATGTATCATTACAATGTACGTTATTGTATTATTAATTTATATAAGTACCTATAATACCTATAATAGTTTGCAATACTGTTTAGCGATTAACTTAATAATAAAAACAAAATAATTCCATTTTGATAATTCAGTCGGAAACTCACGGAATGCAGTTCATGATTTTTCGTGAAAGAAATAAATAATAAAGCGTCGAGATTAAAAATATAATCGCCGTGTGCAAACAGCACGTGCCAAGCATTCATTCGCCTTTTTGTGCATATTATGATTATATGAATGCATTATGTCTAAACGGCACTTTTTTTCTTCATTCATTTTTCATAAAGATGAGTTATGTATATTCGCATACCGAATATAATATCATTGAACGATCGTGTGTACATAATAAATAAGGCTATCCTATTTTAGGCATATTTTTTGTCTAAGCGCAGACGCATATAAACACATGTCATACTAAAAAAATATTTATATACATATTATAATATTACCTTACACTATATATTTACGGATATGATATTTGCATACAATTTAATTTATTGTGTAAGTATCTAAATGGAATTATATATATTATCAAAACAATATTAAACAAACTCGTACACAGGATATTCTATTCAATGTATCTACTATAGGTACCTAGTTTTTTCTAACAATAATATTATAATAGTTGTGTTTTTGAATATTGTTAGGTATTTTTGTTTACTTTATAATTTTAAACTGTAATAAATGTATTATTTTTACATTATTCATGTAGGTAATAAAATAACTTTCTGGGTAGAAATAATAATTTGTTATTTACAATGTACATATTTCTTAATATTAATCATGGTAAGCATTATTACGCTATGAATTTATAGTAAAGCAATAAAGGCGAGTGAAAAATCATAAGAAAATGTTAAATATATTAATTATTCAGTTTATACACAACTTGATATTGGTTTATATTTATTATTATCAAGTTGTTGCGAATTTTTGTGAAATAAAATATAATTATTTTTATTACAATAAACTAGACTAAGTGGTTAGTTCATATTAAATCTAGTTTTGATTATCTAGTTGCGCATTTAACACCTTTGTATTTCTTCCGTGACTATTTTTTATTATTTTGTTTTAATGGCTTTTCGTGGTGCATGTAGATTAAAGTGTCCATACTTTCCATTTCAATAAAGTATATATTATTATGGATTATAAATATACAAGTATAACAATATTGTAAAATTATATAATTAATTCATAAATAGATAATAGATTTTATTTAAAGTTACATAACATTTATAAATTGGTTATTGGTGAAGTTCTGCCATAAAAAAATATGGAGATATTCAAACCGTCTCTGCAATAAACTTATCGTATGATGTAATAAAATATGGTTTGAGTTAATGATGATGACAAAGAAACCGTCCAGAGATGGCGTTGATGTATATTTCTACATAAATCAAATATTGGACTAACGGGTAATTTACTGTATTTATTTAAAGTGTGGATTGAAGGAGTGAAGAAGAGTAATTTAAAAATAGATAACATATATATATATGTATACATATGTTTATATTTCTATTCAGTAATTCGGTAGTTCGGTCCAAAGCTTAAATTTTAAATACTGTTTTAATATCTGGTTACCGTTGTCTGTTAGTTGAATAAGAAACAAGGCATCACGTCATGTCTTAACAAACCGTGTTAAACGTTGCTATAGTATATGAATGGGCGATCACATGGCTAAAGTAAATACGAAATACCTATAGTTACGTACCTTTCTAGTTCTGTAATGATAGTCTTCGAAATTTAACTATATTAAGAATATCAGGCTAAAACAATTGTAAACTTATACCTGAAAGCTGAAGAAAATATAATTGTATAACCTATAAGTCCAATATTAAATGTATGAAACTATAGTATATAGAATATTAAATATAATTCAGGAAAACGATTAGACATAGGTAGTACATATATATTTTATAACAGAAGTTGATCATTTAACATAAACATAATGTTAGAGATATTACGAACTGTGCGATTTTTTTTCGAACCGAACAATTGAGTATATGGTTTTATTCAAAAATCATTTGATGTCTATTTTCTATTCAGCTGGGCTGGGAAGGTAGGGCTCGTTTCGAAAACCATAAATACAGAAAAAGATTGCTTGTTTGTTTTATCACATTTTTGAATTTTTTGATATTCGATTTGAGTTTAATAATCTATTTGTAATATTCAATTTGGATCAGGTTCGAATAAAAATGTTTAGGTTCGGTTCGGTTCAGATTCGTTAATTTCAAGAAAAAATCAGTTCAAGTTCGATTTGATCTTAAAAATCAGTGTTTGTCACATCACTACATAATATAAATAAAGGGAGGGGCTCGAAATGTTTAAAACTATATGAAGAAGTGAGTTAGCAGCACAATTACCTACATGATTAATCATTTTAGCTGATATCTGACAATGTATTATTTATAATCTAGAGAAATCTATAACATACTATCATGCAGGATTTTGTTATAGCTCCAACATAGGTATCTACTATTTAATTGGAGTAAAATAATCATAAAAATAGGCTTTATATTGACAACCTGTAGGTATTTTAAAAAATTCACATATGTGTCGAATATAATAATATATTATATCAATTTAACATGTAATCATTTTTAGAAACACTGGGAATAAACAAAAATATTTTATATTTAAATTATATATTCTTCTGCAGTCATTTTTTGAATTTGAAAAATCGACTCGTTGCAATCTAAAACCATATTTAAGTCTTCACTGAGCAATATAATATACTTAAAGATCCCTATAGTATACTAACCTGTACCGAGGTGAACGCGAACTCGAGTGGCCAATGTCCCACTTTTTTTTGTTAATTTAATAATAAATTATTGTCGGATATTTTCCACACACGAAACATATAAGTATAATATGTTACAGCATATATCTACTACAAAGTAGAGGGCGACATAATTTAAAAATAGTATTATAAGATTTTAGATTTTATATTTAGGTATATTATAAATATTCTAAAATAAACTCGTCTATAACGCCCGCCATCATGACGTTTATTAAATACCTAACGATTTATCGTATAGAATAGCTTAGTTTTAATAATAGTATAATATTATAAGAAAGAGATATGAAATAGATAAAATAAAAAGACCAACATACTTCGCACAATGGGTGGGCCACTGTTGTAGATGAGCAGTTGGGAAAGTAAGATATAGAGAGTAATTAATTTTATATCTGTATACGCAACGATAAATCATTGCTAACGAAATACGATTCGGAATGAAGTTTCTTTTATGTATGTACGTACATTTTCCTGTTTTTCAAAATTATTATGAAAATTGCTTGGAAAATCAAAAAGTGACTTCTTGAAGAAGTGCCCAGACAAAATTTCCTTTCAGAAATGGTACTACACTTGAAAATTGAAGCAATATTGCTGGTAGAAATGTTGTTTAAAGATAAAACAAAATTAAACATCATTGTAAAACCAATATAGTCCTCTTTGGGTTCCGATTCTAAAATAAAGAGTAACGCATGATGCATAGGCAGAGATTTGAAGTCTTTTACTCGAGAGTGGGGAGTGCAATCTTCTCTAACCTAACCTAATCTTAGAATAATCCAAATATAATATTCATTGAGATTGGATTATTGTATAAAATACCAAAGGAATTGTATAGACAATTATTTAAAAATTGTAGGGAGGCTTTAGATGATTTGAGAGGACACTAAGTCCTTTTTTAAAAGCCTCAACCTTCACCTATATGGAATGACGTATCCAAAGCTTGAAGGCCATAATATTTGTTTTCGATTAAAATTTAAATACTTTCAAACTGCACATTTCCTTTTATAAACTTAATATCGTGTATTATGTACATTTAAAGCGCCTAACATTTACCTATGAAATTACAATACTGTTCGAATATTACTATTAAAATACTTCCAACCTTCAAAAACATAGAAAAGTTACTAAGTTATAGTATAATATAACGTTCACATCATAAATACTTCTAATAAGAAATTGTTGTATGTAATTTAGTATTTAACAGAATTTAAATGACGCATGTAATATACATTATTTTAATCTAATCGGGAATAATTATTTAGCTAATGTAAATATTATTGTATTCTATTGTGAAATTAAGACACATTTTTTAACATGTTCCTGGGAAGTTAATAGTCAAATATTACGTAAAAATTATAAAAATTCGAAATCGTACCATTTAGATTGGTTATTTTGAAATTGTTAATTACTTTAATTTAAATTTAGAACACAATTTATTCATTTCAGAGACTACATTTTAGTTAGCCATGCATAGAAAAAAAAAAAAATACATTACATACATTTTTTAAAACGCTTCACATGTTATACATTTTTACTCTGTCCATAATAATATAAGGGCTGAAACTAGGAATGGGTGTGTCACTGTTATAGACAGGATAAGTTAGGAAGGTAGAATATATAAAGTTAATCAATTTATATCTGTACCCAATGACAAATTATTGTTACGAAATACGATTCTGAGCAAAGTTCAGTTATACATATATTTTGAAATGTCAAAATTTTTACGATTTTCATCAAAAAGCTTATATAAAAACTACCTACTACGTAAGGTTCAACTTTTTTTTTTTGATCACTAAATAAAACTTATAATGAACCTTGTATTAAATGTTCATACAATTTTGTTTGACTGAACAATTTTTTCCCAACTAAACCAAATAAAAAAATAACATTCAAAAATTGCAAATGCTTAGATTAGATCAAAAATCAAAAATTAAATATTTCGAAAAATTTGACATATAGACGTATAGAAAAAGAAAATTTAAGGTTTATGTCCAAATTTTAATTATATACGAATATTCTTAACTGAATTATAACAAAAAGACAAAATTGAAAATAAAGAAAAGCATTTATTCCCCAGTTTTCCCCAACTATTATTAAAACTGCTAAGAAAAAAAAAAAAACAAACTCTAATGTACCAAGTAGATAAAATTTTCTTTTAGAAAAATTACTACTCCAGAAAATTGAAGCAAGATTTCTAGTAGAAATTTTGTACTCTGTATAAAAAATAAAAAATATAAATATCACTGTATAACTAACGTCCAATACATTCCTCGCTTCACTCAGAATCAAAAAAATTGAAAATAATAAATAAGACAGTATTATGATTCAACATAATTGTAGGTATCTAAATAAACATTGCAAAAATAAAATTCTAAATTGTTAATCACGCTTGTAAAATTGAGAAGGCAAATGTGTCCAATTATTTTTATTCCTCTTTTAAACCTTAGTTTATCCTCAAGAGATAAATGGAACTCAGCTTTCAACCCCGGTATAATATTATATTGCAATATTTTTTTTATTCTCTCTCGTTGTGCATTTAACTATATAAATTATACATTATGAATTTGTTCAGTAACGTGACTCTTATTTTAACTTTGAATTGTGAAACTGCACAATACTACTGAGACTACTTCCGTATTATTTCCCCTTATCTTCCAATATAACAATTATATCTGGGTGATAGCTATACAATTATGGATTTTTCTTGTACAAAGAATTTTAATCTTATTCTTAGGTAGGCACTTAGAATATAAACGTAAATTGCTCATATTATATCATACTCAAAATAGATTTACAAGTCAACACTATCTTATTGAATTTGTTCAGCATCTTTTTGGCCAGGTTGGTCACGTAAGTCGTGACCTATTTTGGTCGTTTACTCAAAGAGCAGGCCATTTCATTTTGGCATATAATACACTATGTAGTGTATTATGAACTAGCTATAACTGTGTTTTTCCCTTTTTCTCTAGGTCCCCCAGAGCTCTCTATAGCAAAATATGTCCTTGGGTCACCCACGCGTATCCAAAGTATGATCGGACTGAAATAGCACTAAAAATGTCTTCTCATACACTAATATGTATGCCAAGAATTCGAAAAATCAAAAAAATATGTACAGGTGATTTTTTTACCAGCATGCCAACAATAATTATTTATTATTTTTTAATATTGAACTGCTAGCGGTGGCCAATAATCTCATAAGAACGTTTAGATTGACGTATATTTTCGTAATACAATATGTATAATGCAGAATATATTGTTGTGCAATTCATCATTGTACACCCATCATCTAATCTAAAATATTTATATTCATTAAAAAATGTTTTATTTATTTCAATAGGGTCTGGGTATTGATTTCATATTTAAACTTGCTTCCTATTCTAAATAATATTTATTATACGTATAACCTGCAATACTTTTAAGAGTTAATATAGTAACCGTAGCAAGTATCTATACATAAACAAAAACCTGATAAAAATGTAAAATGTTAAAAACATTACAAATATAATTCTACAATGATCGAAAAAAATCAAAATTATAATATAGGTATATAATTAAGTTTGATAAATAGTTAGATAATATATTTAAATCGAATATAATATTTAGACTATTTTAGTAATTAAATATGAATATTTTAATAATATTAAATGAAATAAATTTGCTTTCAAAATATTACTCTTATTTGTAATTTTGATAATTTTTGTCGTCGGTTTCATCACTGAAAATAGTATTGTTAACAATTGGTGGAAAGACAATATTAATTATTAAAGTCTAAATTTAATCGAGAAAATTTAAAGATTAACAAAATTAATTTGTATAAATATTTTAGTTCTACTTTTTCGACGGTTTACGCATAAATAAGACAGTATATACGAGTATGGCATGGAGTATGGAGTATATATATATAATGTACTTAAGTTAGATCAAAACAAATGAATTACTTGTATGTATGTTAATTAAAAGTTTAAAATTTAAATTTAGAAAGTTTTAAAATAATATTTGAATGTACCAAATGAATGCTTTTATTATTTATACATTTTGTTATTTGTTGTAATTTATTTAAAATTATTCGTAGATACTTAAAATTTGAACAGAAAATTTATGTTTGCCTTTTCTAGACGTGGTCAAATTTTCAAAATATTTAAGCTATTTTTAAGTTATTTATAGATATTTTAATTTTGAGAGCTTTGTACATATGTTGTATTCAGTAGGTACTCTGTGATAAATTTGTTAGACTTAACAGAAATGCGTGAAAATTTAACAGGAGGTTCATTAAAAGCCTTACTTTATGGTAAAAAAACAATTGAGTTTAATGTAGTACTCTTTTTTATAGGGGAATTTTTATCAAATTTCGACGAGTTGTTGAATAAAAAATTATGTTGAACGAATCTAATTTTTCAAGCGGTTTTTATAATATCTGAGAAAAATCGTGAAAAACGGGAAAATGTACGAAATATTTTAGTAAAATATTACGAATTTATTTTTCTGTAGACAACTTTTCTACCAGCAATTTTGCTCCGATTGACGATGATAGCATTTTTTCAAAAAGGAAATCTAACTGGGAAGGTACTTCAAAGAGGTAATTTTTTCGATTTTCCCAAGAGTTATCCCAAAAAATGTAAAATACCGGAAAAAATACGGGAAAACCAGGAACTACGAGAAATCGATACAATATTAANTAAATTACTTATAAAGTACCTATGTATCATATATAGCTTATTTTCAGAAAGACAATTTTATCTCCATGGATTAGGGAGGTCATTTTTGTGATTTTGCAATTGGTTTTCATAATTACTGGGAAAAACCGGGATAAAATGTTTGAAAACAGAAAACGTACGAATCGTAGGTATTAGTAAAATAATATTATGGCCTTTTTTTCAGTGTACAACTTTTCTACCAGCAAATTGCTCTGATTTACAATAATAGTACTTTTTCTGAAAATAAATCAGACTGAAAAGATATTTTAGGGATGCCATGTTTCGATTTTACCAAGAGTTTTCTTAACAAATGTGATAATGTAGGAAAAAACATAGGAAAACAGGGAAAAACAATACAATATTAAACAAATATTATTAAAGAAGATATATAATACCTATTTAATTATTTTACCATAATATGACATATATATTATATATTGTTCACAAAGCATCACTATCAACTGAACTGCGCTCAGAATCGTTTTTTCGTTAGCAATAGTTTATCGTTGCTTACAGATATACATTAAATTACCTATAACAGTGGCTGCACCCGTCTCCATTATCCTAGGACGTTTTTTTTTGTTACTGTTTTTATTGGCAAAAGTACCTATATGAACATAAATGTAAGTTTAATAATTTCGTATTTATGTGTATTTTTTATCCCGAAATTGTACTATTGCAGTGGACGAAGGGGATACTATAGTCTTACGTAGGAGTAGCTTAAAGGGCGGAGCAAATGTGCCGTGTGCAACGCTATAGTAGGGATAAAAGCAGTACTACTCTTTGGTGTAAGTTCGAGAACATTTACAAAACCGAAGCCGAACACGCCAGTAGATACTTCCTCCATTTTACTAAGGTGAGTACATACAGATTTTAATATATTATACTTTTTATATTATATTATAGGTAGGAATGTATTGTTTTAATAAATTATTATATAATTATTATCCGTATAACATAATAATGTAAGTGGTCTAATAATTAATTTTTTTTTTTTTAAATAAAGGTAATATAATTTTTTTCGATCTAATTTGTATTTTTACTCGCGAAATATTTTTTTTATAGTAATTGTTAATATTTCTTTGTAATTATATACAAAATAGAAGATCAACAATAACGTTATTACGGATCATATTAATCTCGCATGGATTTTTCAGTTTAACATTTTATTACGATAAATTATTTCTTTATTGATTTGAGTTATAAATATAGATATAATTTTTTTTAATTTTATTATAATGCGATATTAAGTAACTAACTAGATATGTTAATTTTTAAGGTCGAACCGATCCGAACTGAACTTTCATTAAAATTAACGAACCCGAACCAAACCGAACTTTTAAAATATTTTATCGAACTTGAACTTAAACATTAAAAAGTAAAAAGGTTAGGTTAGGCTATGTCATAAACCTAGGTTTTCAAATTACTCGGTTCCGTAATGTACAATTTGAGACCCAATAATCCGACAAAAATATAATTTTTCTTTTTCGTAACAAGGCCGCTCTATCCCACCGTAGAACATCGTATTGGTGACCGCGCAGATTCGGCATCGTATGATTTTCCAACCGAACTATTGGGTATTAGGTTCGATTCGATTTGATTATTTGCAATTGTTTGCAAATAATCGAATTTTGGCAAACGAAAATCGAACAGTTCGTCACATCTTTACAATTAACCAACACTTCTTAAGCATAGCACAGAAACCTAATATTACAACTATTTAAGCATAAGAATCTCATTAGACTATTAATATATTTATCATACATTTTTATTTTTTTTAGAAGTATAAAGTAAGTAAGTTAGTAAATATCCTAAATTCCTGAATTTACCCACATTAGGTATGTAGATATTAAATTTAAATAGTTGAATTTGTTCATACGTAATTTATGGCTATAATAATGTTAAAATATTGAAATAACTAAAAATCCACTTATACCCAACTATAATATTTAAACATCAATTAATTTTAAAATGTACCTATTAATTTTAAAGATTAAAATGCCGAAATGCTTCGGTGAACAACAGTTTTGCAACAGAAGTTTCGAAAAACAGACTATAGATATACTACTATGTTGTATCTTTTTCATTTTTTGTATAATCATAACATTTTTAACGGTATTCAAGTCTTATTCGTTATAAATTATAATAGAACTATGTTTAAATCTGTTACACATTTCACTAGGAACGTGGTTTGGTACACTACATTATAAACGTCCCCGTTATTGTTTTATTTAAATTATTAAGAGTAAATACATTTAACACGATGTTATGACGTGTTTACGTTTCCAGTGTTTATAACACGGACGGATAGTTTGAACTCCGTTTGTATGTAAAATAAATGTCATTAACATTATAAACTCGTTCTATATAGTTCCGCGATTAGTTTGCCAAAATACAATCATCGTGTTTATAAAAATACTGGGAACAGAGATCATATACATTTTTTGTGAGCTATACATTTTTTTGTCTCCATACTTGAATTTGATAGGTAGGGTAGGTATGTATGATAATATTAACTATGTCATTGAATCCCTTACATTCGACCGAAAAACTGTATATCAATCCCTAATAATGTGCATACAATTATTATAATTATTGAATTTAGTCGGTAAAATATAGTCGCGAATTGGTCGAGAAAAAATAAACCTGTTCATATTATAAACGCTGTTTGTATAGATTGTAGGTACATATTATGTCCCTGTCCTTAATAAGTCATCAGAACTTCAGTATACTTATAGCCTATAGGTACCATACAGGCAATATGTTATATTAAGTAATGCTCGTATAATGAATAATGACTAGTTTCATTTTTTCACAACCGTATGTGTGAGTCATTTATTTTTTTTTGTCCAACAATAAAATATGCCCATATATAATATAAATAGGTAATGAACACATATTTAGAGGCCATATTGAATACACTCTTAGGTATTATCTTCCATATTAGTAAATGCTGTAGTTTTAACTTTCAACGAACCGCAACTCTTATTTCTTTATGGGCAGACTAAATAAATAGTAGCGGTACCGTATTTATATAATATTTTGTTTGAATATAATGATATATTCTATTATTTTTATTGCAATGATTTATACACTAAATCGGATTTACTATACAGAACATTCCTTACTAGCCAAGCGCCAATACCTGGATTCACGCCCAATTTTTCTTTATAAATATTTATTTAACTTATAGATATTTTTGACGGCTTCGATTAACATATAACAGAAATAGTTTTAATTTACTATGAAATTGAATTGTTAAAAAAGTAAATTTACTTGTATTAGATATTAATTAAGATTCTAAGAATGTATAATATTAATTTATTTTTGTAATATTACATAATATGAAATACTGCAGGATATTATTCTTTTTTTAGATTTTTCTTTATTTTTATAACTCTTATACGTTTTGTTTTTATCAACAATTTATGGTTTTAGTTTTTTTTTCTTAGATCTAACATAAATATATTTAATAGGTCATAGTATCCAGTATCCAGGAATGAATAATGGCTCATAGCCAATCAAATATGTCAAGTATAGCCAAATGCTATAAATATAATAGCGACACAAATACAATACGTATATACTGCTTTCATACTTCAATTGTTTTTTTTCTCGATCTCCTTAATCGATTGGTAAACGACTGATCTACATTAAGCTGTCATCTAAAAATCTCTATATACCTACTTAAAAGTATTGTAAAAGCGTGTACACCATGTTATGAATAATACAATTTGGTAATAATTAACGAAAATTGAAAAATGTAGTATTCTAATATTTTTATTGAACCCCGTAATGCAATTTTAAAATATTCCTTTGATATATTTACAGAAATAAATTATTTTATCTTTCTGCTTAAGTGTGTATACATATGGTATTATTTACATGGTATTATTATTAAGCAGTTTAAGTTTTCTACCAAAAATAATATTATAAATTGTATAATATTAATTATTGTTATCATTTAAGTTTTTCATCTCACATTTTCAATTTGTTTTTACCTATATGTATACTCGATTGAAAAATGTTTTCTCAATTTATTTTTAGTTTTGTTTGTAAAGTCGTCTAAATCAATATTGTAAAATGCCTTTCGTCGCAATTGAACACCCTAAATGCCCAAAATGCTCGAAATCAGTGTACGCCGCCGAAGAGCGGATTGCCGGAGGATACAAGTATCACAAAATGTGCTTCAAATGTGGTAAATATAGATTAATTAGAAGAAAACATAAACTATTGTAAATAATTACGATGACATTTTTAGAGATGTGCAGCAAGTTTTTGGACTCCACAAACTGCGCGGAACATGACAAAGAATTGTACTGTAAGAATTGTCATGGAAGGAAATACGGCCCAAAGGGATACGGTTTTGGCGGTGGAGCTGGATGTTTGAGCACAGACACCGGCGATCATCTCGCCAGCAACGTGTAAGAAATTAATAACTTTTTAATCAGTTAATAATTCTTAATAACGGGTTAATATTCTTACTAACTATTATAATAGTTTCCGAAAAGATCGGTAATTTTTTTTTAAAACAAGTTCACTCCAGAATTCTTGCTTCATTAAAATCGACAAGAAGATCTTTTTAAAGAATTTTGTTTAGTAGTGCATTAGGAAGCCGTTTTTTTTATTTTACTTCTAGTTTTCTTAATAACTGGGGATAAACTTAGGAAAATGGGAAAGTTTACGTAGTTAAAGGTTTCATAATTTTTTAAACCTAAAATTGGCCTTTTCTAGACGTAGTAAGATTTTCAATACATTCTAGTAGTTTTTAATACATATTTGTAATATAAATATGTATTTTACCTTATCTAGTTTTGTTTACTTTTATTTTAATTTTATGTGGATAAGTATAATTGTTTTGACTTATTAGAAATGGTAGACAATTGTATAAGGGGTTCATCCTAAGTTATATTTAATGTTCAAAACTAAAAATTTTGCTTTATGAAGTAGTTTTTTATAAGCGTTTTAAGTTAAAATTTTGATAAAAATTGTAAAAATTACTGCCGCATTTCAAAACAAGTATAACAGAACTTCGCTTAGAATCTTATTTCATTAGCAATATTTTAGGATTTAGTATTGTTTCCAACTTTACCAACTTCTCATCTAAAACAGTGCTGCATCTATCAGCAAAATCGGCTATTTTTTTTCATGTTTCAATTGAAAAACTTTTTGGATTCGTTCTTAAAATATCCCGGTTAACGCTAACCGGCGGTTAAATTTACTGCATATTACTTTTAATATATTACACATTGGTATAATATCGTAATTTTGACTACAATTTTGGTATTTCTTAATTTCATTGATTTTTGTCATGAATTATTATTGTGTATTAGATCAGTTAATGAACTGTTGTTAAATTGATTACCTCTATATGTATAGATACATACATTTTTAATTATCCTCTATAATATTAAATGTTATTAATTGTATAACATGATGTCCCTATTACACAAGCACGATTCCAAATTCAATTTAATAATGAAGTGTGTTTTTTTTAACAGCCATTAATGAAGAACCAATCCAATTAAATACCTGACCACCTGAAGGACCTATCCATCAACCCATATATTATTTATTTTTGCATGCAAGAGTAAAACCTTTTTAATATTTGCTTATACATACAAATTCACCTCTCATTTCTGTTCGTTTTAGATTATATATATATATATATATATATCTAAAATATATATGTATATATGAAATAATATACCAATACCTATTTAATAATTATACGATAAGAATCCAAGCTTGTACTTATTTATCACACATACACACTAGTTGTATGTACTGAACAAGCATTATATAATATGTATAGAAATGTTTTGTTAATTTTCCATTAAATTAATAATATTATTTTCAACAAACGTTTTTATTTTATTGTTTTCCATTTATTTGGCATCTTAAGCGATGCTTTCGGCTAATAATATTTATTTTATCCAAATTCGTACAGAATATATTACAATTATATATAAATATATTCAGAGTGATAAATTTATCGTAAGACACTCATTATCTCATAAAGTATTAACTTTTTTTGATATTTGTTTTCTAGAAATTTCAAAAAATATTAATGCTTAATTCCGAGATAATGAGTGTCTTACAATATATTGATCACCCTGTTTCTATACAATAACAAAACATTTTACTTGGGAAAATTCAGGCATTATGTACATACTTAATTATTTATTTTATTTTTTATCGAAACAAAACTATTCAATTTAAAATTAATGTTGATATTCTTAGTACACGTTTAAAAATATGTATCGTCACTATAATAATATACGATTTAAAATTGCATCACGCCTAAAGCACGCTTAAGATACCTACCAATATATTATTACCGCCTATTCGCGTATTAAGTTTTTACTTAAAACTATGAAATTAAACATGACAAATAATATTACTATACAAAATACTAGCGTCTAAGCATAATATTACAAAATATATTGATGCGATGAATCGAGAGTACACGGAATGTTATTGTTTCTCTTCTAGAGTCCGAATGGCTTTAAATGGTGAGATTCAATATTTTTAATAGTACCTATCATAATATATATTTGCTCAAATTAGGTCTAATACATATATATACACACTTATGCTTTGATTTTTTTGCTTTTACTAATGTACACATACCTCATTATATAATAAATTACCTATATTTTCTTTGTAACTATGCGTATTATTATTCTTGTTGTACACTTTCGCTTAATAGTTTATATTATTTAACAAAATTACATATTAATAACAAAAATACGGAGAGGTGAACTTATATGGTTTGTAAATATTTTTGTACCTAAATGGCTCAAACAGCCATTAATATTATTGTTTTATACTTAATAATATGTTTTACTTCAGCAAGCTGCACTTTTGGATTGGAGTCGTTATTGATGGTTATGAACATCTGTTTTATTCATCATTGCATTTCGCATTATAATTTTTCACTTTACTTGAAAGATACCTATATACCTATACTTAATTAATAACTTCAAAGTTTGATACTACCTAAGCATGTTTTTGAACTTTACTATAATATTTTTGTATACTATTTTCAATTAGATAATATATATTATGTCTGTGTTATCAAATTAAGTGACGTCATATATCTTTATTTATAATATTATGTTTTTACAATAGTTTAGTACACATTGCCTTTGTTTATTTTTTTGTATTCGTTTTTTCCTAAAAAAATTAATACGAATTAAATAAACATGTTTTAAATCTATTTTAGTAGTGCACAAAACCAAAACAACTACTCAATTTTTAATTTAAAAATATCATTTATAATGCTTCAATGCATTCTTTTAGAATTTTAATATATATATATATATATATATATTATGCAAATATTACTATACTATACGCATAATTGTTATAATAATAATGCCTATCTATACTATATTACTGATACAAAACATAAACTAAAATACTAAAATACTAATATAATTACTTTATATTATTATTACTATTATCTACACATTTACGTTTAATTTACAATAATTAACATTTTTTCAATACCTATTACTTAAAAAAAGAAGTATTCTGCAATTAAGTTAACGTAATAAAATTAAATTTTAGATCGTACTTCCATAAACCTCAAGGTACTGTGGAATCTCGAGCCAAGGCACCCGAAGGCGAAGGATGTCCACGTTGTGGTGGATTTGTGTACATGGCCGAGCAAATGCTAGCTAAAGGAAGAGTGAGTACTATTTGAATCGATTATAACCACTTTGTCGATTGTACGACCCATTAGATCTATATATAGGATGTGTCACTCGATCAATATGGTATTCTAGGCATACCACCAAGACTGTTTCAATTGTGTTTCGTGTCACAGGACTTTGAACTCAGTGTTGCATTGCGACGGACCTGATAATCAAGTGTACTGTAGAGGTGAATGAGATATTTATGATGAATATTTACAGTGATGTTAATGAATAAATCCCGATTTGGTTGAAAAATTAAGTTCCATTTTCAACCCCATTATTCTATAATCAAATTCAGAAATTTGTTTTATTTTTTCCCTATCTAACATAAAGCACATTGAAAATAGTTGTTTGATAGATTCAAGAATGGTAAAATTATGTGATAAGTTTGGAAATTTAAACGCTGTGTATTATACTATCATTTTTTTTTATTTTTATCTAACTATTTTAAGAACCTATTGCATGATTTGTATGTATCCATTTTTAGTCCTGGCATAAAGAGTGTTTCAAATGTGCTACTTGTGCGAAAGGTTTGGATTCAGTAAATTGCTGCGGAGGTTCTGATAAAGAAATTTACTGTAAAGGTATGTATACCTATTGGTGTAATTTATTATTTGCATGATTTCATTTTTAACACGATTCGTTTCGAAATCAGTATGCTATGGCAAGAAATTTGGACCTAAGGGTTATGGTTATGGACAAGGAGCTGGAGCCCTTCAAAGCGATCCCGCTTATAACGGGTACGTATAATAATTGTTTAGTCATTTATAAATCAAAACTTCGTGCATTTAAGTTAGATACATAGAATACTAATAATTTAAATAGTATAGGTGTAATATTATAACATTTCAAATTGTACAATGTTTGAACTTTTAGTTTTTTGGTGGTGGAAAAAATTAATGTATACATAGTCTCCACCATTTGAGAAAAGTCTGAACCCCGTTTTGAATATGTAATTTATTCAATTAAAATTATTTTAAACATTTATGTAGATTATAATACATACAGATTAAATTGATTGTTATTGATTTTTTTTTTTTTTAAAGAAGTTTCATTTTTTAAGCGTGATATTTATCTGTAATAAATTTTTATATTTAATTCACAAAAATAACAATACTAGGTCCTTAATCATCCAGAGCCGCCCCTCCCCCTCAAAAAAAAATCAAATAAATGTTCCTGCTAGATAGTTAAGTAATTATAGTTGTGTTTTTATGCTATTAGGTTTCCAAGCTGCAGCTAAATATAGGTACTAAGTTCGATAAAGGCAAGGTACCTTTATGATAAAGACTTTATCGCACGAAAAAACTGATTAGTGATAGATTGCTAGATTAGTTGAAGCAAATTACTCGAAGGAAGTAATTCTCATCATTAATTAAGGATGAGTTTTCTACAATATTTGCTGAAAAAATATTTACCTGCAATATTTTCAAATAGACTAAGTTTTTTTGCGCATGCTAATTTATGGAATTTGTATTTATTGTTTTTATAATGCATGAAATATTTCTCCTACGCTCTCTATAGAATATTATGATTCTTTTTTATTCTGATTTAATAATATGAAATAATAAAATACGGCCAAATTTCGCATTATATACTTACAGTGTTTTTTCCATATAGTTTGTTATTCAAAGCGCTTCGGTCCCAGAGGTATAGGTCACTGTGGTGCTGGAGGTCAGTCAATTGGTTTAACATGCGATTTAAACGACGAAACCGAAAGGTATTTAAAGATACCCAAAGGTTTTAATAATTATACCTACTTCTATTATTTGCATAGCATGCATTTATCCATTTATCTATTAATTCGTAAACATATATATTATAAAACTCTGTTCTTATTTTATCATTCGTTATAGACATAATATATTTATTTCAAATAAAATAATTCAATGCACGATTATATACCTTATAAACCATTTTATTTTGTATTCACGTATTTTAAGTGACGTGAATGGAAATTATTGTTTGTTTAGGGATGTCAGTACATCTCGTGCTCCTGTCACCGATACAACTTCCATAAAGGCCAAACCAGGACAAGGGTGTCCCCGTTGTGGTGGTAAAGTATTTGCTGCCGAACAAATGTTAGCCAAAGGAAGCGTAAGTAACAATTGTATAACATAGTTTATTGATAATATTTTGAATTTTAATGAATTATTTTATTATATTCGTTGCGTTCAATACTTACTTAATTTAAACGATTACCTACTTCAATGTTTAATACAATATGCTAAATCGTTCTTGTATTTCTAAAGGAATGGCATAGAAAATGTTTTAAATGCAAGGATTGTAACAAAACATTGGATTCAATTATTGCTTGTGATGGTCCGGATCACGATGTGTATTGTAAAACTTGTTATGGTAAAAAATGGGGACCCCACGGATATGGATTTGCTTGTGGATCAGGATTTCTTCAGACAGACGGCTTAACGTTAGTAACATTTCTTTATTAGGTTATAAAATTGTATTTAATTGTAACCATATAGTATTATAATACTTTGTTTACAGAGATGATCAAATATCAGCTACGCGACCATTCTATAATCCAGATACCACGTCTATTAAAGCGGCCGAAGGAGAAGGATGTCCGAGATGTGGAGGAAAAGTATTTGCTGCTGAACAACAATTGGCTAAAGGAACAGTAAGTTTCTCTAATGATAAAACGGTATACTTTTTTTCTATTATAAGTTTAGAACAATATTTTATAGTACACAATATACCTTCATGTGCCTTTTTTTTACAATTTTAGTGTATTGCGCACGTGTTTAAAATTCTATTATTTATAGATGTGGCACAAAAAGTGCTTCAGTTGTGCTACTTGTCATCGGCCATTAGACTCTACGTTAGCTTGTGATGGACCCGATAAAGAAATTTACTGCAAGTCATGTTATGGAAAATATTTTGGACCGAAAGGATTTGGATACGGACACTCTCCGACTTTGGTTTCTACCAAAGGAGAATCTACAATTTTATTGTGAGTATACTTTTATAAAACTATTAAATAATCATTAGTGTGGTTGAGTATGGTGGACTATGTTGTATAGTTCGGAGTTTTAGGAGGTAGACAGAAAAATAGATCAAAGAATAAGTGTAACAAAGATAATAATAGTGGTTGGATGCGGTTGAGAATATGAGGATAGCCAGTATGTGAGGTGGTAGATCGAGTCAAATAGAAGTTTAGAACGAGAGTAGCTGGCCTCAAAAAGTTAGGATAAAAGCGAAAGAGAAGAAGATAAATAATAGTTAATAATGATTAAACTAAATATGGTACATTGTTTTGGCTCTAATAATGTACTATTATATACTGTACCGGGTACCCATTATGAACAAAATCATTTCATAAATTATATAAAATATTTTTAATTATCTAATTATTTTGTACGTTTTTTTTACTAGCCCTGAAGCGAGACCAACATCTGGAATAAAGGGCAGGAATGGTAATGGATGTCTTAGGTGTGGATATGAGGTTTATGCTGCTGAACAAATGATCAGTAAAAATAAGGTAATACAATTTTTGAATTTAAATACTTATCCGAAAAGTAAGCATTGATGGAATGCGAAATCATATTAGTGTGTTAGCTGAATGCAAATGATATTAAATACAGGTAGTTAAGTGTATTTATTAATGTATGCCAATAAATATTTTTTTAGGTATGGCATAAGAGATGTTTCACTTGTGCCGATTGCGCGAAATCGTTAGATTCGACTAACTTAACTGACGGTCCAGATGGCGACATTCATTGCAAACCTTGTTATGGAAAATTCTTTGGTCCGAGGGGTTGCGGCTTCGGTTTAGGTGGTGGTGTTCTATCTAGGGCATAAATAATACCTAATTAGATATTTACATATCTACTACAATTCAAAAATGGACTAAAGTCAAATGCCAAAGATTAACTTTTTAAACGAACTTTCTTTGAATATTTATGTTATGCTTTACATTTCATGTAATATCGATCCAAAAAAACACTAATTATTATTTGATAAAATTAAAAAAAAAGAATTCTGATCATTTACGTATAATATTGTTTTTTTTATTATTATTTTACATGTTGTGTAACTATATTATACTAAGTGCAAACACCTGTGAACATTTTTTATATTTTCAGAGCTTTATTAATTATATCATTTTATATTATGCATCACATCCGCAAATAAAAATGATCAAACAAATTAATATAACTTTAAGCGTAAGAAATGTAACTTTCTTTTTGTAATTTCTATACATATAATAATAATAATAATAATACGCGATAACAATAATGCGCATCGAAACTATAATGTAAACAATATTGAACTTTGGAATGTATAATTATTGACAAGCCCTAAATATTAAAAATGAAAATATATAATATTAAATTTTGCCATTTAAAATTGTATGCATTAAAACACAAATTTTAATTTGGCGTATTGTTTGTTACTCTGTCGGTAGATCAAGTTGAATTTAGTTGTGTATTCTATGGTATACGGCGTATAACAACTTCTAAATTGTTTAGTTGATGCTCATTTTTAATGCGTGATATACGCAAGTATACGCATAGGGGCGTATAACAATTGCCCCTTGTCTTTTTAGACCTTTTTATAAGATATTTGAGGGCTACATGTAAACTACACAAATGACCTTTTTACCAGTATTTAAAACATAGTGTAAACTCCTACATAGTTCTTTTAACCTGCTAAAAATAGATGGTGTAATCTCCTACATAGACCTTTTTTACATTTTTACCTACCAAAATAGATTGTGTAATCACAGACCTTTTTACATTTTAGATTCTGAGTGTAGAAAAGAATATATATTGGTTTTACATTGATGTTTATTTGAGATAATTCCACTTAAGTGGGAAAAAACGTACGATTTTAAATTAACACGCACGGCATTTTATACCAAAAATAATTCTCTAATGGAAAAATGGTAAGACTTTTATTGTTGTATTTTGGATAAATATTCATAGAGACCTACGAATCTAAGATAATAAAATGTTAAATAAAATTTAGTAAACATATTCATATAAGGCATCATATCGGAAATTCTCGAACATTTCGATAACGTCTACGTTATTTCCGTAAATTGGAAATACAACAATCTCTCTCTTTTTTTTTTTTTTATAGTTTATGATTGATTTTTATTTATTTTAATAACTAAAAAAATCTAATTGTATTATAATAGTTTGTTATGATTTTATGTACCTAATTAAATATAAAAAGCCCCACTTATATGTATTGTAAAAATTATTGTTTTTCAAATTACGAAAAATAAATTAAACATGTTTTATATTGAACGTTCAAACCGTATTTAAGCAATATTTTATTATATTGCATTAATTTAGAAACGGGAACAAAAAAAAAAAAAACAAAAACAATTACAAATATTTGAAAAGCCTCTTACATTGTAGATTGTATAGTTCTTTATAGGAGAAATAAAGAACTCGCAACACACCGATGATGTTGAAATTTAAAACTATACCGCTGATACCACAATATCTCATATAAATAGAATAGCTGCCCTCAATACACCAATGTTTTGGATTCACATTAGAAGTATTCATTACTACCACTAAATAGGTAACGGATTCTATATTATTGAATTCTATGATTAAATATATATGGGACCATTGGGACCACTTAGGAAATATAAAATACTTATAAAACATATTTTTACAATTTTACAATTTATTTTTTTATTTATAAATTAATAAGATCTTCAATTTAGGTTTATTAATAAACGTTTAATGGAACTTGGCTCAGTTATTGCCTTCATTTATCGTTTCATATAGTACCTACTACTAAATTATCCTACAAGTATATATATATATACAGTATTTCAGTAAGTAAGTATTAAGTACCTAATAGTAGATTATGTTCAGAAAGGAAAACTGTAAAAGTAAAAATTGGGAAAGTATAGGAACATAATTTACAGAAATTATTATTACGCATTGCATATTAAAATCGAGAAAAATGTTTTAAATAATGGATGTCATTCGATTGCATCCCGTTTTAACCTCTTTAACTCTTCTAGAGTTTTGGTTACGTCCAATTTTTGCAGATATGCATCCGATTATGTTCCAAACGAAAAATTGAGAATTTCGATTATATCCGGCAAAATTAGTCCAACTACAAATAATTTCAACTCAGTAGCATATCAAGAATTTTTCAATGGGGGAAGGGGGCTTGAAAATTGATAGTTAATTAATTCGTTGTTTTGTTACAAATTTGAAAAATAAAGTAGGTCAGTAGATGCATTATTAGTTCTGACTGATAATAAACATGAAGTATGAAAACAAATCTTCAATATGTAGGTAACTATAAAAATGTTGCTCAATTTAATACAATAAACGATCAACCAAAATTAGAATTTAATGAATAGTGAATTGCATTACTTACAGGTTTTTTTCTTCGAACCAAAAATCGAGAAGAAATTTGATCTTTTTTCTGTTATAATGAACAATTAAATAGTTATTTTAGTGTGCACTATGAGATACATTTTACACGAAAATAGTGACGAAAAACATAAGTATACAAAATATTATTACTTTGATGCTTAAGAGAAATTAGTGAAAACAAAATTATCTACATAATTGTTTTTCACTAATATTAAAGGTTATATTAATATTATTTGCAACATCCGTGGGCTAACTTAAAGATGCGTTGATTTTGCAATCGTGTAGTGTGCAGATTTACAATAAACATGAATTGGTTTGTACGATTGAATCTCACGGTAATCTCAATTCTAAATAAAAATATTAAAAAAAAAAACAAATTTTTGTCATCGATAATTATTATTATAAATATTGGTTTCATAAAATATCGCGTAATCTCAATAAATAATTGATTTACTTTCATATTGAACAATTTACGAATTTTTACATAGCAAGTTATTCTCGCCCACCTTTCAATTGGCAATCGCCGATCTTTTTTTACTTTTTTTCACATTTTTTTTCATCCGAAATTTCACTGGACGCAATGGACGTATTGACTATCCCCGAAAATAATACACTGCACAGTGGTTTGAATCATCGTAATTTAGCTTGCCTAATTTTAATTTTAAAATTATGCTAAATAAGATCTATTATATTGAATTATTTATGAATATAAATAATCATAAATAATTTAAATAAATACGTTTATTAGAGATAATTTAAAGCTTAAAAATATTTTACCCAGCACCAAGTTGATTAAATATTCGGATAAGTATAAATGCCATTTAAAACTGAACCTTTGAGTTTGTTTGAGTTTTATTTTTTCAAATATAATATAGATACTAAATACATAAAACAAGGTAAATACATTGTTATATGTTTTAAAAATGTATTTATACAAATTATTTAGTTTTTAACCAGAATGACTCAAAGTTTTTCTATATTTATTAAGGATAAAAGTGTAGAAAGAAATTAGAAACTTCAGAGCTTTTCAGGCCAAAAACAATTATTTGAGGAAATTTGTGGTATATAGAGGAATTTTTGCATTATAAGATATTAACATACATTTTAAGTATATTATGTTATATTTATGCAGTGATAAGCATATAAACCATTAAATATAAAACACTCATTATTTCGAAAAGTATTAACTTGTTTTGGGATTTGTTTTTTATTTTTATTAGGAAATAAGCAGCTCTAAAATGTTACATAATGGTTATTTTTTGTCGTTTTTATATTTTTGAATCGTATTTTTCAACTTTTTGTTTTTCCCCCAATTATGATAAAACTATTTTAAATATTAAAAACGATTTTTTTTATTAATAGTTATATATTAAAAGGAACAAAATCGATCTCTTATAATTTTTCGATTGAACCAATAAGAAAACATAGTTTGCGAAAAATGAAATCAGTAACACCGTGGAGTGCTCTAAATATTTGCTGCTTTACATGCAATTTTCTTTCGGGGTTTTCTCAATTATTTTGAAAACCATAAGAAAATCAAAAATTAATTTATGCACCAACTAGATAATTACAGAAACGTACCCAAACCTTCCGAAATGTTTGGTTTTTTTGTATAATTATTTACTTATTCCATTGTAATGTTAAATTATTATTCTAATTTTCAATAACTGATTTTCAAAAACATCCCTTACAATTTTTTTCTGCTTATGTTATTATAGACAAAATTACTTTTCAGAAAAGATGCTACACTTTATATACTGGAGGAAAATTTCTAGTAGAAAAGTTGTTCACAAACACAAAAAGACGTCTTGGGATAATAGAGACTGATGCAGCCACTGTTATAGGTAATTTAATGTATATCTGTAAGCAATGATAAACCATTGCTAACGAAAAAACGATTCTGAGCGCAATTCAATTGATAGTAATGCTTTATCATTAATATATATAATATATAATAATATATATAATATATAATAATATATATAATATATAATAATATATATAATATATATAATATATGTCATATTATGGTAAAATAATTAAATAGGCATTATATATTTTCTTTGATAAAATTTGTTTAATATTGTATCGATTTCCCCATGTATTTCCCTATTTATTGAGAAAACCCCTGGGAAAATCGAAAAATTACCTCCCGATAAAAACTTTCCGAGTCAAATTTTCTTTCAGAAAAGGTGCCATCATTTTAAATTGAAGCAAAATTGCAAGTAGAAAATTTGTACACAGAAATAAAAGGCCATAATATCTTTTTACTAATACTTACATTTCGTACATTTTCTGTTTTTCCGACATTTTATCCCGGTTGTTACTAGTAATTATAAAAACCGATTGAAAAATCACAAAAATGACTCCTCTAAATTACCATAGAGATTTTTTTACCAGCAATTTTGCTCCAGTTTATGATAGCAATGTTTCTAAAAGGAAATCCGACTCCGGAGGTACTTTAGAGAGGTCATTTTTCAATTTTCTCAGAACTATTCCCAACAATTCTGAAAAACCGGGAAAATCGGTAAAACATTAAACACATATTATTAAGAAAATATATAATGCTTATTTAATTATTTTACCATAATGACATATATATTGTTGATAAAGCATCATTTTCATCTGAACTCCACTCAGAATTGTTTTTTCGTAAGCAATGGTTTATCGTTGCTTACAGGTATACATTAAATTACCAATAACAGTAGCTGCACCCGTCTCCATTATCCTAGGACGTCTTTTTTTCTGTACTAAAAGTATAAAATATAAAATAGAAGTAAGAAGTATGAGAGTATAAAGTATACTTTTTGTACTTGTACGCAATCCCAGAAGGGATGACATTTTTTGATTTTCCCAGCTGTTGTCGTTATAAATGGGGACAATCGGGAAATAGGTACAATATTAAATAAATATGATTAAAAAAAATATATACCTAATGCATCTTTCCATAAATAATATGACATATATATTGTTGATAAAACAACACTATTAACCGTTTTTCATTAACAGTGGTTAATCGTTGCGTATACAATACAGATATAGTACATTCAATTTTTCCTCTGCCTTCTCAACTTCTCACCTACAACATTGGCTAACCCATCGTGTAAAGTGTGTCCGTATATTTTTAAATCTTCATGGTATCTACTATGTGCGTGGTACCTACTCGGTAAATGACACGGTAGAATGTTGACAACCATGTGCGTTTGTGCGTCGAAAAAACGTGTCACGGCCGACGAAAATATGTCCGGTCTGCGCATCCCAGCTTAGATCATAATATACCCACTAAAATTTATACCTGTGTACCTTTGTACGGGTGTTATATTCACGATTAAAGATCTTAATTCTTGGGGGGATTGGAAGCGGTGATTTTCTGTCCTCGTCTTAACATAACACCACCGCTCTCAATCCCCTTAAACCATGGTGTTGTTCTTTTATACAATCCCTACTTACTATTATGATTTCAGTTACATATATTAGTGCGCATACGCGCTGGGCTGCAAAATACGCCGTCCGGAGCTCGGTCGTTGATAGTCATCTTAAATCACGGTTAAAAATAATTTAATATTGGTAGTAAAATATTCAAATAATTTATTTTGTAAACAATAATTCAGATTTTTCTTATTAGCTTAAGTATTACCTATTTTGCGCGTGTGCAATATTGAATGTGACTCGAAATTATGACGATAAGTGGGGGGTTGTTTTAGATACAATAAGCGGCCGACGAAGACATGTCAATGCCAGTATCGACTGTATCTCGTCGAGAATCGAGATCGTCCCGCCCATAGATAAGCATTCTTTATCAATGCAAAATATTGGTTCCTTGAAGAATCGTTTGTATAATGAATATATTGCTGTATAAGTTTATAGAAATCCGTAACCTAGTCCAGTCTACCAAACTCAGCAGTTGACACTCAATACACTCGCTTATTTACAGCGGTGATTTTTCGCCGAATATAAAACGTAGTGGCATGATATTCTACGGTCGTCAGTTGTTTTTATCAATCGTTTAACCAAACAGCGTGGTTATAACTACTAACGTGGTTTTTAATTTCTTTGATCTTAGCTCATGTGTTTCTACTGATAACGAATTTTCTCTTCCATATTTTTTGCGTTGCGCAGTAAAATAGAAACGTGCCGGGTTACCGAACACGCAGTTCGTCCACTACTGTAGTTTTTGCGTTTCCAAAGTCACATGGTTATTAGACAAAAAAATAATATTACATTTTTAATATTTAATAATATTTTTGTTTCTATATTTTTCACAGTTAGAATCTGTTTTTGTCGCGTTTTATTGTTTATATCAATTCGCAGTGTATGTTAATTGATGGTAAATACGTCGTCATTCAATTTTTGTAAGTACCTACTAACAAAAAAAAAAAACAAAATTACCTGTACTCAATCATTGCTGAGATTGAGTATGTTTAATTCATGCTATTTGCTTTATTAAACAATTTTTCAACAATAATCCGATTGTTATACTGATGGCATATTGAACAATGTTTGAGTAAAGTTTTAGTCGTTTAAAATCGATTCGGTTTTGTAAATGACTAGTATGAATAAGGTATTAATACCATCATCTACATCATCAGTTGCCATGTCTACTAAAAGTACATGCAACAAAGAAAATATACACTCAAAAAAATATGTGTCCGCATCTGATGATATTGATGTAATTGAACACACACCTTGTCAATCTCCACTGCCCGGTGAAGATAAACAACTACAAGAATTAAATAAGTGTGATGACAGTGGTGAAAGTGAAACTGTGATTATTGAAAAACAAAAATTTGTGGAAGCTCCATTACCTAAAACTAACCCTTGGAAAGCAAACATAAATGCAGCTCACACTGTTCGTCCAAAAGAATCTATCAAAGAAAAGGATCCAATAGTTGGTGAAAAAAGAGTTTTACAACCTCAGCAGCAAACTATTTGTGAGTATTATTACTTTATAGTATATATATTAACATGAATATCATAACAATAATTTTATCCTATACAAATTTACCTAGATATCTAAGCAATTTGATTGGTTTTTAGTAAATAGAGAAGAAGTAATCTCCAATAATAATAATACAAATTTTATTCCAGGAAGATTGTTCAGTTTTTAAAAATTATATTTCTTTTGAATTTCTTACTGTTTCAACAATATTAAATAGGTACCTATAACATACTGAAAACACGCCTATTTGTAAAAAAACTATTATTTAAGTTTAAATTAAGTTAGTAGGTACCTATAAATATTATATTAGTGAATATGAAACAAATAAATAAATTTATTAATATAATATAATTTATAACATAATTTTAATAATTAGTGGTTTTGTATACCTATTTATTTAAATACTACAAGAACTTTGCTACATTAATTAAATGGTTTCTTTAACATTACCCGAAGCCTTTTAGCCTAAATGAGTTGGGTTTGATAGTAACTTTTCAACAGTAAATAAACCAAGAAATAAACTTAAGAGTTAATCTATTATTAAATGTACCTGCCTATAATTATAGCAAATTACTAAATTGGTCAGGATGACATTTATAAGTGTTTATTTTGTTTACATGATTGAATTTAGGTAATTAGGGATCTTGATTTTTTACATAAATCAAACATTCAACAGGTGTGCTCCTAAGGGACATAATTATTAAACTTTTTTTCCTTTGTGGATATTTAACATCAGTTTCTTTAATTTTAATTTTTAGTTTAGTGTTGGGAAAGTTATTTGTGCTATTTTAATTAAACAAAAATTTAAGCTTAAATCTAGTTAAATTATATTGTTTTACAAGTGCTCAGGTATGGAATACAACAAGTATAATGTGTGGGTACTGTATTAGGGTTTTTGAAGATGGATTCTTGAAATAAATAAATTTATTCAATGGTTCTTAATTTTTAATTTGAAAGCACCTATATTTTATTTAAAATATTCAAATCATATTTATTATTTAATAATAATTTATTTTACTGTATAGAACTTAAACAAAATTGATAAGATATCTATAATTGAAAAATACAATACTTACCTGTTTACTTAAATTTGTGTAAATAGACTTGTTATCTTAATCCCCCTCCCAATAACCAGACTTTAATTTTAAAAGAACATAATTAATTAAAATTGATCATTTGTTCTTAAAATCTTTTTTTGCTCTAATGGGATTTTACTCTAAAAGTGTGCACTCTTTGTCAAAAAGTCCCAAACACCTGATAAATTTGAACTACTTCGTATGGTTTAATTTTAAAAATATTAAAAAATTATACCCCATTTGTGTTAATTCTCTTTTTATATTTTGTTTGACTACATGAAACTCATCTTACAACTTTTATTGCTCCAAATACTAATTCGAAAAAAACCATTTACATATAGGTTCATTTTATTTCACTAAAAATATTTTACCTGGTTTTTTAGTAAAAATAATCTGTACCTACATATTATTTTCTATACTATTTGATATTTGTTTTGAATCATGAATTTTTTTTTTAAAAATATCAAAGGTTTGTATTTAGTATTTATTTAAATAATTAAAATTAATGTTTAAATTTAAATTTAATACCCACCTATTAACAGTGCTTATGTTAGTTAATACTAACCTAATAAGTTTGTCTATTGTGTTGGAAATCATTTTAAAAATCTCTGTTCGGATATTCACTTAGTCTTAGGGACCAATGGTATATCCAACTTATAATATGACTAAGCCCTGAACTAAGCCTATAGACAAACACAGACATACATAGTCATATTCAGGTTAGTATATTGATTAAACTAATAAATACATTTTTATTTGTAAATAAATTTGTAGCAAGGTCTTAATAATTGGTGGTTTAATATATATTTATTCAATTGCTCCAAGATCTTTGCTAAATTAATTGAATGGTTTCGCTAACACTACTCGAAAGCTTTTAGCTTAAATGAGTTGAGTTTGATAGTAGCCTTTCAACAGGCATATTTAGAATAGTGTTAAAAACTAATAAATAAATTATTTTTTATAAATAAACTTATAGCAAAGTCTTAATAATTGGTGGTTTAATATATATTTATTCAATTGCTCCAAGGTCTTTGCTAAATTAATTGAATGGTTTCGCTAACACTACTCGAAAGCTTTTAGCTTAAATGAGTTGAGTTTGATAGTAGCTTTTCAACAGTAAAAACAATATTATTTTACAAACTAACTTATAATTTGCAAATCTGTTTATTTTTTCATTAAAAATATACTTGAAGGTGCTCAGAAACCCGAGCAGCAGCAGTAGCAAAATTTCTGCGGTAACTGAACAAAATAAAATATCGCTGACTTAGGTCAACCAAAGCGCAATAGTACAGTGAAATCGTGTGGTAGTAGTTATAGTTCTTCTATAATATTTCATTTTTATCTTATTTTAATTTTCGATAACTATTATACCTATACACTACGGGCCAGTAGTGTATATTTTCTATCTCATACATGTAACTTGCCTGATCAATATTTATTTAACACTGTAAGACTAGGATTATCTTAGAACTGGTGGTATTGGATTATAAATAACAATTTAAAAAAAATTGGTTTATATTTTATGTAACAAAAATCACATTTTCCATGTTTTATACATAATTGATTTTATATATTTATAGCAATGGTACTTAATACACAATGTACCTACTTGAATTTTCTTAAAATATTTTGTACACTAAAAATTGATTAATTGAGTAGGGTAATATATTTAATATAAAAAATATCATCCCTTTACCTTGAATTATTATTATTCAGTTCAACATAAAAACTAATATTTTAGTGAATAAGAATTAATAATTTTATGTACAAACATATACAAAATTGTTTAAACCATGTTCTTTAGTATAAAGTAGAAACTAAAAGTTGTAATTTTGATTAATATTCACATATTATAGACTTAAAAAATTTACTATCTTTTAGGTGTTTATAGGGGTATGATAGATGATATACCTAGGTGTATAAATCTTTAAAATTACATATTTTTAATTAAAGAAATCAATAAAATAGCTTGCTCAAATATTACATTTAATATTTAAAATATGCTTTTTCATGTGCTATCTTTACTTTGTAAATTGTCAACATTTCTTACTCCTGGTTTAAGTTTCATGTTACATTCAATAAATATTAGAATAAACATAAAACTCCATACTCAAGTTATGTTATAATAATAAATAACCTAAAAATGTCTTAATAATATGTTATAATCACGAGTATTCAATATTAAGTATCTAATACTTAAAAAATTACAATTTACCTTTTTATAAATTGTTGTATAATTATGTACTTCCTGTGTCTAGAGTATAGACGTAAAACAACAAACGACATATATTTATCATTTATATTGTAATTATACAATTTATTTTACTAAATTAATTATTTGATACATTTTGTAATCATTTTATTTAAACTAATAATTTATATATAATTAAATTATTCATATCAAAGTTTTTGTCAGCTATTTTCCCTCTCCTTTCCATCTGCAGTCCTCCAGCACTAAATAATCTTTTAAAAGAAGCTAATGGGAAACACAAGATTAAATTTGATGAAAGTTTTTTTTTTTTAACTGTCTGAACAAATAATGAGTATATTAAAAAAAAAAAAAAAAATGCATAAAAACTTGTAAATATAACATAAATACAAATTGTATTATTTACACTGTACACATGCATTGCAATAGATACTGAAAACAGACAATTAAAATTAAATCTTAAATCCCAAAAAAAATTGTTTTCAACTCTTTAACTTGGTTTAATTTTTCAAAAGTAATTTTTATTCAACAAAAACCAGTTTAATTGTTAAGTTAATAATACAAATAATTTATGATTTACATTAACTGATATGTTAATAAGTTCAATAAAACTTATTCCTACATACTATTATCTTTAGGCTACAATTAATAAACATTTAGAATATAATTTCCTAGTATGGTATAAAGTTTTTAGTAAATATTTATATTTAAAACAGGTTTTTACTTGATTTCAAATTTTCAATTGCATTGTAACTGCTTGTATGTAAATTTTAGTACAAGTTTATACATGTATGTATATATGTAGGTATATGTCTATATCCTTGGTAAAAATCGAACCATAATATTAAAACCAATAATATTTTAGTTGCAATGGTTCGATTGTATAGTGTGATGATTTAATGTTCAAATACTCATTAGTGTTGTGCACAATATAAACACTTTGATAAAGGCCATAATATACGTCAGTTCGTATTATTTAGTTATTTGGCTTATCTAATCATGTTTTCAGATGTATTAGTTTATATTATATTTTATAATTAGACTATCTGTAGTCATATGAATGACCAAAAGTAATAAAACATAATTATGATTAATATATAATCCAATACTTCAAATATTTTTCAATTATACCTAGGTATTGTTTTTTTTTTAAACATAGTATTTATAATATATTTGATTTCAAAATATAAAAATAAAAATAGTCTGCTTGTTAATTGTATATTTTTATTATAATATATTAACTAGTTAATTTGCATTCTTTTCTAGAAGATTAATATTAACTTGATTAATTGAGTGGATTCAATAAATGCAAAAGAAATGTGACCTTTATGTGAATCTCAAACCCTTTTATATATATGGATTTTAAATTTAATTGATAATAAAGTATATATTTTACAAATAAGCAAACAAAAAAATAAAATTTTAAAGCCAGCTTTGTTATAAAAATACAGAGCTTCTAAAATATTATTAAATCCGTATCACACATTATATTTATAGTGGTATTAAACCTTGGGTTTAAAATAGTCAAAACATTTTTTGTTGGTGTTTATAATGCATTTAATGAAAAAACAAAATTCACGTTTTGTTTTAGTTTAATAACATACAATATTCATTTGAATAATATTTAACACATTTTTCGTATATACTTTGTACAAACCTTTTGATTGGTATTAAAATTGCTATTAATGATTATATAAATGATAAAATATTCCTAACTAATATTTATTAAAACGAGGAATAATGTAGGTAATTAATTAAGTCTGAAGTATACATTTGTGTATTAGAATTATTTTAAAAGTTTTGTTGTTTTCAATATATTTATACATTTTTATTAAATGGAGTGTGGGAATAAGTTTATTTTACTGTAAATAATTTCATAAGATGTTAAAATAAACGTACAACTCAGTCTTTCTATTACTAATAAAAAAATCTAGTTTAATTTATATTTTTAATTTCATAACTCTGGTTAAATTGAATAATATTATTGTACTTATAAATTATTTATTTAATTTGTATTTAAAGATGATGTGTCGAACGGTAAAACCATCAATAATGGTCACAAATTCAGCAAAACAAAAAAAGTAAGTAACAGATTTATATATATTTGTACAATAATACACCAATATACTTGTACACCTTTGTAATGCATTACTAAAAATTTAGATCCTTGTTTTAATAGCTTTTGGTAGGTTTAAAAAAAAATATATGTATATATATATAATATATGTTACGGTTAGTGTTGTTAGTTTTAACATTAGATTGTCTTCGTCTATTTTACCTAAGATAAGAACATTGTCTATGTTTGTACCTTCTTTTTTTTTCGATATTTTTATTTTCAAGTGAGCTACGGGTATATAAAATATTAAAATTTTAAAATAATCCTGTCTCGTTTAAAAATTAAAATATTGAAAAAAAAAAATGTATAAGCACAAACAATATCACCTTTAAGTTTGATAATTATCCAATATACTCTAATATTAAAATTAACAACATTCACATATATATACGATTATTCACTTAGAATACTCGCCTCATTTTTTTGGTTAAATATTGTATATATTCAAATTTTGATTTTTGGAATTTTTAAGTGTAGTCAAAGCTGATATTTTTAAAAACTTTGGTTTTTCAAATGAAAACCTGTAATAAAAATTCCATAAGTAGAGTATTACTTCAAACAAATTTTAATGTCAACATATTTGATTCTCGTCAACCTGTTAACAAGATAATCCACTTTTAAGTTTTGGTTGGGGGATTAGTAGTGGAGTATCATTTGTGTGGTAACATGGCACACAGCGTTTTATTAATGTTCCACTACTCTTTTCCTGCATATACTTAAAAGTGGAATATATCAATAATGTGTTGACAAAAATAAAAATTTTAATACAAAAGTGTATTTAAATTAATAAAATTTATTTATGAAATTTTTAATGTAGGTTCTCCCTTGAAAAGTTGGTATTGCCACAGGATATTCTTTAGATGTTGTGAAAAATCTAATTATTCAAAAGTATCGGCTTTTACTACACTTAGAAGTTTTAAAAATCAAAATTTAAATGTATGTAAAATTTAACCCCAAAAATAGGGTGAGCATGCTTATTGAATCACCCTGTGTGTGTGTGTGTGCATTAATTATGTTAAGTCCTAAAAATATAAACAACAGGCTATTATTAGAAATATTAACATATTTAATTTGTTTAAACTTATATATTATATCTTGTACTTTGTAGTTTTATGATGTAACTTCTATTTTATTTAACTTAAGAGTACACAGGTTTGCAGAAATGTGACTGATTGCTGTATGTTGCGAGATCCCTTGATTAATCGGATAAAACAATTATTACTAACCATACGCCATTATTGCCGCCGCTGTATATACAGATAGTCATAATATTTACCACTAAATAAATCATTACTTATCATAATCAGTTAAACTCTTGAATAAAAATTATATATAACCAGTAAATTTAATTTAATTTTGGTTTTATTATAAATATAATGAAATGCATTATGACTGTTTACAAATTAAAATTATAAAAATAGTATACATCACATACTAACAATTAAATATTACAGAATTAAATCACATTTTCAAAACGATTCTGAATCTGAAAGTTTTTTCCAATGATATTCATAACTTGTTCAGTTTTTGCGGATAACATGTTATCAACAAGAGAATTAATTTTTCAAAATTGTTATCTTTTTTAGTGTGGTTTATGAAATTTTTCTGAATTCATACGGTTAAAACACAATGTTATTGATATTTTGTTTGTTATGCATGCCGTATCCTATATGTATCAGTGGCGGCATGGCAATAGAATAGGTGGGACTGAGTGATAGGTGGGTAAGTGGATGCAGCAGAACCAATAACCAGTAGTGGAAAAGTATGCTCTTATATGATGTGCTTTTGTCCATCACTCAGTATACTCTTGAATCGAATAGATTATATATGATCTTTAGGTACTTATTGAAAATAGAATGTACTATAATATATCCATTTATTCTTTATAACTGCTGCAACTATTAAAATCAAAATATATTTTTACCGTAGAAGAACTATTATTAAACAAATTATTTTAACATATTAGTATTTATTATTTATAAATTATTATTTTAAATTTTAGAATAAAGAATTCAATGGCATTGAAGCATGGCCATCTTTAAGTAATAATCAGAATACAGATGTAAGTAAAATTATTACCCATATTAAACTTAATATATAGTAAAATTTTGATTATCTACCAGTAATAGAACTGAAAGGCTGACTGGTTTATTTGGTAGAATCTTGGGCTTTTTCAATGTTGGTTATTGTATATCAGTGGTTTCTGAATAAGAGATTGATGAGTAATCAAATTTTTACTGTATTCAATTTTGAATGCAATTAATTACTTGTTATTCGATTTAATTAGTGTTTTCCTTTTAGAAAAAATTTTCACCACAGAGTGAAAATTCTTCCCCAAATATTCAACAACCACGTTTATCAAAAGTTAATAACTCCGCATCTATGGTAGGAAAGGATGTTCAAACATCTACCAGGGAAGCTACTCCTGCAGGAAAATCTTATCAAAAGGTAAATGGTTTGAAAAAGAATGAGACAAATAATGATCCTTCAAATAACACCGAACAGGATAATGGAACAAATTCTGGTCATTCATCGTCAAATGAATCAAATAATATTGATAAACGAAAAAAAGGTCAGTAGTTACACAGTAGAAATAATTAACAACATTTATGTGAGTCAGTAAAAACTGTTTCTAGTTTTAAAATCAATTTCAAATATATGAATATTTGACAAAGAAACTGTATTTCTGGTACTCTCTTCACACAATCTAATATTAAATTAATAGAATATAACATATTTAAATAAAATATATATTTTTTATGTTACTATAGTAAAACATTCTAAATGGACACCACTTGATATTGAAATATCTAAGGAATATTCATATAGGAGCAGATTATCAAAATATCGCAGAGATCAATCAGGTGAGTTATTTCAAAATTATTATTTTGTTGAGAAAAATCAAGCATTTTAATATTCCTTCTAGGTGGCCGAGATAAAACTAATAATCAAATTAGGAATAAAAATATACGTAAGGGTCATGATTTGTCAGATGTCGATTCTGAAAAACGTGATGGAGGGCCAATGCGTTATGTTCGACATCAACGGTTTCGCAATAATCTTCAAGACGAAGAATCTAAGAATAATACTCAAAAATCAGCATTAGATGGAAAAAATGTAAATTTGATCAACCTCATTAATCATTACTTTTATTTATATCTGATTTTAATAGCATGATAATAACAGTATTATACATACAAATTATAAGCTGAATAACAACATTTCAACTTAATCAATATAAAATATTAAAATATTTGATTACTATTTTTTCAGGTTAATTATAATTTGAAAGGAAGTGATATTTTATACTCAGCGCCATCAAATTTGAATTACACCCAACCTTATTGTGAACTAGTTCCATTCATGACTTATCCAGTAATAAATGAACAGACTGTGATTAATCTTCTAAAACAGCAAATGTGCGTTAATCAATTTTTACATTTTATATTTTTGTATATATATATATATGTGTGTGTGTATATGCATGATTAATTAATTCAATGGGGAATGAAGTGGCCCAGTATTGCTGTTTCAAATCTTGGTCATAGACAGCCCCTTTCTCTTTGTAAGACAATTGTCTATCAAACAATACCGCTATCCTCCTCCCTAAGTGTGACAAAACCTTAGGATGTTTGATTAAAATTCTAAATCTTAATGACCAAATTTGATGCTATTATATTTCTTGTTTTTATGACTATAAAAATCATTGAAATTAATTTAATTTGTATTTTTATCATTTTACAGATCTTACTATTTTTCAACAGATAATCTTTGTAAAGACACATTCTTCAGGTTTCATATGGACGAACAGGGTTATGTTCCTGTGACGTTTATAGCATCTTTTAAACGTGTTAGGGAACTCAGTCAAGATATTAGCCTTGTTATGAAAGCCATGATTGATATGGAAGAATTAGAAATTAGTGGTGGTCATATGGTATAAAAATGATAATTATTTAAATTTATAATAAATATAGACTAATATATTCTTAAAAATAATTTAATTAGGTAAGATGTCGTAATAATCCAACCAAGTGGCCACTTAAAGAAATACCTCAACAATTTTTGTTTAAAAATAATTTAAATGGACAACACCCATTATTTGCTCATCCCATGGGACCGCCTACTATTGTTCCATTAATTTCTCCCGATTTAATGGTGAAAAATTTACCCGCAGCTCCTCCCGCACCAAGCATACACATTTTTTCTGATCCCCAAGTTCCGATGAATCTTAATCCTGATGTCCCGGAATTCATTCCAAGGAGTAGCCCCGTAGAATTGAAGACTGAAGATAACTGTGATACAAATGACTGTGAACAAATAAAACAAGTTAATAAGCAAAATAGTACAACTAATGGGGAAAATATAGAAATACCAAATACAACTACCAGTAATAGTGAATTAATTGAACCATCTAATAAAACTAACAGTAATGGTGCTAATATTAAAACTACTGTCAACAGTCAACAAATTGAAACAAATAATAAAACCACTAGTCAAAATTTAAATTGTAAGTATTTTAACTATAAATTGTTAAAGTAAAATAATTGAGCAATTATTAAATGTGTACAAATTTAAAATATTTTAAACAGCTAATTTAAAATCAAATACTACTGAAGAAGATGATATTAAATCTTCAGTTAGCAATGTTGAAGATAATGAAACATGGCAAGAAGTATGTTTCAATTTTATTTATTTTTATTTGTTCATTGTATTTACTGATTTATGATTAAATATCTATGATAATTATTTATATTATGTCCTATAAATTATATGTTTGTATTGTTTCTATGAATGCATATAATTTATAAATGTTTTTACAGGTAAAAAGACGGTCAAAGCCTAAAAATAATTGTGTGACTTCTGAAACATCAAATGTATCGAAACGTAATCAGTTGGAAAATCAATTAGATACACGTGGTTTAAGCTCTTGGGATTTAGGATTTCAGTTTGATGAAGATCTTGCTGTAGTACCACATGGAAAGATGAATAAATTTAATGAAGATCCAATTGGGTAATTTAATATTTCTATACAAATTAAATTGTTTTATGTTCATTTTTAAATTTGCTTAATAATCATTAATTAATTAATATAGTTCAGATACTGATGAATCTGATTATGGAGACAAAGATGATTTTGATGATAAAGATATTGATAAACTTATGATAATAACACAAAAAATGATTAGTCGTCCTCAAAAAATTGAAGATCGATCTCATGATAAAACAACTCGTGTTAAAATGACTCAAGATCTGGAACATGCAATTGACCTAGGCTTAAGATTATATGAAGAAGACTTGTGGCATACAAACTCAATGGTATTTATCTGAATTTTGTTTTCAATAAAATATTACTTAATATTTTTCTTTAGAATCAACCTTCCTACAAGACTGTTAATATTGTTACTCAAGAGGTTTTTGAAAGGCTAGTACAGAAAACTCCAAAAAAAGTCAATCAAATTCTTCCTCCTCCTCCGCCGCCATCCCTCAGTGTTGATAATTTAACTGAAGTTATGGAATCCACTGAAAGAAAGGCAAGTTATAAATTTTAAATTAATATTTACGTATCATAATCAAATATTCTCTATTAATAGGAAAATGAAAATAAACAAGAAAAAGCACATTCTGCAACACAAACTAAAACTAAAGTTAAATTTGATTTACAAAAACCAAATCGTCGTCACTTTTATGGAGATATTGATGAATCTTCTGGTCATAGGAAACGAAGCCGTTTTAATGTGGACAGTGAACATCATGTTGGTTGGGTATTAGACTCTCGTGCCCATTCTAGACCTCGTACAACATCATTTAAGTATACATAATTTTTATTAATATTTTATATAATTTATTTATTTTTTTTTTATACATTTTAAAATTTTATTTTATTCGCAGTAGTGGAACATTAGGAAACAGTCCTAATCCAAGTGAAGGTTATCTGTCTAGTACACCTCAATCATTGCCAACTTTTCATCACCCTTCTCATGCATTACTTATGGAAAATAATTTTACTCAACAAGCATACCATAAATATCATTCACGGTGTTTAAAAGGTGTGTATGTGTAATTTTTTTTATAAAGTGTAAATTAAATTTTGTTTTACTTTATTCACTTGAAAAATAAGGTTAAAATATTTTATACATTTTTTTTATACACTATTTAGTACACATATGTCTTCTCTACATATGATATGGGCAAAGTATACAATAAGTAAGCCATTTCTTTGGCATATTTGAATTTAAACATGCGAGGTATTATGTATTTTTTTAGGGGTCCTGGTAGGTACCAATACAAATTTATATTTATATATAAAATCAAATAACTTCATTATCTTTGGATTAATACAATTAATTTGTTAACATCAGCAAAGTTAATAGTTTGACTTCATTTTTTAAAATGTATTTTTTCATTCTATTAGTGTGAAATTAATGAATTATACTTCAACTTTATTAAAAGCATTTATTTGAACCTTTTTTTTTTAAACAAATCATTTAAATATACTTAAAACTAAAAACTAGTATGTTCATGAACTGAACTGCACAATATAAGTAATAATATGTGACTAAATAGTAAATTTTTTGAGAGTACACTTTAGGTAAAAGCTTTTAATGATTATAGTATTACAAAAATGACAGTAGCATGTGCTGTGTGATCAGTTGAGTACAGATGGTTTTTTTTATTATTAATAAAACAACAATTAATATTACTTCCAAAACCTGTACTGCGAAAGTATGATGGCCATTATATAAAATAATGTCCAGACATTGTATAAAATTGTAAAAATGTCTAAATTGTTAACTTTGCCTGTAACATAATAATATAAAAGAACTGACTCTTGAAACAGATAATTATTGGTCCATAAATTGGTATTTTTAGAACAGAAATTGTTTTTTGTTAATTTACGGGTTAATTCGCGGGTGAAAAAATACATTTTTATATTGATTTTTTGGAGAAGGAAAAGAGTCATAGGAAAATATGTTTTTATTTTTTTTTCCAATATTCACATGGTCAAAGTTGTGTAGGGTAACTGGTTATAATTCATACTATATTATTTTGTTTTCTTATATATTTGATTAACTTTTCTATAGAGAGATCAAGACTTGGACCAGGAATGTCACAGGAAATGAACACGTTATACAGATTCTGGTCATTTTTCTTAAGAGACAATTTTAACAAAAATATGTATAAAGAATTCCAATCTATGGCTGTAGAAGATGCAAATAGTGGTTTTAGGTTCGTTAGAAACCGTCATTTATTGTATGTTTTACTAATTTGTGTAAATCCATATATGTAGGTATGGGTTGGAATGTTTGTTCCGCTACTATAGTTATGGTCTTGAGAGGAAATTCAGGCCAGAGTTGTACAAAGATTTCCAAATGGAAACAATAAGAGATCATGAAAATGGTAATTTTTTTTTTTATTATTATTATATTTTTTTTAGCAGATTGAAATAATTATTTTTTAATTTCATTAGGCCAACTTTATGGATTGGAAAAATTCTGGGCCTTCTTAGAGTATTATAAATATAGTAAAACTCTTCAAGTGGATTCTAAACTAAAGCAATATTTAAGTAAATTTAAAACTATTGAAGATTTTCGTAAAGCCGAGGAGGTAAATATTTTATTTTAATGATATACGAGGAAATTAAATTATATAATATAAACAATTTTAGCAATTGCCAAAGAGTGAAGGTTATTTGGATGCATCAATGCGAAAAATGGCACGTATGAAACGTCAACGTAGTTACTCTGAGAATTCTACACTGGATACTTTAAAGATGGTGTCTGATATAGTTACAAAGCCTTTAAATATTACATCAACTCCATCATCGGCTAATGATACAAATTGGCGTAGAAATTCTGTTTTACCTCGAAGAAGATATTTGTCTGTTGGTAAGAATTAAAATTATTGATAACTAGTAATTTTAATAAAATTAATCATGTTAGGATAAATTCATAAAATATATGGCCAATTATTTTAGGTGAGAAATCAGGAGACCCTAAAGGATCTAGAACATTGGCAAAGGTAACCTTTGAATTTAATAAAAAAGGTTCATCAACAATTGAAGAAAATTCCTCAGAATCGCCAAAAAAAAGTAATAGCTCAGAAAATAAGTAATCCATATTTTTTTTTTAATAGTATTTATAAATTATCGCATTATACAAATTATTATATTTTAAATAGAAAGTTTAATTTTGGACGTATAGAGATTATCAAACTTAGTTTATGTTATGTTATTTATCAAGATTATGAACTTGGGTCTAATATATTTTTTCAGTGAATATAATTTTAACTTAATTATATATTTTTAAGCATTTAATATATATATTTAAGTATTTAAAATAATTTCTTATATTTTACATCAATAATTATAATAAATAATGGATATTTGATTGTTACATTTACATTACATGTCTAAAAATTGGCTACATTGAAGACTGAATTTTATTTTTTCGTCTTTATTGTATGATATTAATTTCTTTGCTCTTCATTTAAAACTGTCTACCTTATTTATTTATTATAATTGTTTTTTAATAATCTGAAACGCTAGTCTCAAGAATTAATAAGCTTAACATATGAAAAAAATTAATGTTTAATAAGTTCTTGATACCTAACATAATGATACTTAATTTATATTTTATAAGTATGTATTCCACTGTGGAAATTTCAAATAAATTATACATTTAAACTTAAACTTATTGGTTCTTGAAAAACACTAACAATTTTATTGTGTAAAAATATGTTGATTTAATTATTTGTTATGACTTATCTTACTTATAATGTTATCATTGTGATTGATAACATTGTTTTTAGCACCATAATATTAGTTTGGGAGTTGGGTTTTGATATCTTGTACATATTTAATTGTTCAGATGTTTGGATTATAAATAACAGTCTAATAGTTAATATTTTTTGCCATTTATTTTTTTAAAATATACTTTATTATAATTATTGTATAATTTAAGTCTTATATTTTATAGGACTTTGATAATATGCTCACAGGGTTTTTTTTTTTATTTATGATTAATGAAATACAAGATAATTCAAAAGATAAAGTTACTTGGTTTTATTTTTTTGTTATATTTCATTTTTTTGTAATCCCCATTTTACCCTTAAATATGAACTCATTGAGAATAAGGGTCATCATTTATTTTTATTCCACACAGTTTTGGAAAATACATTTCATAAAATACATTTTTTACTCAAAATCGTTATTTCTTTATTTTTTGAGTTGCCCCGATTTATTACCCTTAAAACAAGATTACATTATCAAACCAAATATATAATTGTTGTGTTCATCTTTTAATTTTTAGCAATAGTATTAGTATAATCAAATTAACTCAAATTTTTAAGAGTATAACTAACCAATATTTACATTGATTTCTCATAATATACATAATATTTTTAAGTATATTTAAGCTAGATTAAAAATATTAATTTGTTTTTTTTTTTTTTTTTTAGTATGTGTATTAAGTAAAACTATTGATTTGATAATATAACTGTAGTTGAGTAATAAAATAATTCTGGACACGTATTTTTATATTTTCATTTGTATAAGTCCAATGTTTAACATTTTTATTTTTGAAAATATTTTTACAGGCCTATAAAATTTAAAATAATATGTTTTTGGTACTTATATATTTTTATAAACACACATACTATAGTTATAATGATATTGGATTACCCAACTTATTTATATATTTTATACATAATATTTAAAATATAATTTGGGTGTTTATTATACTTGTATGTATGTATACATATTATTTTATATATATATATATATATATATGTATATATATATATATATATTTATGTTTTTAAATAGCGTAATCTTATTTAAGTGTTTAAGTTTGTTAATTGCTAATTTGCTGATAATAATTGCGTGTATATCAATGTCTATATATACACACGTTATAATATTTATAATTATTACTATTAATTTGTTTGGCTCCTTAAAAAAAAAAAAAAAAAATTCAATATAATTCTTTATCATTATGTGTATAATATCCTTATTGAAATACAATAGTTTTATTTTGAAAATTGTAATTTGTAATTGTGTGTTAATTCATTATCCATAGTCATTTCTCAATTTCTTAATATTTTACCCCTACCAAGAAAAAATGTTTGATCCATGCTATATTTTACTAATTATGAAATATTTGTCTATGGAAAAATTGATACATTAAAACATACAGGAATGTGTTGAAACTTACAAATAAATTTATTGTGCTTAAAATTATAATGTATTGTAATAGTATAATGAGCGGAAGAAACTAGTAAGGCTGTAAAAAAAGTAATAAAGTTATAGTGTAAGTATGTGTAAATCTTGGAAAACAAGATATTTAATTAATGTTTTTTAAAAGTAAAAATATTAATATTTTTTGTATTAGAAAAAACCACATTGAGAAAACAAACTTTTGTAAAAGGTGTCTTCTTACCATGACAGTTTCCATTAATCATAATTAATTGTAAATAGTAAAAGTATTGTTCTTTAAAATAGCTTGTGAGCACTACCACATTTAAATTTGATGTAATATTTGTTCTGTTTAACTCATGGTGTTATTTAATATGGTTAAGTTCAAAATGCCTAAATTTTCTTTAACACTAAGGCAACATGTAACAACTTTTTAAGTCTAAGTATGTTGACACAACAAAAGTTCCTATATATTTCCAGAAGTGACTAAATGTTTAATCAATAATTTTTTGCGAGTAACAAACATTTCTCATTGTTTCGTATTTCGATTGAAAGCAAAACATTTTACCACAAAACAATATAAGAGAAATACTTAATTCATTATTATAGTATGAATAAACATTAAATCAGTTTGAATTGTGTGAAGTTAATATATTTTAAGTTTTTATTGGATATTTTTAGATTTGGGTGTAGAGAGGAATGTATTGGATTAATGTTTTTTTTTTTTTTTTTTTTGCATCTGTGAATAACTTCTTTAACCAGAAATATTGCTTTGTTAACAATTTCTCACATTTAACTGTGGCCCACCCATTATGTGAAGTATGTCTGTAGTTTGTTTTTAATTCACAAAAAAAATAGGTTACCAGATAAAATTGATTTTTTATAATGTTGAATATTAATTTGATTATGTTTTACACCAAAGAGTTTAGAGTGGCAGTTTTTTATTTATTTTTGAAATGGACGTCTAAATGTTATTTGAAAAATAATAATCCATCAATTCATTGGACATTTAGATATAATAATTACAAATGGTAAATAAACCAAAATTGAAATTATACAAATTAAAAATTATAAAAATTATTTGGCTTTGCATGTACAATCCAGCATACATCAGGGAATATTTTTAAATGAAAGCACCAAAGAAATGTTTTATTTTATTAACTACTGACCAGAGGTGAATTTTCAGTTATTATTTCTCATAGAATTAAATTTTTTCAACTCGTCAAAATATTCCATTTAAGTTTATATGTACTCTCCCGCCGAAGTACTATCATTGGATGGCCTCTTCAATTCATGTATTTCATGTGATTATTATTAGTTAATATCACTTATGCTTATTGTACCATGCGTACAGATTGTATAATTACCTTATTAAAAATAAAAGTTTATATGTCCGAGTGAAGCTCCCTCACGAATTATACTTTATTACATTCCCGTCTAAGTGGAATATTTCGATAACAGGTTGATGGAAATTAAAAACTTCTCAATATTAAAATTTATTTTAACTTATTTTTTTTAAATAAAAAGTATGTAGGATATGATTTTACTCTCAAAAATACACGCTAAATGCGTTATTTATTAATTTATGTATGTATACAATAAGCATACTTTTAAAGAACCCACACTTAGATCTAATCTTGCTGATGATCTATATATTGATGTTGAAAAAGCAAAGGAAAGAAATATGAAAAACTGATTTCAAATGTCAATAAGTACATATGTTCTCAATATTCGTTGAAATAGTGAGTAATTTGCTGTAATGTTGAATCCATGCCGAAGGAAAATACAGTAAAAAGAACATTGCGGAATTATAAAGGTAGAGACGTCTAGTGTATCCAAAAAAGCATCAACATCTATCAGAGGTAAGTGCTATATTATTGATGATTGAACTTTATGAATTGTTTAATACAGAGTGATCAATCTATCATCACTCATTATTTCGGAAAGTAGGTATTAACATTTTTCGACATTTTTTTTTATGAACAATTTTAGAAATTATCAGCTGTGCAATTTTACACTTACGTTATTTTTGTCACACTGATTTTTGGGTGTGAAATTGTATTGTCTAAATTTTTAATTTCCGTCAATCCGTAAACGAGATATTTCACTTTTAGGTTTGAGTCGGGGGAGAGTAGTGGTTCATAATTAAAACGCCGTGCTTAGTGTCGAAACACAAATGATGCTCCATGTTTACTCTTGCCCGACCCAAACCTAAAAGTGGAATACCTCGTCAACGGATTGACGGAAATTAAAAATGTAAACGTCAAAATATATTTTAACTACTACTCAGAATATTTATGGAATTTTTAATATGGGTTGTCATTTAAAAATAAAAAATAGATAGTACTTTCCTCCCAAAAATTAGGGTGACAACAAATTATGTAAATGTTAAATTTTAAACCAGCTTGTTTCTTAAATGTTCTAAAAATCAAATTTCGAAAACAATTTTCGATATAATGAGTGTCTTATGATAGATTGATCACCTCGTGTAATACAAATATTTTTTTAAAATCATTTTGTTTCAGTTTATTCAGACTTTCCTAATTTTGAACCGGAATATTGACACCTTGTTAAAAAAAACTACTGACTGAAGTACTGAATTTATTGCGTTATGCCATCTATACATTTTATAATCATAATTATTGTGTTTTGTCTGTTCACGACCAACACTTCTTTAAATAATTTTCACTCGAGTTTGCGTTCGTCTACCCACTGCTAAAGGCACATATCGATTAACTGCAGTCTTATCCCGAGCCTTCATACTATATAATTTATGCTATTTTTTCCCCCTTTACACGTGAATATCGGAGCAAGGTCTCTGGTAGAAAAGTTGTCCACAGAAGTAAAAAAAAAAAAGGTCTTCAGAGAGGGTAAAATTAAATATTCAAAACAACGATTTACAAATACCATAAACGACAAACGTATATATTTTATTAATTTTATTATTCAATGACATAAATTGGTCTCGATACACCAATACTCCAGTTTCCTAATTTAATATCTTCGCCTAATAAACAATTAATTTCCTACCTCTAATGATATTTTTACCCACAAAAATTAATAGCGCATTATTTAAACTCTAAAGTTATTAAGTATTATATTTAATGTGTGAAGTGAGTGGACAAATAATGCCAGTGGGTCTAATTTATGTGATTTAACTTGATGTACCTACTCTTTTGTATGTGCCACAGTGTTACACATGGTAGCTATCGCATCATACTAAACATATATCGACTTTCGAAAATTACTTTCGAATTTTCTGAAAAACGTATCTTTATGTACCACTTGAAATTTAAATTTGTCAAAACATAATGAACCGATCGTGCTTCAGTGTCGTTTTTCATTTACACTCTTTTATCGCATTACGTCTTACAATTAATATAAACTAAATAAATTACCGTATGTGTACCTATAACCTATGTACCTTACATTTTAAACTTGCGACAGTGGCCCACCCGCGGTGCGAAGTATCTATGTGTTGGCTTTTTTTAAATTTTACAGATAGAAATTAAAAACACACATATCATAGTAAAACCAATAATAGATTCCGCTCTACGACCCGAATCTATTAATCGTACATATCTATAAATACATATTACGTGATCTTCTAACACGAACCCCCGTTCGATATAAGGAGTGATACTATGCCGCTGCCGCAGGGAGTTATCTTTCGCCGATATATTATAATCACTGTATATACTCGTACCTATACTAATTGAATAACGAACCTGTAACAATAGTTAACGATCGCTGTTTTATTTTAAAGATCGTATAATGTATTGCTATAGGTTCGTTTACATTCGGCCATTCCGTCATCGCGCCGCATTTGACGGTTAGGTTAAAGTTCAAAACGTTTATGAAACCGCCGTAGTGGAATATATTACACGAGTGGGTACATACCATATTATAATATAGGTACAAATGGTACAATATTTATTTACATTATTGTGTTATTGTTTAGCGTCTTCCCGTCGATGTTCCAACGTCTGTAACTTTCGGTATAGCATCCCTATACGAAATCATTATAATTTTTTTTTTGCATTACAAGTTTCAACAGACTTATTACAGACTTCAACAGTTGTGGTACCTATTAATCAACGTTATTAAATATACAGATATCTATTTGCAATATTGATATAAGTAATGATATTTACAAAATATGGACAGATATTTTAAACAATACCTAGGTATCTAAGTGTGTTATGTAAATTGCATTTGGAATCGAATGTAATGATTTCAGTGTATTCGTCTTTATTGAGGGCTTATTTGATGTTGTGTAGGAGGTTGAGCGGTCTACGTGTCGATTCGTATCACCGGCATTCTTCTAAGATATGTCTGATTGTGGTGCTTGTTTAACACGTTTTATATTATATTGGCGGAGAGTCTTTGCTTATTAGAAAGGAATGCGTGATGAAAGTGTATCCGATTCTTATCCCGGTGATGGCGATGACTTGACGTCGGTTGAACTCGGGAGGCATGTGCCGTTGTTTAATTGAGTTTTTGATAAATTTGAGTTTTTTGGTTGGTTAGCTCACGGCTGGGACAGAGTACCAGTAGTATCTATTGCTGCGACAAAATAATTTTTATTACGAATAGAAAATATGTCAATGAAAAAAAAATTGTTCATAATATAATATTGATTGTGTTTAATTTTTCTGTTAAACAAGTATCGTGCTATATAATAATTGAATAAAAAATAAATGTACAGTGTATTTTATCATCTACTAGATATACCTGATATCAACAGAATACAGATATAGATAAAGAACTGCACGGTCAAAAGATGGATAACTTCACCGTTGAACTGTTCACGGTCGCTTTTAAGGAAACATTATCAATAACAATAAAAAATTTATCAATTGCAATGGCATTTAATGAAGGATTTTTTCATCGTATAAAAAATATAAAATCATATTTACGCACTTCCATGGGCGATGATGAAAGGCTAAATGATCGTACTGAATGTTGAAAAAAAAAAAGTAAATAGTATCGATTTAGAAAAAGCTGTAGGTGTATTTGCTGGATTAAAAAATCGACGGTATCCTCTTATATACATATAATTAATGTTCCTTTCTAGAGCTTCATTTTACTTGTGCAAAAGTTATAGTTAACAATTAATAATATTAATAATAATATTATGTGCTTTTCTTCTTTTTTTTTTTTTTACTGAATTTATCAATTTCAATATTTGTATATACATTACTTATTGGTATTCACAGGTAAAATATCAAATTATTTATTATTTTTTAGATTTTAAAAAGTTTTTTACTATTTATGTTTATTGCGATTCATGATCTATTGAAACAATTAAAAGCTGGATAATATATATGGATAATTATAAAGTATGTATACATATATTTTTATATAGCCTGGTGTAATATTTAAAATCGCCTGCTTGAAACCTCGTACACTTCGTAACACGA